TTCAGAAACAGAAACCGCCTTTCTGGATACATGTATTTACAAAGGAGAAAGATTTAAGAAGGAATCAATCCTAGATGTGCGTACACACTTCAAACCGACAGAAACTTTCCAATACACGTACTTCTCTTCATGTCACCCCCCAGGGGTTAAGAAAGGATTCATAAAAGGCGAGGCCTTAAGATTACTCAGAACAAACTCTTCTAAGAAAACGTTCGAAGAGAACGTAACTAATTTCAAGCAAGATAGATAAGCACCTATCAGGAGGGTGTGAATGGGGTTAACCGACTAGCGACAAAGGGCGAAAAATATTACTGACTACCGACAAAATGAGTAAAAAATTACCGACTACCGACAGGAAAAATATTAACCGACTACCGACATAGGCTGATATTATCAATATTTGTTTCCAGAAAAAAGAGCATTTTGAATTTAATCTAACCGTTAGCTCGAGGAAGTAAGTAACCTCTTTAAATTTATGACTCGTCAGATGGACTAAGGGAAAGAATTTCCATTTTTTGTTGTTGATACAGGTACATTGCTACAGTCAATATCAAAATCACAAAGTCACACCTTAAAGATGCTACCGACTTTATAAATTTTATTGAAAAGTCAAAGGTGAAAAAACCGAACGTTTTTTGCTCAGATTAATCCTCAAAGAAAATTCTTTCCCGTTTAATGTAAAGAATTATCAGTACAAACCCACGTTACCGCGATGAGCACAAAGACAGCAGTTTCCTTTCCAACATTTTCATGGCACATATTGAAACACAAAGTTTAAGCAAAACCGTCTTTAAACCAACTGCTTGAAAACGCTACATAAATGACATTTTTTCCCTATGGGACATAAGTAAACCAGACATCGTAGCTTTCTTCGCGGAACAAGTAAACTTACATGCCCTCCTATGAAATTCACGGCCGAAAGATCTGAAAATGAGACATTCTTTTTAGAAAAGGTTGTATACCAAGGTACAACATTCAGCGAAAAAATGCGAAAAAGCTATCCTTGAACGGAAAACTTACAGTATATACATTTTCACCTCTTATCACCCACCAATTGTTAAAGCGCCTGTTTGACAAACGAGAAGCCTTGAGAATCCTACGAACAAACTCCTCTGAGGAAGTATTTCAGATTTCAAAAGCGCTTGATGGACAGAGGCTAACCACACAATTTTGAAAGGAAAATTGCTATTGGAAGTAAAACTCACAGAAAGGAAGGCAGCGCTCCTGAAAAAAAAAACAACCAGGAAGAAAAAGACTGAAATATTGCCTTTCGTGACACAATACCAGCCCTTAGTGTCTATAAAAAAGAAGCTTTAATGAAAAAGTAGAATCTCATACAAAACCAACCACTACCTTGCCAAAATTTTAAAGAACCACCTAAAGTGCTATTTCTTTGAGAAAGGAAAATTATGGCAAAGGAAATGCTTGTTAGAACCAAAACATGAGAGGGATAGATGTGCAGCCTGTCATCCCTTGCAGTTTTTCAATAAAAATAATTTAAGTATCCAAAAGACTAGAGTCCAGTAAGTAATTAATTAATTACTTTTTACTGTGCCCTGTAGTCGACAGGGAAACCAAGTTCGCATATACAATAAAAGCTTGGGTGATTTTATCAGTACTAATTATTCATTTAATGGCAAACAATGATGAAATAAACGTTCATGTTTCATAAAAAACAAGAGTTAATGAACGGTTTAGGCGCAATCAAATGATGCATTCTTGCAAGTTTTACTCTTTCCTTAGGGATCAAAGTCTTGAAAAGTGGGTGAAATACATAAAAATATTAATGATTAACAAGTGTTTTTACTTATTAACTGAGATTTTCCGACAACCGGCGAAAATCGAAAAGTTTAACCGACTACCGACAAAGATGGAAAATTTTAACCGACTACCGACAAAATTACTGAATTTTAACCGACAACCGACAAGTGGACCCCCATTCAGACCCTCTATCAGAAGTCAAGCATCACGAAAGAATGTCGGCTTTGAAAAAAAAAACAAAAACGCACAAGAAAATACTACCATTCGTGACAGAATATCGCCCCTCAGTACCGAATCTAAAAAAAATCGTCATGTACAAATGGTATCTTATAGAAAACCAACCGTTGCTTAGAGAAATCTTTAAAGACCCTCCCATAATATCTTACAAAAGAGGAAAGTCACGACAAGATATACTCGTAAGAGCTAAACTATGAAGGTAAGGTCAAAGCAACAGCAACTGAGCCAAAGATAGACGTGAATAGCCTGTTAACATTATGAACAACTCAAACTATGAAGTTTAAAGGTCAAAGATATACAACAACTTGGCCAAAGGGAGTCGTATATGGCCTGTCAACATTATGAAACATATTTTAAATAAACGCCAGGGGCGTTTAATCGAGAAAATACGGTATATTTTCTCCAGAACCAATTGCAGTGCAGTTTTCGCATATAAAGAGCGTCAGAACTTTATATACCAACAAGACAATCGTAGCAGAACAGAAAGTGTATGTCCGTTTCATTCACCTCGACAGTCACTGGAAAATTTGTATTACACAACAGCCATAGAGTACGGTGCTAGAAAATGGAATTTAAATACATTAAACCATCATGACTGCTTTTGCAAGTAATTATAAGTACGGTAGTTTCATAGAAGGATTAAGTTCAACGACAATCGGAATGTTTACTTTTCAACCAAAGTGACAGAGACCAAGAGAATAAGAGGAAAAATAAATTATATTATTATTCATTCAAAATATTTTCCCGATTCTGATTGGCTAAAAGCCCACGTTTAATTCACCATAACCAGTTACTGATGACCAAATTTGGAAGAATTTTGTGTTTAACGAGGAAATGACGTCAAAAATGCAGCGTTCTCGCAGGTTAAGGCACCGTTAACCGAGAAGACCTGGGGACGAGGTGGAGTTGTTTTGGTTGTGAACTTGAAAAATGGCGGACATTTCACTCGTTTCAAGAGTAAGAACTAGGCGAAAAAATAGCTAAAAACATGGCAAGAACAGCAAGAAGACAACTCGAAGGGCGACATCTACGGCCTACGGCCTCGACGGATAACACCCTCCTCGATCTCCATAATTGTTCATAAGATACTCAGCCTCATTCATTAATTGTTAAATAATCTGAGATAATTCAGCCAAAAGGTCGAAAGATGATGATTGATGTTCGTGAAAACGAGAGTTAGAACAATACAATTGTGTTGTCGGGACCGAGAGAGGTGTTCGTAATAGCGGGAGTTTGTTTCCGTCAAATATCTGTAATTCTCGCCGGGTATTCAGCAGCTGTCCCTATTAGCGGGGTGTCCATAATAGCGAGGTGACCGCAAGGCGAGAGTTGACTGTATTTACTTATTTATTTTTTGATCATATTTTTCCCCTTGGCGTGTTTCCCTTTATTCAAAATTCTGACCCTTTACAGCCCCGCAAGATTTTTGCGATAGCGTATTTCTAGTATGTAGGTAATATCTTCCCTTTCCGAGTTTAAAATTCGACTTTCTCGACTGCCAGTTTTTCCCTCGGACGCCACCATTTTGAAACTTTCATTACCAGCATGCGCAATGAGTCTTAGTTTCCAAGTTCTTGGCGGACAATATTTGTTATCGAGAACTAAAATATTCCAGTGTGTAGAACGGTTGCATCGGACATAGTTAGCGATCGATGACTTTTTCTTGTCGATAAAAGATAGTTGTCAGTAACTTAATGTCTAGTCTGTGGAGGCCCTAAAATATTCGTTGTGATGTCCAAGATTTGAACGAAAACTTGTCTAGGGAAAACACGTTAATTTTGCGAAAAAGAAACGTGAAAATATTATCATCATATACAGAAAATACCGTATATTGTCCAGATGAATAAGTAGGTTAATTAAGAAAATATTAGGGGTCACGCATGAAGGAGGAAAGCTGTCTCGGGTGGGCGCGCGAGTAATCCCTAGCAGAGCGTTTACAAGACAGTACGTAGGGTAACCCTCTTGCTAGGGTAATCCTAGCAGTCAGGTAAGAAACGAAGAAATGTGTGAGTGCTAGGGTAACCCTAGCACCAGAGTTACCTTCCCTCCTTGTAAACAGGGCCTATAATTTAACCTGTATGCGCATTGTATGACACCCATGGGACCTTTTTCGCTGATGTTCATTTTATGATCTTTTGCATCCGAGAGTGAGGTGAAGTGAAGTGAGGTGAAAACGTTTATTCATGCTCTGTAGTTTCATTTAATATTTTTGTCATTAAGTTCCTGTTCTAACTAAATTAATTTACATGGGAATATGTGTATGTCGAAAACTAAAGGAAGAAAAAATTGCCGCTATATTACCCTACGAGCAGAGGTTTCTTTATTATATGCGTACTGAGGGTTACTATAATATAATTTGACAAATAAAAATCATCTGTTAAAAATTAATGGCAATTTGATCGATATCACGTTTTTGGTGGGACAATTTTTCTGAATATTAACGTATGACCAATCACCGGCCGCAGACGAAAAACGTCACTAGTGAAAAAATCGTATCGGTTTTCCCTCCTTTCACTGTCCGCTTTCACTGAGAAAATTAGCATTAAAGTCATGGCGTCAGCGTCGAGCATTTCAAAGTTTCAATAGAGGAATTTAAAGAATTTGTTATTGCCTTCAACAATAAATAACGTATTCTACTTCCACAATCTTTGATACACTAAATAAATTCTATTCGATCGTTTATATAACATCAGATAAATACGTCAGACTTATTCTGACAGTACAATAACATTGCTAATTAACTCAGGGGGAATTCCTACAAGAAGTGTCCATAAGGATACGTTCCAGTGTGCTTTTTCGGTTTCCGTCTCTCTCCTGTCCCCGCCCTCTCTTTGTTGAGCAACACCAAAAGCTCACCAACGATTTTTAGCGTAACTAAGTGCCACCTTATCCATCCCATTTATTTTAGGGGAATAATCCCTTTTAAATTTGCCAATTAACCTGATTTTGATGTTTCTTGCGTTTGATTTAGTTCCTCAACTGGCTGAAAATACTGACCAGAGATGACACTGCAGCCGTTCAGTGACGAGCAATTGAATTTCTTCAAGTTCTCGTCGTTAGTTTTAAATGAATTCCCAAAAGCCTTACGGCAGACCTTTAAAACCATGTGGGACAACACCTATGGAGGTCGCCCTGGTTTCCAGCTCTGGGATGATTCATCTACTGTGCGAAATTTGTTTGCCACTGCAGAGGGCGGCAGGACTAAAGTTCCTATTGGCCAGTCTTACAATGAATGGGATTGCACCAATCTGTTCCAAGCTACAATATTTTCGAGGTCTTTTGCATTATCAGCCAGCACAAGATCCTACTCCACGCTTAATGATTTGTACGTGAAGCCCCGTGCAATTCCTCATGGTAGTTTCCACGCATGTGTGCTCAGCCCAGGTGGAAACAATGAGGAGACCTTTGCACTTGCCATAGATCAGCTTCGTCTCCTTAGAAATTCACTTTGTCACTCAGCAAGTTCTAATATGAACAAACTTACCTTTGACCAGCGCGTGAATTACGCCAAAGATGCGTTTCAAGCCCTTGGTCTCTCAACAGCCCCAATCGATTTCGTTGGTAGTTTGACAGAGTCGGACTTTCCTACAAATGAAGTTCGTGCATTGGAAACGCGACAACGAGACGAGACTCGTGCGTACATCAGTTTTCTCGAGGAAGTGAACTCAGATGTTGGTGAGGTAAAAGCGTTATTACAGGCATTAAAAACAGGACAAGAACAGCAGTATATTGCCAACAAAGAATTCGTAACTAGGTTGGAGAAGAAGATGGATGAGTTGAAAGAAGGACAAAGCGAACGTGATGCTCGAAGTAAAAATTCAGGTATAAGTAAAAAAAGAACATTGAAAACCTAACCGAGATACATGTAGATTGTACTGAGGTGGGCCTTTGAAGTCATTCAAAGCATCCAGTTAGTTAAAGCGACACTGTATTAAATAATTGACGATGGGTGTTAGAATTTTAACAGAAACAAGGAAAACCTGCTAAGCAAGTGTTTCCGGGCGAGTTTATTCGCTCACGTTCCAATGTTCGCCGCAAACTCGCTTGAACACGGTTGCTAAAAAAGGCTATCTCCTGTATGACAGGCTTTCGCACCTTATTTTCTCCTTATGACACCACTTTAAAAGTTTTTAAGACTTAAAACCTTTTTCGAGGGGAAGGTGTCACAGCGTTTTGGGCATCCCCATTCCCAAATCCCTAGCGTTTTGGGCATCCCCTTCTCATAATACTGCAGCGTTTTGGGCATCCCCCGGTACCCTCCCGGGATGCCCAAATCCCTAGTGTTTTGGTCATCCCTTCCAAAAAAATGCTAAATTTCGCGGGAAAATCGAAAACGTTTTAGAGATGGCTTCCGCTAAATATAAAAATCTTTTCCAGTATCTTAAAAAGAGGGCTTATCCAGAAGGCTACAAAGCAAAAAAACGACTCTGCGAAATTTGCCAAAAAGTTCGAGTATGACTCTAAATTAGAGTCCTTGTTCTAGGTTGCCAAGGAGAAGGATGGCACAGCGCTTCGACGAATTGTTCACCGAGGAAGAGAAAGCGAGGGTCTTCGAAGAGTGCCACTCTGCTCCTTTTTCTGGACACGCCGTAAGCGATAATACTTTTGCACCCTGTGAAGGTTGTTTCCAAGGTGTGGTACAAAACGGCAACAGATTTCTTCTGTCCCGTAGGTGCAAGAGGCCTCTGTATAAATTGTGTGACAGCCTTTTGTGTGTCAAGTAGCGCTGCGGGGTTAAGTTGTACAGGCCTCAAATGTCATGCATACTACAGGGGCACCCAACGAGAATATAGTTCAAAACCACTTAAACATATCATTGTTGAACGTATTTTAGTATTTAAACGGTAGATATAGGCATATTTTTATCCCCTAAAAATTTTCCATCTGTTCGGATCTCCTAGCTGAAAGTCTAGTGATGCGAAAATTATAGGGATCAAAACTTACCTTTTCGAAAATTTCAGCCAGAAAAAAGGCTCCCGAAAATTCTAGGTGACTTTTTTAGGGTAAAGATCCGTTAAAAATAGGCAATTATACCATTTTTTAGATGTTCGAAAATCCTAGGAGAGGTAGACAAGTAAGATTTTTACAACAAATGTTCCGAAAATTCTAGATCTCAAATCGTCTTCCGAACAGATGTTTTCCAAAAATTGTCGTTGGGTGCCCCTGATACTATGAATTCAACACCGCAAAACGCAGTTTTATTCATGTTTGTCTTTTGATTGCTTTGTTTAGTATTCTTGTTTTTGGCTGTTTGGAATCAGACGATCGCAGCTGCCGGCGATTGCGGCATTTCTCGCTGGTAAACAGTTCTATTGAATAAAATTGAAGCTTTGCAAACAATGAAGCGTTGTACAGCGAAGGGATGTTATGCGGTTGTAAATTTCAGTTTCCTCCCGTTTAGAGCCAGCGTTTACTACCTATGGGTTTTTTTTCTGCGCAATAAACCCGGCGAAAAGTGTCAGTCGATCTAATTCTAACATGCATCTACACTATTCAGCCGTAAATTCGTGATAATCCCGACTTTTCCCCAGTCTGAAATAATTTAGGTAAAGTCGAAGCGATCAGCGTTTTAGGAATGGGGATGCCCAAAACGCGGGGATGCCCAAAACGCTGTGACACAGGGATTCCTGAATCTTCATTTTTTTGCTTGAATTTCAGTTTTAAACTCTTTTGAAAGACCGTTATTTCTGACTTCCACAACGGATAAAGCCACTTATTTGTTTACCTAAGCATGTGTCTCCCGCTTACTTTTTACTTCCGTTGTTTTTTCCTTTAAAGGTACGAAGCCATTTTTCTTAAGTGCTGCTCTTCCTTCCGTGGTTCCTAATTTTACAGGTCGTCAGAGCGAGTGTAAGGAGATCATCAGAAACGTGACTTCCGAGTCTACCCGACTGGTGTCGATCTGCGGTTCACCTGGATTCGGAAAAACGTCTGTCGCGATTGCAGTGGGACACGCTGTTCAGTCTCGAGGAATCCCTGTTTATTGGATCTCATTAAGAGGACTCCATTCCAAAGCAGATCTGACTTCAAAGTTTCTTAGTTTTCTGAGGCAACCCACCACACATACCAAACTGCCCGATCAGCGTTTATCCATTAATGATGAGATTTGCCTACTATTCAGTGAAATTTCAAAGCCATCTGTAGTTATTCTTGACAATGCAGATGATTTGCTAGAAACTGGTTGCCCGAAATTAAAGGAAGAGGTCATACAACTTTTTGGAGAAATTCTTAGGCGAAATCAAAAGGTTACATTTGTTATAACCGCAAGAGAGTCTCTTGACTATATGGACCTTAATTTTCAAGGCCATTGGGAGTTAAGAATAAAAGCACTGGATGACGCCTCTGCTCAAACTCTGGTTTCTGAATTACTTCCAAATGCAGGCGTTGCAGACCACACTCAAATCGCGCACATCTGTGGACAAGTCCCTTTAGCCATGAGATTACTGTGTTCTTTAGTATCTGAAGAAGACAGTGCTCAACCGCGCCATTTTCTCGATGTTTTCATGACATCTTCGACAGGAGGTCTCGTTGGAATGTTGGACAATCCAGATTACCCAGCTAGTCACCGATTACAGTTCTTGCTTGACTCCTCTTTCCAGAGACTTGCTGCCCAGGAACAAGAAGCACTTGTATCTTTGAGCATTCTTCCCGACAACTTTAGCACAGAGGTTGCTGCAGCTGTTTTAGGCAAGACGGGGACTATTGAAGCAAAAAAGATATTAGGAAGCCTTCGGAGGAAGTCGCTGATTGATTCAAGCTCTAAACCGGGGGGATTTACAATGCACAAGCTTCTGCAATCATTTGCAAGAGAAAAGGGAGAACAAGACATGACAGAGACGATTGTAGCTTCACAGGGTCGTTTGAAAGCTTTCTACATTTCACGTTTTGAGACGCTAAATCAACAATTTCTTACGGGGCATTCAATGGCCGCATATATTGCATTCTACGAAGACAAGGAAAGTATTATTCAAAGTCTAGTGGAGGGCTGTTCAGATCCCAAAACCGCTGACAGTGTTTTCGATATTTTGGTAAGAGGGGAGATGTTTCTTGATTCACTTTTTTGGAGTCCAAGTGAAGGGAAAAACTTTGATTACGTATACGATGCAGCCATAAAAGGAGCCAGTGAACATAAGAAGGAAAAATATCTCAGTCAACTCCTTACCTCCCGAGCTTTCAAAGAGCTAGCGTACGGAACAGATGGAAAGACAAAATATTTTCTTTCTAAAGTGAATGAAATTCAAGAGGCATCCCCCAATGTCCCTTTACACGAAAGAGGCAAATACTCGTGCTACTTGGGAATCAATTACCTTTTTACAGAGGAACCAAAGATGGGAGTCGAGAGCTTAAAGGAGGCTCTGTCATCACTGGACAATTGCAACAACCCAGAGCAAACAATTCTTAAGCTTGTTATTTTTCAGATACTTACGGTTTATTATCGGTCCCTAAATGACTTCTCTAACGCAAGTAAGTTTTATGATAAGGCACTAAAGGAATGCAGTGTAGTTGAGGATTTGGATCTACTTGTTATCTCATCGATGATGAGGGAAACAAAGGAAACTACCAATGAAATTCATATTCATAACGACTCGGAAGTCTGTCTAAATCAACCGCTAAAATGCGAAATTGCTTTTCTATTAAGCGAAGCAACCAAGTCCTTTTCTGATTCTGACACCAACCAATATACAAGCAGCTTGGTTCTCCAGATACTACAGAATATCGAAAGACAAGGTGAAATGTCCGTTGGTTTGCTTAGTTTCCAAAGAGTTGTGACACACGTTTTGTGGCTCTTAAATTCTGAAGACCCTGTAAAACTGTATATGTCAAGAATCAAATACCACCAAACACTACTCAAAAAAGGCAAAAACAGTTCATGTCGGCAGAAAGAAGAATCAAGCAGCTTTACCCATATGCAAAATGAAGCACTTGCCAAGTATTACGAAGACCTGGCTGAAGTTTACAAACAAAAAATGAACTACCCAGAAGCTGTACAAGCAATTCAGGAAGCCCTTTTGGTAATAATAACGCATTTTGGAGAGAAACATGAAAGCACTGCTGACAGCTACACTTCACTCGGGGTGACACAACACGCAATGCAAGACTACAAAGCAGCTCTTCAGTCTCACCAGCGTGCATTAGCTATACGCATTAAACTGTTTGGAGAAGAACATGAAAGCACGGCTGAGAGCTACAGTACACTTGGTGTAACACAACACCAAATGCATGACTACAAAGCAGCTCTTCAGTCTAAGCAGCGTGCATTGGCTATATGCATTAAACTGTTTGGAGAACAACATGAAAGCACTGCTGAGAGCTACAGTACACTTGGTGTAACACAACACCAAATGCATGACTACCAAGCAGCTCTTCAGTCTCACCAGCGTGCATTAGCTATACGCATTAAACTGTTTGGAGAAGAACATGAAAGCACGGCTGAGAGCTACAGGACATTGGGTGTAACAGAACACGAAATGCATGACTACAAAGCAGCTCTTCAGTCTGAGCAGCGTGCATTAGCTATACGCATTAAACTATTTGGAGAAGAACATGAAAGCACTGCTGACAGCTACAGGGCACTCGGTGTAACACAACAGCAAATGCAAGACTACAAAGCAGCTCTTCAGTCTAAACAGCGTGCATTAGCTATACGCATTAAACTGTTTGGAGAAGAACATGAAAGCACTGCTGACAGCTACAGGGAACTCGGTGTAACACAACACCAAATGCATGACTACAAAGCAGCTCTTCAGTCTCACCAGCGTGCATTAGCTATACGCATTAAACTGTTTGGAGAAGAACATGAAAGCACGGCTGAGAGCTACAGGACATTGGGTGTAACAGAACACGAAATGCATGACTACAAAGCAGCTCTTCAGTCTAAGCAGCGTGCATTAGCTATACGCATTAAACTGTTTGGAGAAGAACATGAAAGCACGGCTGAGAGCTACAGGACATTGGGTGTAACACAACACGAAATGCATGACAACAAAGCAGCTCTTCAGTCTCACCAGCGTGCATTAGCTATACGCATTAAACTGTTTGGAGAAGAACATGAAAGCACGGCTGAGACCTACAGGACATTGGGTGTAACACAACACGAAATGCATGACAACAAAGCAGCTCTTCAGTCTCACCAGCGTGCATTAGCTATACGCATTAAACTGTTTGGAGAAGAACATGAAAGCACGGCTGAGAGCTACAGGACATTGGGTGTAACAGAACACGAAATGCATGACTACAAAGCAGCTCTTCAGTCTAAGCAGCGTGCATTAGCTATACGCATTAAACTGTTTGGAGAAGAACATGAAAGCACGGCTGAGAGCTACAGGACATTGGGTGTAACACAACACGAAATGCATGACAACAAAGCAGCTCTTCAGTCTCACCAGCGTGCATTAGCTATATGCATTAAACTGTTTGGAGAAGAACATGAAAGCACTGCTGACAGCTACAGGGAACTCGGTGTAACACAACACCAAATGCATGACTACAAAGCAGCTCTTCAGTCTCACCAGCGTGCATTAGCTATACGCATTAAACTGTTTGGAGAAGAACATGAAAGCACGGCTGAGAGCTACAGGACATTGGGTGTAACAGAACACCAAATGCATGACTACAAAGCAGCTCTTCAGTCTAAGCAGCGTGCATTAGCTATACGCATTAAACTGTTTGGAGAAGAACATGAAAGCACGGCTGAGAGCTACAGGACATTGGGTGTAACACAACACGAAATGCATGACAACAAAGCAGCTCTTCAGTCTCACCAGCGTGCATTAGCTATACGCATTAAACTGTTTGGAGAAGAACATGAAAGCACGGCTGAGAGCTACAGGACATTGGGTGTAACACAACACGAAATGCATGACAACAAAGCAGCTCTTCAGTCTCACCAGCGTGCATTAGCTATACGCATTAAACTGTTTGGAGAAGAACATGAAAGCACGGCTGAGAGCTACAGGACATTGGGTGTAACAGAACACGAAATGCATGACTACAAAGCAGCTCTTCAGTCTAAGCAGCGTGCATTAGCTATACGCATTAAACTGTTTGGAGAAGAACATGAAAGCACGGCTGAGAGCTACAGGACATTGGGTGTAACACAACACGAAATGCATGACAACAAAGCAGCTCTTCAGTCTCACCAGCGTGCATTAGCTATACGCATTAAACTGTTTGGAGAAGAACATGAAAGCACTGCTGACAGCTACAGGGAACTCGGTGTAACACAACACCAAATGCATGACTACAAAGCAGCTCTTCAGTCTAAGCAGCATGCATTAGCTATACGCATTAAACTGTTTGGAGAAGAACATGAAAGCACGGCTGAGAGCTACAGGACATTGGGTGTAACAGAACACCAAATGCATGACTACAAAGCAGCTCTTCAGTCTAAGCAGCGTGCATTAGCTATACGCATTAAACTGTTTGGAGAAGAACATGAAAGCACGGCTGAGAGCTACAGGACATTGGGTGTAACACAACACGAAATGCATGACAACAAAGCAGCTCTTCAGTCTCACCAGCGTGCATTAGCTATACGCATTAAACTGTTTGGAGAAGAACATGAAAGCACGGCTGAGAGCTACAGGACATTGGGTGTAACACAACACGAAATGCATGACAACAAAGCAGCTCTTCAGTCTCACCAGCGTGCATTAGCTATACGCATTAAACTGTTTGGAGAAGAACATGAAAGCACGGCTGAGAGCTACAGGACATTGGGTGTAACAGAACACGAAATGCATGACTACAAAGCAGCTCTTCAGTCTAAGCAGCGTGCATTAGCTATACGCATTAAACTGTTTGGAGAAGAACATGAAAGCACGGCTGAGAGCTACAGGACATTGGGTGTAACACAACACGAAATGCATGACAACAAAGCAGCTCTTCAGTCTCACCAGCGTGCATTAGCTATACGCATTAAACTGTTTGGAGAAGAACATGAAAGCACTGCTGACAGCTACAGGGAACTCGGTGTAACACAACACCAAATGCATGACTACAAAGCAGCTCTTCAGTCTCACCAGCGTGCATTAGCTATACGCATTAAACTGTTTGGAGAAGAACATGAAAGCACGGCTGAGAGCTACAGGACATTGGGTGTAACAGAACACCAAATGCATGACTACAAAGCAGCTCTTCAGTCTAAGCAGCGTGCATTAGCTATACGCATTAAACTGTTTGGAGAAGAACATGAAAGCACGGCTGAGAGCTACAGGACATTGGGTGTAACACAACACGAAATGCATGACAACAAAGCAGCTCTTCAGTCTCACCAGCGTGCATTAGCTATACGCATTAAACTGTTTGGAGAAGAACATGAAAGCACGGCTGAGAGCTACAGGACATTGGGTGTAACAGAACACGAAATGCATGACTACAAAGCAGCTCTTCAGTCTAAGCAGCGTGCATTAGCTATACGCATTAAACTGTTTGGAGAAGAACATGAAAGCACTGCTGACAGCTATAAAGGGCTCGGTGTAACACAACACCAAATGCATGACTACAAAGCAGCTCTTCAGTCTCACCAGCGTGCGTTAGCTATACGCATTAAACTGTTTGGAGAAGAACATGAAAGCACGGCTGAGAGCTACAGGACATTGGGTGTAACACAACACGAAATGCATGACTACAAAGCAACTCTTCAGTCTGAGCAGCGTGCATTAGCTATACGCATTAAACTGTTTGGAGAAGAACATGAAAGCACGGCTGAGAGCTACAGGACATTGGGTGTAACACAACACCAAATGCATGACTACAAAGCAGCTCTTCAGTCTCACCAGCGTGCATTAGCTATACGCATTAAACTGTTTGGAGAAGAACATGAAAGCACGGCTGAGAGCTACAGGACATTGGGTGTAACAGAACACGAAATGCATGACTACAAAGCAGCTCTTCAGTCTGAGCAGCGTGCATTAGCTATACGCATTAAACTGTTTGGAGAAGAACATGAAAGCACTGCTGACAGCTACTGGGAACTCGGTGTAACACAACACCAAATGCATGACTACAAAGCAGCTCTTCAGTCTCACCAGCGTGCATTAGCTATACGCATTAAACTGTTTGGAGAAGAACATGAAAGCACTGCTGAGAGCTACAGGACATTGGGTGTAACACAACACGAAATGCATGACTACAAAGCAGCTCTTCAGTCTCACCAGCGTGCATTAGCTATACGCATTAAACTGTTTGGAGAAGAACATGAAAGCACTGCTGACGGCTATAAAGGACTCGGTGTAACACAACACCAAATGCATGACTACAAAGCAGCTCTTCAGTCTCACCAGCGTGCATTAGCTATACGCATTAAACTGTTTGGAGAAGAACATGAAAGCACGGCTGAGAGCTACAGGACATTGGGTGTAACAGAACACCAAATGCATGACTACAAAGCAGCTCTTCAGTCTAAGCAGCGTGCATTAGCTATACGCATTAAACTGTTTGGAGAAGAACATGAAAGCACTGCTGACAGCTATAAAGGACTCGGTGTAACACAACAGCAAATGCATGACTACAAAGCAGCTCTTCAGTCTCACCAGTGTGCATTAGCTATACACATTAAACTGTTTGGAGAAGAACATGAAAGCACTGCTGACAGCTACAGGCAACTCGGTGTAACACAACACCAAATGCATGACTACAAAGCAGCTCTTCAGTCTCACCAGCGTGCATTAGCTATACGCATTAAACTGTTTGGAGAAGAACATGAAAGCACTGCTGACAGCTACAGGGAACTCGGTGTAACACAACACCAAATGCATGACTACAAAGCAGCTCTTCAGTCTCACCAGCGTGCATTAGCTATACGCATTAAACTGTTTGGAGAAGAACATGAAAGCACTGCTGACAGCTACAGGGAACTCGGTGTAACACAACACCAAATGCATGACTACAAAGCAGCTCTTCAGTCTAAACAGCGTGCATTAGCTATACGCATTAAACTGTTTGGAGAAGAACATGAAAGCACTGCTGACAGCTATAAAGGACTCGGTGTAACACAACACCAAATGCATGACTACAAAGCAGCTCTTCAGTCTGACCAGCGTGCATTAGCTATACGCATTAAACTGTTTGGAGAAGAACATGAAAGCACTGCTGAGAGCTACAGTACACTTGGTGTAACACAACACCAAATGCATGACTACAAAGCAGCTCTTCAGTCTCACCAGCGTGCATTAGCTATACGCATTAAACTGTTTGGAGAAGAAGATGAAAGCACGGCTGAGAGCTACAGGACATTGGGTGTAACACAACACGAAATGCATGACTACAAAGCAGCTCTTCAGTCTAAGCAGCGTGCATTAGCTATACGCATTAAACTGTTTGGAGAAGAACATGAAAGCACGGATGAGAGCTACAGGACATTGGGTGTAACACAACACCAAATGCATGACTACAAAGCAGCTCTTCAGTCTCACCAGCGTGCATTAGCTATACGCATTAAACTGTTTGGAGAAGAACATGAAAGCACTGCTGACAGCTATAAAGGACTCGGTGTAACACAATACCAAATGCATGACTACAAAGCAGCTCTTCAGTCTCACCAGCGTGCATTAGCTATACGCATTAAACTGTTTGGAGAAGAACATGAAAGCACTGCTGACAGCTACACGGAACTCGGTGGAACACAACACGAAATGCATGACTACAAAGCAGCTCTTCAGTCTAACCAGCGTGCATTAGCTATACGCATTAAACTGTTTGGAGAAGAACATGAAAGCACTGCTGACAGCTACAGGGAACTCGGTGTAACACAACACCAAATGCATGACTACAAAGCAGCTCTTCAGTCTCACCAGCGTGCATTAGCTATACGCATTAAACTGTTTGGAGAAGAACATGAAAGCACTGCTGACAGCTACACGGAACTCGGTGGAACACAACACCAAATGCATGACTACAAAGCAGCTCTTCAGTCTCACCAGCGTGCATTAGCTATACGCATTAAACTGTTTGGAGAAGAACATGAAAGCACTGCTGACAGCTACAGGGAACTCGGTGTAACACAATACCAAATGCATGACTACAATGCAGCTCTTCAGTCTCACCAGTGTGCATTAGCTATATGCATGAAACTGTTTGGAGAAGATCATGAACGAACTGCTCACTGCTACATGCATGTAAAGGTAACTCAAGAATTGCTATGCAAAGATAGGAAAACGAACCGAAAAAAATCCATTTGCATCTTGTCCTAAAGAGTCTCTTCTTCACCTGTGTGTTAGTTTTAATTTTCGCGCATGTTTTAAAATTTGTTATTCTCTCATTTCATTAGTTTCCATTATAAGATCATTTTTACTCTCCAAATTTTGGTATTTGGTTTTTGGAGTGCTTAGTTAAAGCTACAGTCTGTGAGGGGTAAAAAAAGGTACTGCTAGAACTGGATTGAATGCTTCAGGTGAAAGGACTCCGAAGTCTGGTTGTAGTAATTGCAGTTGTTGCGAGAGGTAGAGACTTGTGCACTGACAGAGATTTTTGAAGTGGTTGCTATAGGTGGATTCTTCTACAGAGAGTTTGCGGTAGTTGCAGTAGTTCCAGTCACTTTTTTTCGAGACGTAAGGAGACTTGTACACGAACAATGGGACATGAGGTTGGAATAGTTGCATTAGTTGCGTCTAGAGTAGAGAGACCTTTCTTACGCACACCAACAAAGACGGTTGCTGTTGTTGCTGAGAGTAGATGGACTTGTACACGAACAGTGATACAGGATGGTTGCAGAAGATAAGGGTTGCGAGTAGAAGAGAGTTTTGCACACGTACAGACGGTTGAATTGTTTGCAGTGGTTGCGATTAGTAGAGAGACTTCTACAAGTACAGATGGTTGCGACAGTTGCAGTGGTTGCAAGGAATAGAGAGACTTATACATGTACAGTGGAACAGATAGTTGTAGTAGTTGCGGTGCTTGCGAGAAGAGACACAAGTACACAGATAGTTGCCGTGCTTGCAATTAATCAATCAAGACCCCGTTTACACGGGCAAGTACTGTTTACACGGGTCTGGACAAATTTTTGAACGGACGAATTGTCTCTCTATGCAACCCATTTACGCGGAACCGTGCAAATTCTGTTATAGTACTGCTTGTACAAGTCCGTTGAAATTTTTGCACCCTCAGCTTTGGAATGGATTTTTAATCAAAGGCGCGAAACTAGGATCTACGCTTTTTACGCGTAAACTGTGCAAAAATTTTCGTGGTCGAACTGACCGAACCGGTAAAATTTTTGACCTACTGCTGATCAGGTAAAAAAACTTACAGGGTTCCGAGGGTCCCGCGTCACCGCGTGTGTATACGAAATGCGTATCCGTGCAAGGTTTTGTCCGTTCAACAATTTGTCCTGCATGTGCGTTTCTGGAAAAACAAGAAAATGTCTGTATCAACATTTTTAAAAATCGTTTGTTGAACTAGGGGTTCTAAACTTCATAAGCAAGTTACTCCGTCCAGTCTTTGCTTGCAGTAACGTTACAGTAAAAGAACGGCCAGCTGATCAGAGATGTACTTATGTATGTAAATTCAGAGGCATACTATTATTAAAGCTCTATAAACAGGAGAGACTTTAATATAGATCCTTGGAAGACCCCTGATGTGACGGTTCTTGTGGATGATGGGTGACCCTTGCATGTTGTTTCTTACGATCGTTTATATGACATCTGAACCAGGCTAAGGCATTGGGAACCAGCCAAAAGACTGTTATTTTACCAGGGATAACTGACTACTTTTTTGAAGTCAACCGTTCCATTGACTCGATCATTGTAAGAAGTTAGTGTTTGCCATTTACAAAAAGTTTCCCGAAAATTCGGTTTGAAAGCCAGTACTGCTAATGGGGTCGTGTACATAATTTATTAAAAACATGCTAATTAAAGTACACAATTGTAACTAAGAATCTATACCTAAAAAGTGAAAATTTCTAAAATACTTGTGCTATCAAGAAAAAAATATAAATATATCACATCATGGTAATAAACGGTTATTTTTTCTTGATAGCACAAGTATTTTAGAAATTTTAACTTTTTAAATATAGATTCTTAGTTACGTACTCATTTGGGGTGATTCAGCTAAGAAATTGAGATTTTTAAGGGCTTGAGAGTTTATGGTCATTTTAGCGTAGGTTCTTGTGCTAGCCACGGAGAGATCTAACAAGTTCTAAGCAATGGATCCTCTGTACGAGATGGAGTTTTTGATGTGGCACGTTTCGAAACGCGGAACTCTCACGCGATGGTGATGACGCAAGTCGTACTTGTTCTCTCGCCTATGCCAACGACTAGATGTTCTAAACATGATGGAGTTATGCGATTAAAAATTTATAACTTAAAGTTGCCATCTTGGCCCTGTACATGTCAAATAACGCAGTGCCGGATTCAGACCTTTCGATTTGGGGGGGGGCGGTCTCCCCCAAAAATAGTTTCGGCCCTTCGGGCCTCAATTTGGTCTGAAAATATGGGCGGGCCGGGGCTCCCGGGCCCCTCCCCTGGATCCGCTTATTATCAATAAAAAACACTAACAATTTAGAATATGTTGTCCACTTTATGTGATGCTGGCCAATTTTCAAACCACCAAGGGGCCCATTAAAATTTATTCTGTGAAGGATCATTCCCTCGCACTTCTTGGAATGAGGCACTGGTGAATTATGTTTTCACCAGTTGGTTAGTTCTCCAAGCACTCTGTTCATCGTTACTGTAACACCTGTAACCTTGGCGACGGATTCTCCTACGCAGTAAATCGTAGTAACATCGGCATACATGTTCTTTGATGTAAAAAACGAATTGAATTAAGTGCAAAAACCCGTGCACGAAGATCCTGCGGGTTACCAACGTTGGATCTCTAAATTAACAATTAATGAATGAGGCTGATCATGAGTATCTTATGAAGAATGATGGAGATCGAGGAGGGTGTTGGCCGAGGCGGATAACACCCTCCGAGATCTCCATAATTCTTCATATGATACGAAAGCCGAATTCAATAATTGTTTTACTATTCATTCAAAATAATTCCTAGTTTAAAAACATAGCTAAAACATGCTTACCTCCATCGATGTTCAGTTCATCTTCGATAGTGCAGGGTTGTTCAGCTCCGCAAATATTCTCCAAATAGCAGATGTCACCGTTAGAGTTTTCTTCTTGCTGTTCTTGCCATGTTTTTAGCTATTATTTCGCTTAATTCTTACTCTTGAAACGAGTGAAATGTCCGCCATTTTTGTTTTCACAACAAAAAAACTCAACCTCGTCCCTAGGTCTTCTCGGTTAACAGTGTATTAACCTACAAGGAAGCCGCCTTTTGACGTCATCGGTTGATTAATTGCAAAATTCTTCCAAATTTGGTCATCAGTAGCTGGTTATGCGTATGCTTTTAGCCAATCAGAATCGGGGAAATAGTTTGAATGAATAATAAGAAATCGTATCAGCTAAAATATTGAAAACCAAAAAACGAGAAGTCCAAAGACGACTGCAAAGCTGATCAGAACAACGTGTATTGCTTTTTCATAACATCATTTCGGCTGGCCATACCCGCCAGCCTGTTTTCAGGTTTACAGATGTTGCTGAATTTATGATAGGAATTACCATAATTATAATATAGATGGAGAATGTCTTATAAGTAAGTTTTTCAAAACTTAACACAGTAAAAATCACGGACAAAAAACGACGTTTCGACCAATCAACGGGCATTTTCAAGTAAGTGAAAAAGTTAAAATAATTAGGATATATATCTGTAAGGTGTAAAAATATGTTAAGAACTATAAATTGTGAATTTTGTGACTCAAATCCGGAAGCTGACGTCGAATAATGTCAGCTGAAGACTGGTCTTTAAATTGTAAAATAACACGAACAGGGTCAGATGAATCAGAAACAGCCGCGGGCGATAAAACAAGTTGATCAGAAACTTTCGTGGCAATAAAGCCTGAAATAGTAAAGTTAATGAGTTTGTCATAGCCTGCGAGCAAGCTCTCCTATTTGCGCGAGCGAAGCAAGCCGCCCGAGAACGCGCGAGCGAGCGGCAAACCCTCTTCCCCAACCCCCACCTTCGCGTTTCCTCTCGCGTGCCTCTCGCGCGCCCACTTTTCACGATATCCCCATATGGAGAGTTTGCTCACAGGCTAAGTTTGTCAGGTTACTTTAGCCGGGAAAAAAGTTATTTAAGACGATCGCATTCTTTGGAGTATTTTGAGTCACAAAATTCACACGGCCGTGCCTCCAGTGTTTGTCAGCCAAAAAATTGAGCGCGATCTTAAAATGCGAGAAGCTAATCCACCTCTTGTCAAGCAGTAATGTCTTGTTTACAAATTTGAATGTAGTGACCTGTGCGAGTTATGTAGGCTACACATCTCGCCACTTGGCACAAAAGCGGAAGTTCATCCATCGGCCAGCACTTTCGTGTTAAAAATTCTTCAGCACCTACTGAAAGAATTTAGTAATAATTTTAGCATTTTAAAGAAGTGCAAAAGCAAATTTGACTGTCTGGTGTTTGAAATGTTTTTTACTAATAAACTGAGACCTCTAGTCTTAATTTACTATCAGACTCACTTCTTGCTAATGTTTTTAAATAGCTCTTAATTATATTGATTATATTGTTGTTCTTTCTCTGCATGCTTTACTTCGTACCATATCCTCATTGTCTACCACTTAACACATCGCGAAACTAAGTTATGGGAGAGACATCCGCGGATTGTTGTGAAAATAGGTAGACAGCAAGAATAGATCACGAGACCTGAGGAGTTGTCAACCAACACCAGGGGAGGATACCTGGAAAGTGCACTGGTGCAAATAGCATAATCAGTTAATCATGAAGATCAATGTCCCTATATATATATATACCAAGCTCTTTACATTTATTGTAAATCTTGAAGGATTTCTCATTTTATCAGGTTAAGTTTGGGTATGGCAAAACAGTGATGCCTGCCCCTCTTTTTTTGTCGCCACAGGTGAGTCGTCTTCTGGCGCCAGCTACCTGTTCCGGCGTTCAGATAAATGAGACGGTGCAAAGAAAAGTGAGCAGGAAAAAACAAGCTAGGGGTGAGGATTGGGGGAAGAAACCCTTCCTTTCTCCCTCTTCCTTTCTTCCACTTTTCCCTCTTTTCTCTGCTCATTAACTATCTGATCTTCTTGAAAAGATCGGCCACTTAAGCAACGCAGCGATTTATAAATATGATGTTACGCTGCACAACAAACATAAAAAGCTGTGACTGGAGGATTCCAGAAGCCTTTTAAGGGCGTTAGAGGAAATTACAAGGAGTAATAGCCTAAAAGAAAACTTTGAGGTCACGATTGCTTGAAAGCAAAAGGCAGGTATCGGCGTTAAACTGTTTCCTTGGGTGCCGTGATGCGGGATGAAAGTCGCGGGTGCGGCTCGGATGTCGCGGGTGAGGGTGTTGAGAACACAAAATGCGTGTCTGAAGATGAGTTTGACTCACTTATCCTTGGAAACGGGATGCTCCAAGGTACCAGTAACTTTTTTATGTCGGTGCGCACACTTGCAGGACGGCCTATTGTGCTGTCAAATCGTGCTCTTTCGTCATTCTGAGGAATGAAAAGCTTTTTCTTTGGTGCAAGGTGCAAGGGCCTTAAAACGCGCATAAATTCCGAATATGAATCAAAAGGGTCGATCTACATCTTACATTTATTAGCCTTTGCATTAGTTAGTATTTTTTAACGTACTGTTCTTAAATTAAAAAAAAAAAAACGGGATTCGGGAAAGCGATGAAAAAATGAGGAATGCTAGCCTGCGTAGCAAGCATTTCCAATCGAGTTATTGCGCGAAAGTTAGAGCGGAAGCGAAAAAAAAAACAAGTGTTAGGGGGAGGGGAGAAGAGGAAACGCTTGCCAGCAAACCCCACTATTCTGACCCCCCCTTGATATTTCACGGTTCGGTTCGTTTGTAAATTGACAGCTCGTCAAAATAGAAGTATAACGAACAGATTACCCTTGGATTGCCAGACTTGTAAAATTACTGTGTTCTCTAATAAAACACGTCCCAGGCGATTGCAAAAAATGTGATTAAAAAAAGGTTTACGATAAAAGAAGGTTAAAACTCTGAGCGATTACCGCGAAATTTCTTGCTTTTTTATTGTGTGGCTTTATCTCGTCGTGAAACCTTGTCGAAACGTCCCGGGGGGGCGCTTGGGTATTTTTTGGGTGGGTATATGCCGCCCGGGACTCCAAATTGGCACCCTGTTCCAAAAAAAATTCCCCTAAAATTGATACCCCATTCTGGAAATGGGCCAATTTTTTATACTCCGTTGTAGAAAGTTTGTAAATTGAAAAAGCCCTGTTTTTTTAAAAAGATATTTCTTTATTTGTTCGACTTATATATCAAGTAATCGTTTCTTCATAATCATCGGGAGTACGTTTCCAGTGCATGTGGATACAATGCGGTTAATTATGACGCAAAATCTCTCACCACGCACAGAAGCACGCTCGTAAGCTGACGATTTTCCTTCTCCTCCCCCGTCCCTTTCTTTTGAGCCCGTCTCCATCTCTCTCGGGTACATTATGGACTCGTTCCAGACTTCCGCGCGCCTATTTATCCAAGATGGCGGAGTCACCCCTCACCGCTCGCGGCTCGCGCCAAAATACGCCTGCCCTGCACGCTAAAACACAGGGTGCAACACGAGTACAACAGTTTGCTTGTTAACGCATTGAACCGTATTTTTAAAAGCAATCTGTCCTTGAATAATTTCAAATGGCTGCTTACAAAACTGAAGCTTTCGTGCGTTCGAAATATTATACCCCGTTCTAGAAAACGCCCCTGAAATGGATACCCCGTTCTAAATCAGGAGCTTCAAAATCACGACCCCGTTGGGTGGCACATACCCGTATAGGTAATGTATGGGAGTACCCCCCTCCTTTGCCCCTGGGCGAAACGTCAACAATGATTTGTCCGGAACAATTCACTCCGCCCGCTATACGTTTTGCAGAGCGCTGTGGCTATATGGTCGGTAACCGGTCAAGGTTTCCAAAACATTAAATGGCCGGCAGTCCTATATTCTCAGTAAATTTCACAAAATCGAAAGATTCTAGCTAATCTAAACTATCATATGTCGATTTAGAAAAGTCAAGCGATCCTGAAATGCTTTACAGATCTCAAGTCTAGTGTTTGGTTTACAATGGGCTCTGAGGGCGAAACCATGGTTTGTGACATGTTTTGTAAAACGACGATTAATTTCGAGAATCTCAATTTTTTAAAAGAAATTAATCGACTGGTTTAAAAATTATTCACTTATTACAATACGATCGGTTTCACAAACAGATTGTGGACAGATTGTGTGGGTGGCCTGTTCCCTAAGAACGCTTCAGCATACACGATGGCTGCTAATGAGGGCGATAGAAACACAACTGTAAGTTTTTATTGAGATGATTCAGATACGGTCAATTTCTTGGTCCTTCTTGCGATCTACGTCGTGCCAATATTCTGAGGGTATAAAATTTTGATTGGCTTAATGGCTGGAAATGTTGGACTCTGGTCAGCAAAAACCTTTGTGTCGGAGGAGAGTATCACGAGACTTGAGAAATGGAGGGCCACTTAAAATGCTTTCAATATCATTTTCGAATTAAATGTTTAATTTACATTATTTGTGCCTTTTTAGCTAAATTTCGGATCAAAATTAAACAAATGAGTTTCATAGTTAATTATTAAAAATCATTCAACTGACAACTGAAAAATGGCCAAAATTTAACTGACAACTGGCATTTGCACCTCCCACCCCCGCCATCCAGACCTTCGAAAAAGCTGTTATGTCATTGTATACAGTATGTCACGTTACACGAAAGTCTGCTACACAGCCGTTTTGAGTGTCGTCACGCAACGCTCCTTCCCCCTTAGGGGAGGAGCGTTGCGTGACGACACTAAAAACGGCTGTGTAGCAGACTAGTTACACGACGGTCTAGTCGTTTTGTGGATTTCCGCTGACCAATGCATTCGCAGCTACGTCTTCTGCATTTTCGCAAGTTCTTCAAGTTCTTGTATTTCGATTTGAAAAATTTATCTCTCTCGAAATACGACAGAAACTTAGTCCGAGCTTGCTTTTTGCGAGTTTCTAAGCTAATGATTTCAAGCTAGTGAATTAGACAAAGATATGGATCCTCTTGGAGTGACAGCACCAATTGTGGATGCCCTTTCTCTTCCAAGATGGAGTACAACTCCAGTTCCGTCTTACGAAATCATGCCGTCAAATAGCAGGAGGACCGAAAATCCATTCCCTGTTCGACAAGACCTAAACAGTAAAGTGGCGCTTTGGTGGGTGTTTATGTCTGTAGTGTTAGATAAATATGGGTAGCTTTATAATGGTACGCTGCGTTGTTATGCTAATTTTGCACACAGGTAAACTTGCCACAGCGTAACCTAATAACTTTATATCTCACTTTGTTTCTTAGTGAACCATTAGTTTTCTTTAGTTTAGTATTGGTTTCATAAATTTACCGGGTAGTCAGAGTAATTCAATGGAGAAAGTTATTTCTATCATTTTGACAGCTATTGTACATGTACAGTATAATGGTATAAGCCCTTGATTTTATAATTACTCGAGGTTGCGTAGCACGGAGAGTCGTAATCTGCAAGCCGTTTTCTTTTCTTCTTATTTAGTACACGAGGGGAGTCATGGTCCCAGGTGTTCTTAGCTGAGACCGTGGAAACTGGGGATAAGAATCGTGACGACTTTCATTTTATGCAAATGCAACGTGTGATGAGCATGTGGTTTATTTTTAGGGATGATTGAAGTGACCCGCCTAGTTGAACATGTTTTGGCTTTTTGGCAATGATGAAATTTTCCCCAAATCAAGGCCCTTGATTTTTGTGTATGCATATATGCGTTTTAAAGAGTAAATATCCTGGGGAATACTTGACCAAAATCCAGTTTCATGGTATGTTGAGGCGTTACCTTTCTCAGAATATTGACGCAATCACTGGAACGCTGTGGTCAAATAGATTCGATATTGCAGATTCAACTGGCGCACACTGCTGAAGCCAATAATTTCCCATCAATCACACAGTTACACATAAACCCTTGCTGTTGTTATAAGTGCGCACATGTGACATTCCACTTATAAAGTGCATCTGCACAGGTGCTCAGCTTTGAGATATTACCTTGTTTGGAGCATGACGAAATTTAAAAGTACAGTAAGTTGGAAGATTTTATGCGCAACCACCCTTGAGCTGCAGTATCAAGATCTTAACACTGTTAAGTGGTCTGCATGTTTTTAATAATACATGTTTGGTTCTTCCAGGTCAGGTGATATAACTAAACTAAACACCATAGCGATAGTAAATACAACAAATGAATCCCTCAGTAGCAAAGGAGTATTGAGTGAAAGGATCCACAGAGCTGCTGGTCCAGAGTTGTTACATGAGTGTAGATCACAGTTACTTGGTATGGACATAGTTTCTGAGATAAATAAGTGTTATTATAGTATAGTTAAATCAAGTTTTTTGGAGTCCAGTTTTCCCAAAACACCACAAGCAAACCTTTGAGCAATACCATATGATACCACCCTGTTTTTTGGAAGGATTTCCATTACACTCAGGACTGCCATTAAGATTTTGAATTACCAGGTAAATATACTTGTAAGTAGGTGGGGAATTAAGCAACTGGCAATTTCTTTTGGTTCTATATTTTTTGGTAGCCAGGGGAGATCCCCAGCCCCAACCTTAAATAACAACCCTGATTACCTCTAGGCCATAAAGTGTTAGAAGGGAGGAACTCTCACTAGTCTCTCAAACTTCTAGGTAATAATTTGCTCCAACACTGACTGCCCTCTCACAGTCAAAACTGGTTTTCCCCACCATGTTTGAAACTCCTGGCAATTTGAATCGATTTGTTTTTCCCAAGATGGTTCTAAAAATTGTGGATTCCGCCATGCGGTCTTAGTATTCATACCAGAATCCCATACTAGTGAATGGACAGTGTAGTTTCTTTTTCCGTACAACATTTGTTTTAAAAAAAAGTTAAAAATGGTAACAGAGAACAGCTGTAGTAGTCAAATTAGTACTGTCACAATGATAATCAATTAGTTGTCAAGAATTCCTGTTTATTATTTTTTCTAGGTTGTAGGACTGGAGAGGCTAAAATATCAAAAGGCTATAGTTTACCAGCTAGGTGAGTGAGTTGTTAGGGTGGTACCGGAGGCTAATTTGGGCATTTTTTTGTCAGTTTTAGCCGTATGAGAATATCATTTTAAGCATTTAGTGAAAATAAAGTGAAATGTTTGGATGCAAGTCATAAGTGAATGGGGATTAAAAAATCACATCTTCTTTCGGATAACCATTAAGGAGTGTGTGGAATTGTTAAAAATTTAGGGTGTGGTTGAAATTGCCATTTTGGATAAAATTGGCTCTAAATTCAAAAGGATTATGTGTAAATATTATTCAAAATAAAAAGACACACATGTATTGTAGATTCATAAAAGAAAGATTTACAGTGCAATGTGCCAGAAAATATTGAATCTGGACAATTTTAGGGCAATTAAAAACAAAAAAAACTAAATCTGGTGTGAATGCAATACCTTGTCACTTCCAAAATACAAAGTGGACTGTAGTGCCTTCTGCTGCCAAATTTCGTCATCTTGTCTAGATAACGCCTGCTAAGTTTTGTGGGAATTGAATGAATCTTTGAGGAGAAAACTATCAAACACTGCCAGCCACAGGCTTAAAAGAAAAGTTTTTTTACATGCACTAGAACTAAAAATCATGTTAGCTGACTTGGTCACCATCTTGGAAGAGCCTGTAAGAAAGTTTTTGAATGGAAAAACTCTAAATACTGCCCTATATACGGTCATGTTCACCATAAATGGCTGGCTGTTTTTGCCGCAAAACCAATCAGAGGTGCAGGTATAAAAAAAAATGATTCCTTTTGCTTCACAATGATGTCCTGGAGTGCTCCTGTACCACCTTGAGGGACTGTTACTTTCAAGGTGTCTGGGTTTCCACTTAACCACCATTTCAGACGTAGTGCTTGATGTACACTGTAGCTCCTTGAAGCTAATTTACAGCAAGTTTTGTGATAATTAGGATTGTTCTTGACGTACAAATTTCCCTCACAGAATATGTATTGTAAATTCACTTTAGTACATGTATATGAAGAAAAATACAGTTGTTAAACACATAGTAAAACATTTAAACTGTACATGTACACTGTACTTGAAGTCTTAAAAGAAATATTTCCTCTAGATCTGTTTATTCATTATCGGCTTATTCATTAATATCTGTATACAGTGAAACTATAATCTTTTAAGTACATTTAAAATGCAAACGTGAGTTTCCTTCTCTGAATGATAATATTAAGGCTAGGAAACATACAAATAAGCTAAATCAAAGTTAAATGTAGTGGAACCTGGAAATAACAAAGGGCCAAGGGACTGACAAAATCTGTTCATCATAACAAGGGTTTGTTATCTCCAGGTTCTTTTCCATATTATTTTACTATTTACTAAGTGTCGTTTGTTATGCCGAGGAAGTCCTTTGTTATTATAGAGGTTGGTAATATTGAGGTTACACTGTACTGGTTAAACCCAAGAATGGATTTTAGCCATGTACATGTACCCGAGGCACAAAAAGTGCTTAATATATGGAATTTTTAATAGTTTTGGATTTTGCATAGCTCTGACTAGTAGCTTTCAAATATGCAAGTAAAAGTTTAGGTCCATAGCTTAACAAAGTAGTTTTTTTCCTGTGGATGATGATGGTGATGATGATTTTTATATTTTTTGTGAAACATTTACATTGAGGTAATTTGAATTGAATAATAATAATTATTATTCTCGTCTGGTGTGTAGATATGTTATCCATACTGTGGGACCAAGATACAACATAAAATACAAGACTGCAGCTGAAAGTGCACTCTTCTCTTCTTATAGAAGTGTCATGAAAATTGTCAGGTTTGTCAGTTTACTAGTTTTTGTCATATTTTGGGAAACAGCCATAGTAGGTACATGTTACAGTCAGGTCAGGTCAAGTGTACCCACCCCCGGCCTCCCTCCAAGGATTATATTATAGAGTTTATTATTCGAAAGTTGAATCTGTTGGTATTTGTACATTTTAGATTCATCTCTGCTTTCCTGTATGTGCATTGAGCAGTGAATTCACACATCAGGCAGTTATTAAATTTCTACCAGCTCAGTTTCCTACAATTTGATGTAAATGTCCTTGAAGGAATTTTAACTTTCAAAAATTTTCAATCTGACTAGATACAGAGAAGTTCTCGTCAAATACTCACCCCTCATTATGCATGAAGGAATGCCCATTTGAATTTGACACTAGTTACAGGAACGGCTACCGGATTCATTTTTCAAATGGTCGCTTCATTAACAGAATCTTGGGGGTATGCTTGACCTGCCTTGACTGGAAAATTTTTTAACCTAGGTTGATTTTCAATTTTCTTTGTCTCCTAGCCCTAATTATTCATGAATTAGGACTAGGATACAAAGAAAATTGAGAATCAACCTACCGGTAGGTTAAAAAAATCAAATTTTAACCTGACTTTTATTTTGACCTATAATGGATTGAGTTTGAAAGAATATAAAATTCAGGAATCGATATCCCTCTAACTACAACAAAAATTAGTTTTTCTGCATAGAGTATAATCAATTACCGTGTTATTTTGCATAATAATTAAATCTGATTATTTTCAACAATAAATTTACTTTTGTGCTAGCTCTTCAGAGCTCCAGGCTAGTAAACTAAAGTAGTAGCTTGCCCAAAGGGCAAGCTGATTTTTGTCATTTTCATCTTACCCTGAATTTATCTGTTGTGTGCTTAATATAAACATAAAAGGTTATACAATGATAGACAGTGTACCTATTAATGCACATATTAAGCCTATTTTCATTTTGCTGCTGTAATTTATTTTTATTGTTGATGGTGAGTGCTTTAAAGTGCTATACATTGTAAGCTCTAAGCAGTGACTTTTTTGGAAAAATAATTATAATGCCAATTTTGGTTCATGGCCCCCTTTTTAAAATTTGACGATACGTGACTGGACTAAAATGAATTTGGCCGGTCAGTGTGTCTGGAGACTCTCTAGAAATTATTTCGAGCCCTGGTTCACGTGCTCCTCTTTGCCTGCATCGGTTTGATAGTAAATATCCTATCCCAGTAAGTTGCATCTTGCTGCATGCCCAATATAATAAATCAAAGAAAGACTATCGTCAACTCGTGGGTACGTTGTTTAGAAAATAATCAATTAGTTATCACCTCTGGTTTTCCCACAGTGAATTTTAGGAAATGATAGAAATTCAGATTATAAATATACTATCCTTGTTCTGGAAACACAATACTTTTCTTGCTGTTTATTGCACTTTAGTAACAGTTATTTAAGTATATATTTAAAAACAAAAAAACAGCAAAACAAATAAGCAAACATGACAAATCAAAAAAGAAAAAAAAAGGGAAAAAGGGAAAAAGAAGGTCTTCAGCAGAATTTGAACCCAGTTCGGGTTGACACGACCTCACATAGCCACTACGCCATTGAGGATGGTCACGTGATTTGGCGAAAAGTCTCAAGTTTAATGCCTTTTCAACTTCCACCGGCAAACGACTGAGGCAAACGATCGAGCCATCATCTTAACCGATTGAAAAAATGACTCGAAGCAATCGGATGAAATTAAGGCTAATTGAAACCAGGCTACTGACAGTAAAAAACAGTGTAAACGCATTTCATGACAATGAAAGAACATATGGTTACAAAGCCGACACAAATCCTCCGCGAAGTAGGACGCAAAACATTAGCTTATGTTTTCTTATCTCGATTTCCACTGTTATTTTAAAGGTAATGCTCAAACTCACATCTATTTCCCCCCGTGATCTTGGGGAGTCCTTACTGTAAGAAGAAGTGCCTTTATTTACCATACATTTCACCAGTCCGTATTTTATACCCAGTCCGCAGTCCGTAGTCCGCAGTCCGTGTTTTATACTGACCGCCATAAATTCATTCATACACATAACCTACTACACTACTACAAGGTAGGAGATCAAGCCAGCATCGAAGTTGAAAGAGTCGAAGAGCAAATGTTCATCTTTTCGTCAAGTTTAACACCTGGTCGGGCCAAAGGCTTTTGAATCGTACTAATTTGAAAGATTCCTGCATGTCTTAAATTTGGTAAGACCTCTATCCTAACCGTGCTGTAGCGCACGATGCACGCTCTCAGCGAGGAATTTGATGCTACCGAACTTCGGCGAGCGCGTGCTTCTTTGGAAACGATAGATCTTCGCGCTCTCGAGTTCGGACCCAATTAAAATTACGAAGTGCGTCTACTACGAGTGAGCGAGGGACTCATTTGCATATCCCTGTCCCTGCAATAACTCGTGGTACGCTGGCACGTACCCACGAGTTAATAAATTGGGCAATTCCAGATAATATCCATATGATACCACAGACACCTTTTCTGAATCTGAGGGCAAGGGTGGGCCTTTAAACAGGAAATCTGAGGGCACGGGGGTATACTAACAATTGGAATTCCGGAGGCATGGGGGGTTTACATGTAGATCTGGAATTTCCACAAAGGACAGACAAGAGTGTACATACATTCCTTAAAAATGCTTACTTTAAATGAAATGTACAAAAAAAGTCATGCAAAACAACGGCAAAGAAATGTACAAACAAAGTGTGCTGCACATTCAAAGTTGCTTTTTGGCTAATTTGACCTATTGTTGTTTTTCACCGTTCTCCAGCGTTACCTTCGCTGCTTAGCATTACACGATTTTATATTTTTTTAGAACAAACTGTAAATATTATCGAGATCTTTGGGTTTTAGCCCTGGTTAAATCTATATATTATTAATATTCTTATTCAATATTGTTTGAATATTAAATGATTTTGCCTTAGAGAGTACAGACTAGCATCAGTTGGCCTTTGTGTTGTGAACACATCAAGACGTGGGTACCCTCCAGAAGATGGAGCTCACATTGCCTTGCGTGAGTAATTTTCAAACTATGAACATTTTCACCGCATCATTTTCAGGGCGTGAAAAATTTTGAATTCCAGCTAGTCCTTCAAACAATCAGTTGTCACATTTTGCTTCTCCAGGGTCATTAAATGCATGAAATAGTTCATGATTTATTCAGAAGATTGCTTGCCTGGCAGTTGCCCATTGGGCATAAGCAAGCATGAAAATTTACTGGTACAGGTACTTGCATGGGAGGAAAATCTAGTTGTCCTGGACCACTGGATGACTCTTTTTTTTGGTCCTGCAATTAATTTTCACCTTACAGAAGATTTCTGGCTTTCGCCAACAGTCAGAGTGAATGCCATAACTTTTGTGCTAATCTTCTGGATTAATTACCCATGAGTCTCCCACTACTCTACTGTGCAAATCTCCCTGTCTCTTGTAGGGGTAATTAAAGTGGATAAAAATGAATTTGTAACTTTTCTTTGCTTTAGCTTGAATTTCAGCCCAAGCAAATGAAAAGAGAATTTTCACAGTCTGTAATTCATGTAAGTCTTTGTATAAATTATGATGGGGATGCATTTTAAGTACATGTAACAGGAATAAGATACAAGGATTTTTCTTCTGTTTACAGGAACTGTAAGGCGTTTTCTTGAAAAATTTTCAGATATTGATCTTGTTGTTTTTGTTGTGGAAAATGCTGATGAGGTAAGACTAATTTATTTTAGTTAGGTACACTTTGTGTCCATTGATAAAAATAATTCTTTCATGTGGTGTCTCCTGTTCAGGAGACAGCATTTCCAAGCAGCTTTTGTGACAGACTTGAAATCCAACAGCCCCAGTTCAAGTCCCATTCTAATTACTACTTCATGTATTGTTTTTCAATCTTGTCAAGTTCAAATCCTCCTTCACATTTGTAATTAGCTAATTATTGGTTGCCTTCTGCCAGTTGGGTTTTTAATTCTGTTATGCTGTGGATGTACCATTTGTCTCATAATATTGCATAGAAGTACTTGTATGTAAACTAGCCAGAACAGCTGAGTGCACTTCCAGTGGTGCACTTGCCTTTAAGGAAGTAAGCAGGGGCTTACAAGTGATTCAGACAGTATGACATATATCTTTTAAAAAGAGATGTATTGACAAAGAACCGTGTATTTTTGCTTTGGTCGATCACCTGGTTCAAGAACTAAATGACAGGCTTCTCTCACAAGAGAATCGTTTCTTAGGACAATATCCTTTTCCAGCAAAGCTGAATACTTTTAACAGCAGAGTACAAAATAAGCTTTATAAAACCTACAAAACCGATCTTTCAAAGAAGAGAGAATTAATTTTGACAATGGAATTTCAAGGTTGCTTGACAAACAAAGTGGTCTCATTCAACTGATGAAAAACCAGTGACACATCTCACAGAGTCACAGATCCAGCACGCTAATCCGGGCCTTTATCCCAGCGTGGTCACAATTATTACCATCCTCCTGACAATGTCGTTGTCAACTGCTACCCCCGAACAATCTTTTAGCACAATATGCAGAGTGAAGACGTGTTTACGTTCTACGATGAAAACACAGTGATTCGAAGCACTTGCCCTGATGCATGCTTACAGAGACATACCCATTGATGTAGAAGCCGTGATTTGCGAATTTTGCACCGAAAAGAAGAGACGTCTAGCTTTCGGATTTCTTTAAGTTCCACCAAGATTTCAGATATGTTTGCAACTATTGTGTCGCTGGTCAGGTCATTAGGTTGTTGCTGTTGTTGACCACAACCACAACTGGCTGCATTTTGTTAAATATTCCATTATTTCTTGTTCAATATGGAATCCTGGCATTTGCCAATTAATTAAGTGCCCAGATTGCACCAGATTACATAGTACTTGAATTTTCAGAATTTTCAGAATTTTCTGGGAGGGCATGTCCCTGGACCCCCCAGCATGTCTCGCCTTGGGCTCTCCTTATGGGCGCCAACGCACCCATATTGTATCTCCCCTCAATATGCTCCACTAAGGCTTACAAACAAAAAATGCCTAGGAATGCCCCTGACTTCCATAATAAACAAACCTTTTTCTAGCAGTATATTTACTCTGTACCATCTGATGTTTAGTCATTTCTACCAGGCCTTTAATTAAGGGCCAGGGGCTGAGGACTCCCTCTGGTTACTATGAGCATGATCTCCAGCTATGTACTTTCATGGGAAACAAAAGGAAAAAGGAACAAAAGAACTTGCCAGTTGTTCAATTCCTTCCTGCTAATTTCATACACCTGACAACTTGAAATCTTAGTGACAGCTCTGTTATACAGCTTTACATTAAAAGAGGATGAATGTTGACCTCTAGAACTTGTGGGTGTGAAAAACCATGTATTGGTTTTTTTTTATTATTTCCAAGTACGGTCAATTCCCTTTGTAGTGAACGCAATAGGGACCTCGAGTTAACGTCCTCATTAGTGAGTGTCCGTAATTGCAAGAGTTTATTTCAGTCAAACATCTGCAATTTATTTTTACCTGTGATCTAGCTGCGTCTGTATTACCAGGGTGTCCACAAGGCAAGAGGCTGAGAGTTGGCAGTATTGTTCTTATAGTGATGTAATATTTATTATGCCCCTGAATGGCATTACCTTCAGTGCATATATTAACGAATATAGCATTTATAAGTAAAACTATGGTTTTATCTTTTTCAGGCAATTTACAGGAAAGTGATGCCGCTTTACTTTCCCAGAAGCAGGCAGGAAGAAGAATTTCTTGTTAATGAACTTCCTGATGATATTGGTAAGTCAGTTGATTTGTGAATTACATACTTACACTCTGTAAAATAAATGCGAGGAGGATCATGGCAGTTTAAAATGCAACTTATCGAGACACTACTCTATCACTTTGCAAGAGTTCATATTGAAAAATAGTCTTGAAGAGATTGGCACGGTTTAAAATAAGTCACTAGGCATTTAGCCTCACCAGTGATGTATGTGTCTAATTAAGAAATGTGCTTATGAGACATTAGGCAAGTTTCTTTTCACAGACGTTAGCTAAGTACTTTTAATGCTCCATTTTCTTGTCATTGTAGGTAACGAGAATGGTGAACCAGTCATTCCTGAGAGACAAATCAGGATAATGGATAAACCAGTGGGCCATAGGGATCTTGATGACGGTATGAGCTACGTAACTCAATTCAGTTCAACTCAGTTTCGCTCCTACAATAGAATATGGTAATCTACTGGGCCGGGTTGTTCAAACAGGGTTAAGTTAACCCAGGGTTAGTGCGAAGTTTGATTTCAGATATGAAAGCTTAAGAAGCAAATTGAGTTTTATTCTTTTTGCCTACAATTTGATGATTAGATGCTTTCAAAGGATGAGAGAAAATTATGTGGGAAAATGCTTTTGGAAAAAAGAAAAAGAACCCTGGGTTAAAATTTAACCCTGGGTTAGCACTAATCGGCCTTCGAACAACTTGAAGTTCTTGGATAAAATCACAAAACATTACACTTTCACTTGATAGTTCTTTAGATTTAAGGAATAGAATGATGTGACCACAATAGACTTAAGAGAACGTTTTTTATACTGGTAACACAATAATTACTGTGTGCCCAATAGTTTACATTGTGGCCAACAAATAAGGACAGAAACATGTAATTGAAATAAACAAAATTAGTGAGAATATCAACTGGTAGGAGGCAAACTAGTTGGTTATTCACAAGCTTGGCTGAGGATTTGATCTTGGGCCTACATAGAACACATCCAGGTTGCAATCTGAGGGCGGCACTTGAATTCAGGGCCTTAAGATTGCAAGTCCAACGCTCTAACCGCTTGGTCACGCAGCGTCCTGCGTGACTGCCTCATACCACATTGGTCTGGTAAGTGCAATTGATGAGATGGTAACTGCAAGAGATTGCTACATCCCTAGTGGTTCAATCATATCCGCAAGAGTCAGATCAGTGCATGTGTTGTGAGATGGGGTCTTCCAGAATCCTTTAGCCTGCATAGCAAGCGTTTCTGCACGAGTTCGTCGAGAAAGTTGGGACGGGAGCAAAAAAGAGGAGTGAACGAAACGCTTGCTACGCAGGCTAAGAATCCTTATCCAAGAAGACTAGAGAGTCTAACGATTTGTAGATGGGAGACAAAGGCAGTACCTTCCCCTTAGGTTATTTTAAGACTCAAGAGTGTTTGTCTGTCTGGGTATCGAGCCGGGGACTACCCCTTCTTTGACCTTCCATTGCCTGGTAGCCAACCATCATAGCATTTGAGCTAAGCAGTCCTCAGTACTGTTTTCTTCTTCGTTACTTGCAAAATGAAAGCTTTCATTTTGACTCTGACAGGGTTAACTGGTTAACTCTGAACGCTGTTGTCGATAGATGCTCTTCTTATGTTGATAACTTGTTTGTGTAGATGATGAAGTTGAAGAGGCGGAGGAAGCGTGTGCGACGAATGTACTGGACACATCAAGCGTTGGTAAACATGCTTTCACAGCCATGGCTGGAGACCATGATCAACTCACCAGACAACGACTGCAACGATCCACCAGTGAAATGCACACCATTCAACATGAGAGAGTGTAAGACATTATTGCATTCAACAGAAGTTAATATTATGTTAAAAAATGTGGTGTAGACTGCAGCAGTGGGGTGGCAAGCGCACATGAGCCACGAGACATGAGAATCATGGGCGGTAACCGAGAATGAAATAACCAGTCAGTTTGCGCGAGAGAAGAAAAGGGTGTGGCTCATGGGTAGCCATTTTCTTCTCTCGTGTATTTCACTCGACGGGCTTGGGAAAGAGACTGGCTTTATTCGAAGACTATTTAATTCTTTTTAAATTTAATATTTTCCTTTTTTCAAACAAAAAAACAAAGGAAAGAAAAATTTAAACCAAAGCAACAAGGCTTTCATACATCATCTTCTCCCGCATTCACAGGGCTTAGCTCTCTTCTTTAAAAACTAAATCTTCCCCTTTTTCAGCTGCACTTATTATTATTATCATTATTATTAACGTTTATTAATATTATTATTAATAATTTTTTTATAATTTTTTTCCCTTTCTTCTTATCATTACTCTGTTTGCTCACTAGTTACCAGAGATGGCTACGACGAGCCAGGACAGAAGACTTTTCAAGTCTGATCAGACTTAAGATGCTTTATCAGTCAGGTTGGTTCATCTATATCTTCTGTTAACATCCTACCAGCCAGCGTAACGTGTTCCTTTTTGGTATCATGTCTTAGTCCAATTTGCCTATTTTGTTGGATTTCACGGGCTATGAAGAGAACATTTTTCACTTCAAAACAATAGGGCCTTTTAAACAAGGAAAAATAAGACGCTTCTTATCTGGAAACAGCGCGTAACACCTGTTCTTTGGTAAGTCGCGTCTTATTTCAGACGAAATGTGCCATTTATATGGGACGGTTTACGTCTTCTTTAGGACGCGTCTATCTTTTCTCGTATAAATTGCCCAAATATAAGCTCGTTATGGAAGAAATCTTGTGAATTTGCCTTCTGATCTTTAGACTCGAGAGGAAGGTTGAAGAACAAGTCGCCATCGACTTCTTGGTTTTTAACGTCAGATGAAACTTTCTTTCGAGTTTTTGATACCTCCTCGAATAGGCTGCTACCCTGCAATCCTGGACAAAACTACTTGAGAAAATGTTTTCATTAATGCACACTACCTAGCGCAACAAAACTGTTTCCAAATCAACGGCTTTGCGTAAAGAATACCCCCTCCCCCAATTCAAAGTTGCTTCCTAGAAATGCTTAGGGATCCGGCTTTCTTTAGAAGACCCAACAACATTGCTTCCAGGGGGAGGGGGGGAGGGAAGAATCGGTCGGTTACGAAGTTCAGAAAAAATGCCCCCAAATATGCAATTTTCTCAACAGTTTTATCCAAGATTGTGGGTACCAGAGGTTTTTCTCGCGTGTGGCGGAAATTTTCGGTGTTGGCCGAAGGCCGACACATCTTCGGCCGTAAGCCGAAGCCACGAAACCGCGCTAGAAAAGTGTCTGGCACCCAGGGTAATAGGCTGCGATTATCTTGAAAAATGCCCGTGTATTTCGTTTATGTTTACAGTCAAACCTCAGCCAACAGACAACTCCGATCCCGTAATCGGACACCAAACCTGCAGTCCCGGATATTTCACCACTGAAACATTTTACTTTTATCGTCCTGTACAAACCAGGAACCTCATAACGGGACGCTAGTCTGAGAGTAAGCACTCCATTTGGGACAGTCGCGAGAAGTCACGGGCGATCCCGCACCTAGTTGAAAGATTGTTTTTGGTTAGCTGGGAAAACAATAGGGATTGTCACATAACAATGCCTCTATCCCTGAAAACAATGGAAGTGCAGATTAAAGGGGACCACTGAAATAAGAGGTTTAGAACCGTGCAGGTCTACTGGAAGTCACTCGAGACCGGCACACCAAAGGAGACCCGACGGCGAGGGGCGCTCGCTCGCGCGTTGTCTCGCAGCGTGCTTCGCTTACCACTCGATATGGAGAGCTTGCTCTCAAGCTAGCAGACGCGGAGACTGAGTCCGTTAAAGCTTAACGACATCCCTTAAGTTGACGGTTGAAACAAGTCAAGTCTAAAATTTAGCGCAAAAAAGTCCGTATGTTCTACATTTGAATAAAAGGAATTGTAACAAATGAGTGGTACAGTTACTGAGAGTGCAATTCTGTCGTGCTATTGTAAGTCCACGTTTGCATAGCACTATTTCTTATAGGATTTTGCAAATGAAAATTTAATTTTAGTCGGAGTCGGACGGTTAGGTCCGATTTCTAAACCTACTTTAGCATGGTAGTGATTTCTTAGGTTGCTATATATTGCTGCCAAAATGTGTTTATTAAATCTGGGATGAATTAAGTAAAATTACGGTCAGTTGAGTGAGACCAGCTTACAGAATTTACAATTGAAATGGTAAAAGTGGATTTTAGAGGAGCTTTGTGAAAGACCAAGGTACTATGAAGCTCTTAACAACACTGTTGTCAAGTTCATGTTCACTTAGCCTGCCTGGTTGTTTTGCAGGTGTTGACTTTCTTGGAAGACCTGTTGTAGTGTTCGTTGGTCGGCATTTTCAAGTCAGGAACATCGACCTCAACAAGGTTTTCTTTTTATTTGTTCATTTGGTTTATAAAACTAAAATGTTTTAAGGTGTTTTTGCACTGTTTCAGGTTAAGTAGCCTGCGAACGCAGTAAACGAATTTTGATTGGCTAAAATTTCGCGCCTGCACTAATCTCGCCTTTCCACGGCTCATTTTTCCCGCGCTTCACGCGGCTTCTTTTATTTGCTTTGAGACTTCGTTTTAAAAATGACTGATTTTGTGTAGCGACGAATTTTGATTGGCTAAAATTTCGCGCCACTCATCTCGCCTCTTCCCTCGCTTCACGCGGCTTCTTTTATTCGCTTTGAGTACCGGTGGCATTATTTTTTCCCGGCGTTTATTGGCGTCTAAAACTGATTTAATCAAATTGTTTGGTTATATTTTCTCCCTTTCAGGCAGTAGCATATTTCATTAACGTTTTGGACAAGATTGTCAACAGAGATTACGTAATTGTGTATCTTCATACTCTGAGCTCCGAGGAGAACCAGCCGCCGTTATCCTTTCTTAAAGATCTTTACCATCTTGTCGATAACAAGTAAGATCTCATCGCTATGAAATTAAATAGAATAAACTGCATTCAACGTAGTGTCATAATTATTAGTTGAATTGAAGTAGAGCTCTTTCACGATATATTTTAAGTTTCGTTATTATTCACTCAAAAATATTTCTCTGTTTCTGATAAACTCCAATCCCCCGGCTAATTAGCAATCATTGATTCGGCTTTCGTGTGATCTGAAGGATAACATCTATTTCGAGAAAGGTTGTCAAAGTGCACGCGACGATCCCGAAAGGTTTTGTGCGTGGTTTTCAGTTCACTGTTCTTCAAAGAAATTTAAAAGAATGGCACGGGAGGCCATGGACATATGTTTGCGAGTTCTAAAGGAAAGCAACAAACAAATAATAAACAGTTATTCCTCGAGCTATTGACTCTGAGGCCATGAGGGCGAAAGGAATAATTGTTTTAGTAAAATCCAACTAGTTGGTCAAGAACATCGAGACCAAACAACTTTAGCTAGCAAAACGAGATTCAGCCGCCATAGTGTTGGTTTTCAAAGCCGGCGCTTTTCGCTACTAGTGGGCTATAACATATAGCCTAGTAGTCGCTCAACCAATCAGAACACAGCATTGATAATAGACCACTAGTTGGATTTTACTAATATAATATACCTGTTTCACTAGTATCTGAGCTACATAATTACAATACCCGCAGTGCATCATCCAAACAATTGATCATACTCTTAGTTTGAACTAATCTCAGGAGATTCTGCGCCAGCGTTATTGGAAGATTCTTTTGGAATAGTATTCCGCAATTAATCAGAGACAAATCATCTAAAAAAATCTATTCCAAAAGGACTTTCACGCTGGTACCTTGCTCAATACTAATGAAACATCATCTCTTAATAATTTACTGAGCCATTTTATATTTTTTTTCCTTCACTTTTTTATTAAAAATTACAGTCTTTTTGTTATACGTAACTTTAAGGGGCGCAATATTAGTTTTTCTAAACGTGAGTTGTATCTTTGCTTCTCTTGCTATGGTTTTACAAATTCAGCTATTTCTTCTTCGCAAAACTTGTGAAATTTTACGCCATCTTCTTCCAAAATATCTGAATCAACGAAACCTCGTTGCCAGTTCTTCTCGGTCGACCTCTCTTTTCCTGGCGATAACCTGTACTGTTGTTGTCATTTAACAAAATAGAGAGCTTTAGATTCTGAGACGAGAACGACTAGGAGTGCGAGATTTTCTCAATAGTAAGTAGTGCACGCACTTGAGGCAGTGTAATTTTGGCGGGAAAACGTGGTAGCCGTCTTCATTCTACTACGAGTTTTAGCGAGAGTGTCGTAGTGGCGGGGACAAGTTATCAAATGTTAGAAGTTTTAGCATTTTGCAGTCGGTAGAGGGCTCAACCTCCTTCAATGACGATAACAGTGCTAACTTTCCTGGTGAAAAAAAGTACAATGAAGATTTCCGGGGTGTCTATTTTTTGACAATACGCGAAAAAACTTTAAATCAAATCTCGTACTCGTAGTGGTTCTCGTCCTCGAATCTAAAGGTCTTTATTGTCGCAAACGTCTTCCAAATTTGGTCAACCCTCAGGGGGGGATCTAGGGGAAGGGTGCAGGGGTGCCCCCGAGATGACCTGCGGTTTTCTAATACAACTGGTATTGTGCAAAAAAAAAAACTATGTGGTTTATTGGTGTTGAAGTAGAGCAAGAGACGGGTGCACCCCCTCCTAAAAAAAATCCTGGATCCGCTCCTGACCCTAGATGGTTATGAAGCATTAGCCTGGTAGACCGTTTATTAGAATTAGTTTCACTTTCTTCTTTTCCTCTCCCACAATTACTTGTAACACACGAACAAAACTGTTGAACTTGGAATTCTTCGATTTCAGATATCGACGGAACTTAAAAGCGTTCTACATTGTACACCCTACAGTGTGGGCTAAAATCGTCACCTGGTTTTTCACCACTTTCACTGCCTCTTCCATAAAGGAGAAAGTTCACTTCCTGTCGGGTATTCAATACCTGTATGACTGGATTGATCCAGATCAGCTGGAAATACCGGCTTTTGTGTTGGAATATGACATGAAGGTCAGTACGGTTTTTCAAGTTATTAAATTTTCGTACGCGACACTCAGCTTATCAGCTTGCGAGAGAAGATGTCTTTTTCGGCTTTTGTTTCACGCGTTGTCGAACGAAAGCCGAAAAAGGCCTCTGCTACGAAAGCGACCAAATTTTAGTTGTATGCACCCTAATAGGTCATAGATTTGCTCTCGTTTGGACAAAATTTATCCAAGCGATGGAGAAATTGTCTTCATTTTGATTTTTTGTTTTGTTTTGTTTCTTTTTAGTTTTCAGTTTGGTTGTTTTAAAAATAACATTGTAACTCTCTTTTTTTCTGGTAAAGTTTCTTGGAAAATCGCAGCGTGAGAGCCTGAGAAAAATATTAATCTGCGTCATCAATGTGTCATTTCAATTGACTGTGTTCTCATAGCCAAAAACTCGCGACCAATGCCTTGAGCAAGCGAGAAGCCGCGTAGTTATTGTAAAATAGCGTACTATATGCCCAGCGGATCTAACAGGTTGCGAGCACTGCATCCATTATTAACTTTTCTGTGTTTCTTTCTTTCTTTCTTACTTTCTTTCTTTCTTTCTTTCTTTCTTTCTTTCTTTCTTTCTTTTTTTCTTTCTTTCTTTCTTTCTTTCTTTCTTTCTTTCTTTCTTTCTTTCTTTCTTTCTTTCTTTCTTTCTTTCTTTCTTTCTTTCTTTCTTTTCTTTCTTTCTTTCTTTCTTTCTTTCTTTCTTTCTTTCTTTCTTTCTTTCTTTCAGGAAAATGGAAACAATTACCATACCCCAGCCAGCACGTATCGTACAGGAAGTCTTTAAGCAAGGCATCAATAAGTTTATATGATTCTTATGTCAATTATAGAAGTGAATTAAGATTTTCAAATTATAGTTTTGAGTTCAATTAGTTTTTTCTCTTACTTGAATCACAATATATCTGTATTTATTTAGACGATAGTAACATTTCCACTTCGGTGTTTTCTTTAACAAAAAATGTTCATTTAATTTTGTTGATCTTCCGATCAAGTCAATGCTATAATGCGCAACTTATGTTTTTGCTTTTGTAAGAAGTTAAAGTAGTTCTGAATTGCTAGATCGCGTTGAATGATATTTATGAGATAAAAACAGTTTTGAATGGCCTGCGTTCTGACGTCTCCTATTTCTTCCAATATCCGCGTACCACAAAGGAAACAGAAAGAGTTTGAACGCAGGTTAGTTTTAGATAGATTTCGAATCATTTTTTCATGAATTTGTTTTCTTCGGTACTGAAAATGCAATAATCTTTGATCATGAGATACCCGAGTTTTTTGGGGGCAGCATGTGGTAGCTGAGTGGTTGTCACCACAGGCTAACCAAGCTCAAGCTCGGAGTCACTGGAGTAGCAGTCACAGCGAAGGGAGTTAAAACTCGTAAAATTCCCCTCGAATCGGGAAAGTAAGGGCACAGACAGCAAGTAATACACCACAGAAGTTAGATAAAGGTCATAGTATTTATGTTTTTCAAGGCATATCGTAAGCATCGGTCCCCATACAAACTCTGAAATTTTTCGCCATGATCGCCACTCCAATGCGTGGGCGGCCTGTATTGTACAAACCTTTGAGTCTTTCAAAAAGTCACGTGGTACTAAATCAGATAATTCTGCGGATCTTTATATCGTTTGTCTGATTATAATCGAAAGGTAGTTGAGCCCAGCAAAAAACGTCTCGGGTACAAAACTTAACTTTCAGTGGTTATGAGGTAAAGAATTTTTGTTGTTGTTGTTAGAACCAGTTAGGTAAGGTTAAAGGCTTGTGTAAAATTTTATGTCAACAAAGCGTTGATACAAGTTACGGAGGCCACGTTCACCTTACTGGCTGAAAGGTCTTCGCCGAATTTTTTGATATACATTTGTCATCGAAACTCCGCTTTCAAATTGACAGTTCATTTTCCGTGCGATGTGTTCATGCCAGGACCCATATCTTCCGCCCGAGGGCCGGGGCTGGGGTTATCTTCTCAACAGTCCCTTATCGGATATGGAGTATAGGTCGTGTTGATGTCTTCTATTTCCTCTGTTTTATATGCAATATAACGAGTGTTAATACAAGATACATTAGTTTGACGTTCGCTTGAAATACAGAATTCGTTTGAGAGTATTACATGGTAGACTACGAGCGAGCCTGAAAACTGGGTGCAGGGACTTCGAGAATGCTTGTTGCACTGGTATAGAAGATTGTTCACATACCAAACGCATTCACAAGCAAGAAATCTTGTAGAGTTAATTTCTAACCAACCGTATTACAAAAACAAGCGCTACAGCGCGCGAAACGTCAGCTTCTGAATCTTAACGCTGGTAAATCTATTGACGAAACTTAATTTTTGTGGCTCGTACACAGTAGCTTTTTGCTCAGTTTGCTTGTACTCAGTCGGAAGAAAAAAAAGATGTTTTGTCTACTTACATCAGGGGTCGAGCCAGTATTTGGCGACGTGCGATCAGTCGGTGATCATCTAGTTACTGTATATGAACAGACTACCTCAGCACTAGCCTCCCCGCAGACTTCCTTTGGGGTTCGTTTGTCACGCATTCATTTCTCCCGACAAACGAACCTCAAAGGACGTCTGCGGGGAGGCTACCTCAGCACCTGATAAAACTGTCGAAACGGAGCCATTTGCAGTCATGAATACATCGTGAGCCAAACGATAATGTATACAGTTCATTTTATGTCAGGTCAGTGGTCCAATCAGGAAAAGGGAAACCGGTTCCCGCACGAGGATAGGAAATGGAGCAAGGAAACTTGAATGAGTGTTTCGTGGAAAGTTGGTTAGCCCGCGCGCGTATACCTCGAACAGGCTTCATTGAGGCGAGTATTCTGCCGGCATAATAACGCATTTTCTAGCAGAATTTGAGCAGAGTAACGAAAATACAAAGTCTCGTGATATCTATATTAAACAGTGAAATTAAATTAAATCGGGAAACAAGTTATAAGAACGAAAAACGCAGCGTTTCGACTCATGAAAGATGTTTTACAAAGTGAGGAGAATGAATGATGAGATTTGTGCTCAGGCCGCCTCAAAAGATAGTTGTTACCGAGCATATTTAGTGGACTGAGCAGAATAAGCGATTTTTACGTTTCTACGAGCAGATTTTATTAAAGCCTATCCTTATAGAAATGGAAATAGAAGACGTCTATCCGTTAGCAGGCTATGTCGATTAATTTCACTTTAAACTATAATTTTTTTACACAATTTCGTGATGAGGGCGCGAAACATTAGTAATGACTTCTTTTCGACTTTAGCTGCATGAGTATATGTAACTTTATTTCCAAAAGGTTTATATGTAGACTTGATCCTTCCTCAAAGTCTGATTAAAATGTAAATGCTTTGTTATTTTGACCGGTCATCTTCATTTTCCTTTTGACAGAATGTACTCTTGGGGCGCGATTAGAATCTTCTAGGAAATATTTGTTTATCTCAGTTTTTAAAATTAGAAAGTCTAATCATTCGCTTTCTAAATTAAAATTTTGCCTGTCGCGTTTATTTCCCCTTTTTTGATCGCTGAAAGGAGGATGCAGAAACGGATGTAGAAACCTAAAAGTGTTCAAATATAGTCATGCTGTAAGGTTAGTAAGTGTAGGGGTTTTATAGAAATAAATATTGATACGATAGCTGAATGCACTGCTAAGCATTATAAATGGACAGAATAAATGTATTTTTGTTAACTGAAGGTTTCCCTTACTCTGGTATTTCTTTTATTTCTTTTTGTTATATGTTAAGTGTTTTAAGACACTAAGAAATGATCATGGAATTGCGAGATGACTGTTTTACTTTCTAAAAATGGTTGTTTAGCCCGCGTTAACTTGTTACGAGCGGGTTAAAGTTTTGAAGCTAGACCTTACCACTAAATGAAATGTTCTCTAGTTATAACTAAATAATTTCAAACTGATTTTAAAGAAAACTTAGTTGGGCCATTTTATGGCCTTAAAAGGATGTCAGAAACTAATAGAAGTCGAAATTTTGGGGATTTTCCACAGCGGAAATTTTTGGGAAAAATATTCCTATCCGGTCCCAATTTATGTTTCTACCTTGGATCCAGAGGTCCTTTCTCAGACTATTCCTCAGATTTCCACATGACTTCCAACCCAAAACCTCTGTGACTCAGATTTTTTTTTTTAGTCTTCCTCAAATCTTAAAATTATCCCCACCAAACCAACCATGAAACGCGGAAATTACGGAAATTCGGGGGCGACACTCTGACATTTGTTGAGTAACCCATCATAGCCAAAATTAAAACAACTTACGAATTGAAAAGCTGAACCACCACTCGATCTCTGGATCACTGTTAAAAAAACAACATTGCAAAATCATAGTAAGTCCTTTTGCAATGCCCGGCGTGTCCAACGTCGACGGTTGAGCGAGATCTTTTTCCTTCTCTTTAAAAATCGTCGTCTTATTGACCGAACAGACTAATTTTTTTCCCGAAACGATTTCTCAGTGATGCTCATCCTCCAAACACAAGAAAGCAATTCATTGAATTTTTTTAAATCAATTTTTTGTGCATGCAATTGTTGGACATAAAGATAGAGTCCTTTGGATTGCGAATTTAATACTTAATATATCTTATTTCGTCGGCGTGAACCAAGTTCATTATTTTCCTTACGTATTTTATACTTGTCTGGCTGGAAATTGTATTGTTGATAAAAACTGTCTTTTTTCACTCGTCCGCCGAAAGACAGAACAGCTGCGGAGTCGCTGGATTTGCACTCAATTCAAGTTGGTCTATTTCGAGGAGCGAAGAACAACGCCACTAAGTCACCATCGCTTTTTTTTTTAACTTCCTCTCTTCTTTTCCATTTTTTGGGGGAATCACGTGCATCACGTGCATCACCACGCACTAATGTCTTTTAAAATTTATACAAGCATACACACTGCTTTTACTAATCGGCGAATGAAAAATAGACCCTCAAGATTAAGTGCGAGGTTTTTGTAATGCAAATTTTTCCACAAATAGAACGGGATTGACGCGAAAGAAAGGGAAGTTTTTGCACCGAATGAAGTCCTATAGCCGTTAGTGTCCATGGAAATTGACGTATGATTCCATTTTAGAAAATTATTGTTGTGACTTCAGTTTTGTTCCCAACTGCGACTTTTTTCAGTGCTGTTTACATCAACTGTTTGAACTTTTTTCTTGGGAATACTGGCGTTCACCGTACTTAATCTTAAATTTCAAGACCCTTTTGTTCTTAGAGAAGGAAGTGTCTTATGAACAGAGGAAAATTAAAATTCATTTTTAGCCAGCTACAAAGTGAGTACCAGTTTGTATGAAAAGCTAAAACAGATACGAGTGCTGTTCTATCGCTTCGTTGTCAAGTGCGTGTGCCCCGTATGATATAACGCGCGATCACGCGACAATAGGTCCTAAGAAATAGGATCAGTGACATCTTTTTTTTTCGGATTTCTTTTCTACGCGTGTGAACAAAAGTCGAAAATGACGTCTTCTCTCGCAGGCTGGCTTGAACGCGAGGGTAGAAAATCGAAGTTTTCCTCAGCTCACCCTCGCAACCGGGGCTTTGAGGGCTGAAGGATTGAGACTTGAGGCGAGTTAAACCTACGTACAACCAGGTGAAAATAATTTCTTACGTAATCTGCTAGCTATGTGTTTTCATCGCTTTCATAGTTTTTTCGAGTCTTCGTCCACTTGAACCCTAGCGGTCGCTCGAGGCATTATTTTCTACCCCCACGCAGATCTTTGGAATACAGAATTGACGTCACATTCGTTTCACGCTTGAGTCGGTCTGAAAAGATCTACCTACGTGATGAAGGATGTAGATAAAAGTAATTTTTTACGTTGTTATGTTAATGACGCGGGATCGTAAATGACTGAACAACACGCTTATAGTCCTGAAGGAAGACACACATTTTAAGATTTTGACGTTTTACGGCAAAAATTTTTGCTTGTCTTGCAGTTTTCTCCGCGGAAGGAAGAAAAAAAAATTAGGGTAATGTGATAGCCGACAAAATCCTTTCCTGATATGTTTATGAACTGTGGGCGGGTTGTGGGATGTTATAGAATGCTATCTTGTCATTGGTCATCATAATTCTGTCACCGCGACTTCTCGTGCACGAGTTGCCAAGTGATTGTTTTGTATTGTTTTCTTAGCCAATCAGAGCATGTAAATTATCAGTGAGACATGATATGTTCTTGTCGTCTTCGAAGTTGGTTTCACTTCAGCGAGGAAGAGAATTCGCTGTGTTTGCCCGGCTTGATCAGTAAAATCTCAGCAACGTTTCAAGGACGATTTAGTATTAACCTTTCCACAGATAACTGATATTGAAGATATGGAGCTTAAAAACAACTGTCAAGTTCTTACTTTTGATCAAGTTAATCGACTTCACAACGTTCTCAATCAAACCGTGTTCATTCACGGCCGAGGAAATTTTCCTACACTCGAGGTGCCTCTGAAAGACTTGGTAGAGACAGTGACAGCAGGTCTAAAGGACGAAGGATTGAAAGTGCGAGACCTACGATTGAATGGAAGCACTGCCAGTAATATTCTAAGCCGAGAGGCTAACTGTTCCTACAACGATATCGATCTGATCTTTGGTGTGGAGATTCGCTCGAATTCCCACTTGCAGCAAATTAAGTGTGTCGTATTGAACTCGCTTCTCAACTTCTTCCCCAGCGGCGTTTCGAAGGAACGAATGAATAGCTGCACTCTCAAGGAAGCTTATGTCCACAAAATGGTCAAAGTCTCCACTGACAACGATCGATGGTCGCTCATTTCTCTCTGGAACAACGAGGGCAAGAATGTCGAACTTAAATTTGTCGACTCGATGCGTAGGCAGTTCGAGTTTTCGGTTGATTCGTTTCAGATTATCCTCGATTCGTTGCTTGGCTTCTACAAGCTGTCACCAGTGCCGATGAAGCCAAATTTTTTCCCCACAGTTGTGGCCGAGTCAGTCTACGGGGATATCAAAGTTGCTCTCTATCATTTAGACAACAAACTGATCGCTACCCGTAACCCAGAGGAAATCCGCGGAGGCGGTCTTCTGAAGTACTGCAATCTTTTGGTGCGAAATTATCAGCCTGAAAACTTCGAAGAAATCAAGGTGCTCGAAAGATACATGTGCAGTCGCTTCTTCATCGATTTCAACGATCTTCATCAACAGCAGCAGAAATTGGAGAGCTACTTAGCGAATCACTTCATCGCGGACGAACGCGGTCAATATGAATATTTGATGGTTCTCTACCATATTGTTTCTTCCTCGACGGTTTGCCTCATGGGACACGAACGAAAACAAACCCTTCGTCTAATAGACTTCTTGGCCAAGCAGCACTGCTTCTTGAGCTATGGTCCTGTGGTGTATTATAGCAACAAGACGTACTCTGTCGCTCCGACAGCCGGTTATATGCCATTCAACGACACGCTCAATCGCCCGCCTTACATGTATAACAATCTAGTTCCTTGTTTTTAGTGCTGGCAAGATCGAAGAGGCACTGAATTTCAGCCAACTATTAGAAGACTGTCATCAGGGTTCAACATATGTTTGACCGGATAATGGTCATTTACGTAGTAATCGTATTTTTATATCGAAGGACTTGGTTTTTTCATTTGAAACTATAAAATATATATATGTATAAAAAAATGTAACTTCGTTGCAACATTAGAGGAGACCGTGTTATATGTTTATAATTGTAATATAAAAATCAGAGAGAGATGATATTAGTTTTGCTGCGTGAAGAAAACAGACTTAAAGAAATCGAAAAATATTCTCCTCGTTCGAGATGTTGGCCAAAATGTGTTATTTCGCAATTCAAGGTTATGCCGCATTGAAATAGCGGTATAAAATAAAATATATCACTGTTTGTTGCGGTGAAAAACAGTAACAAAAAACAAACAGAGAGATTGTAGACTTAATGTTGTACTCTTACTATAAACTTCGCTGCAAGATGTTCTGTTGAAAAATATATGTTGAAATATATTTTTACTGGAGGGTCTCGTCGTTTCTGAGTTTGCTTCCGTTTGACTGACCTATTGATTCACAAAAATTTCGAAATTTGATCTCTTTATTGCTTGTTTCCTTGAGAAATATTTGATTTCCCTGGATTTATCGTAGCACTGTTTCCAGCTTGCCGTAGCGGACGGGTAAATGGTTGTCATGAAATTGGCGCTGTTGTTCAAAAATTTGCCTTCATTCCGGAGTCGACGGACAGTTTGATGGTCTTTAACTCTGTCAGCCAATCAGAGAACGGTCATTTGTTCTTTTGACCAATCAGAGCTCATATACATTTCATGACTTGAATTGCAAAGAAAATATTTACAATTGAGAAAATTGAAGGGATTTATTTCTGTTCCAATTTTGACTTTCAATAAAATTAATGGAAAAGACTAAACATTGATCGTAAAAAGTGGAAAAAAACAGTTTTAATTTGAGACGAACGGCTCAGGAACTCATTTCTAATTGGAGGAGTTACAGTACCCGTAGCAACTTATGAGGTTGGGGATCAGGAGAAGGAGAATTTTTAGAAACATTATATTGGGAATCCTTTGAAAACTAAATTCGTCATGTGTTAAACTTCCTTTTTTTTCTCTGCCCGGATTTTATTTCTATTGACTCAAAAACAAATGATAACAACAAAATCCAAAGTACAGTAGAACTGGTGATGATTTTGGACAGTGTTGTTCCCTAAAACGTCAATCATTTGTTTTGTTGATTTCGTGTTTTGGTTTGCCTTGCGTGGGTGGGACAACGGCTCTGTTCCCTCGGTTGCTGCAAAAATACACTTAAACAGCCTAAGGACTGTCTTCTCTCGTGTAACAGGGATATATCTAGAAATCTAACAAGTGTAGTCCGCAATAAAAATTCTGGGGAAAACGGCGGCATAGAAAAATTCCCTGTAGATTTATTGTAGCCTGATGGGTACCTTTGTGATAAAGTATAATTTATAGAAAAATTCCTGGCTCTCGGAAATAGCTCCTAGCAACTTCAAGAAGTTCTTCAAGAGGCAAGGAATTGGATGGCAATATAAATTTTGCTAACAATAGAAGACTAATAGGGTTCTGCTATAACTGGCCTTTGGGGAATCTATTTTAATGTTTTGTTATTCTCCCTTAAAATCTTTTTCAGTTAAAAGAGCCTTAAATTGTAGTCGTTTAGACCTGGGAATTGAGATGGACAGGCAGTTCGCTACCGGCAACTACATTAGTTTTTAATGCCTTTCAAAATCAACCCATGGGTTTCTCGAGATTTTGTACGTGCGCAAAATGAACAACAACATTCTTAAAATTTTTCTCTTCAAGTGCTTCGACTTGAAGTTTTGGAGATCCCCATGTGGTTAAACACAGCATCTATTTGGGCTTCATGGTTTGTAAATATCGATCGTTTTGTTAACCTCAAACGAAAAAAATAGATACTGAATACACACATGCATATAATGCGATGTGTGGCCTCGAAGCGTCTTGTTCACCAAACAATATGATGGATTGTTTTTGAACATCAATGCACACTGGTAGAGGGAGTGGAAGTAGACTTACAATACGATGCAATACAATACGATATCAGTTCCGGGGTCTCGGTGTTGATTTGTGACATTTATGTGAAGTGAACAGGGAACTCGATATTTTGTCTAATTCGTCTATTTCGTCTAATTTTTGCCGCTCGGGATTCCATGAACGGGGATTTTCTTCGGTTATCAATGTACATTCTTAGTACGTTATACGAAAGATTTTCATGGCCTGTAGACATCCGTTTTTGGCCAAAACTGGAAGATAAAAAAACAAAGAAAAACATGCGTTATCAGATTTTTCCGCATTACTGGGGAAGCCGATGTATGCTAGCCCCAGTCTCAGACCCCAAGATAGTCATGAGTACATGGTAGTAATGTGCACGATCATGAAGAAGAACCGATTCGAAAAACGAGCGGCTTGTTTTTGCTTGGCTTGTTTTCGCGTCCTACTATCTGAAAGCCTTGCAGAGGCTAAATTTACGCGGCGTCGTCAATTTTCTCCGTTGCTGACCCGGATTAGTGTGGACAGCCTTTTCCCCGGGGGGGGCTCCCAGTGTAAAAGTGACGGGGATGCTCGCCGTCTCGCGTTTGGGTGTAATTTGTAGATTTTGGTCTCACTTAGGGTGTTTGTGAAGGAAAGTTACTATAGTTGCCCATTCAGGTATCGCTTAGTACTGTGCATAAAGAAATTTACAAACAAAAAATGCCCTGACACTGACCACACAGAAATCTCCCTTAGGGGCCGAGTTTAAGCTTGAGCCACACCCACATTGGTCTCCCTTAGGGAGGTTTAATTTGAATTTTCCGACGACTATCCACTCGTCACTTTTCAAGTATGGGAGTACCCCTCGGGCTGCTTTCATCAATATATATTATGTACGACATATTTACCATATGCTGCCGTAGCTCACCACGATCGCTCGGCGCCATTGCGGTGAAAAGAGCACTTTTTTTATAGACCACCATGATTAGGCGCTTTTATTTTTAAAATGAGTCTTCGGCCAGTATCATGATTGTGGTAAAAAGTCTGATCTCCTGAGTCTGATCAATCGGTGAGTTTTCATACAAGCCGGTACAGTCACTAACCGTATTCCAATTTTAAAAGTTTATTTCTCGAATTTCACAAGGCTTCCCTTGTTTGACCACCGGCCGAAGTAGTGAGAGTTAAGAAGATGATAATAAGAAATATTTTAAAACTGGCTTCTTCGCGTGGCTATACACTGATCGAGGATTTGATCAAAGGGTCGTGAAATTATTAATTCAGCCTTTTAAAAAATTTTAAGGTCACTACGTACGTAAGGCGTTGAAAGTCACTCCTTGGAATAACAAACGACATTTACTAGTCTAAAGCTAAGGTGTATTACTCGAGGATACGGCGGGCAGGGTCATTTGAAGATATCTGATCTCCGATCGGTTGAATGGGGAAGGTTCTAAGGGCCTAAAGTGTTGTTCTACCTTACGGCTCTCTGTGATATTCTGCCTTAAAAATACAGCCAACATGAGATGGCGGAACCTTTATCTCGCGTGCAGCTAATTAAATTTCCGCTGGCACTCAAGTTTAGCTCTAAATCTTACACCTGAGTGCACACGAAGATATTTTAGACTGCAAAACAATCCGCTTTTTTGTCAGTCAGGAACGGGCGAATACCCAAACAAAAGATCTGAAGCGAGAGTGACAACGAAGTCTAAGTTTATTTGCACGTGATAATTAGGAAGGGTAGGGAAATAAAAAATAAAGTAAAGATAGAAATATATAAGTAAATAAACGGTTACCTTTCATTATTGAAGTCCCGTGAACAGATATTGTGCAAAAATAATTTTCAGCTCGGATGTTACATGAATTTTTGTTACGATGCATGAGTGATCGACAATTTGCGTACACTGAGCACCTAGACAGGAATAGTTTGTAACACAATTTAGCTTAGTGTAGTGTGTAACACAATTTTCCTCAAAGCATTGTGATAACTCTCTATGATGAACAATAATATTCATTTACGACCGGAAAAAAATATCGATCCCTTCTATTACGCGCACCTCAAACCACGTAATAACAATTTCCTCAGTTTATTGAGTGTCATTGAATGAGTGCAATTTTTCGTAATTGTCAGAAACAATTAGATTAACGTATCATTTTCAGTGGCATAATTAAATTTACAGCCGGCTCCTGAATTTACCCACTCCTAACCAGTGTATTCAAAATAAATTTCTCTCATTAGTTTTTCAATTCATGGCAAATTGAAATGTACTTTTACGCTTTAATTATGAGGGAAGTTTGAGCTTCACGCCTCGGTTTGTGACGTCACTCACTCGCTTCATCGCGCGGCAGCTGGTCTTCGTGGGAGTGTAACCTCACAGCAAATATTAATAATTAGTTTTTTATTCTTTTCTTTCATTGAATTGTTTCTATTATTATTTCTTGTATTTATGGGGTAACTGTGTTTGTTGAACCAGTTGAGGTTGGTTTGTTGCATTGTCTGATTTTCAAATCATTTGTTTGCAAACTGACCGTGACTTTCGCGCGCGCTGACTAATTATCGCTAGTTTTATACGGCTTTGGCAAAAACGTACTGGTCAAAAATCTAAAACAAAAACCTTGCCAACTAAAAACTAGTATGCTGTACACATGATCATACAGCTGGTTATACAAAGGGAGGGGGCGGCTGTACCCCCCCCCCCCCCCCCCCCCGAAAAAAACGTGAACGCCAAAAAAGGAAGGAGCAAGTTATGATGATAGCAAAAATCAAAATCTAAGGCGTAACAGTTGTGATAATACGAGCACGATCCTCGAACCGGAAAGCCGCAAAGTTAAAGATAAATGAGAACTTCCCGCCCAGCTTCCGGATTGAAACTTCCGGGTTTGGCTTGTATTAGTGCCAATCTCTCTCGGTTAAAAGTGGAGAGACTTGACTGAGACCCAGAGTCAATTTCAATATGGCGGCGGCTGCTCGAAGCCTGAGAAACCTTCTAAGCGCAAGGAATTATCAGTTGGCGGGAACATTGAAACCAAGAGCGACACTACAAAGGTGTTGCAGAGTGTATGCCTCTACATTCTCATTTGTACCGGATTCACCTTCGCCTCTCCTTGGTTAGTTGAACAATTACAAAAATCGCCTTGCATAGACAAGCTTAATTTGGTACATAATTCATAAAGCTGACTCCGATTTCAGTGAGGCTGTGCATTAAAAGTTAATCTATTCAAATTAAAAGATAGTTCAAATAAGAACAATAAGACAATAATGCAAATAATTAACATTGTGTTATACATCGTAATCACTGTCTGTCTTCTCTTTGGCTAAGAGCCTACGTCTAATTTCGGAAATCATCGGAACCTGCAGATTAGTTAGTTTACTGCTAGCAGATTAGCTACGTTTCTCTAGGTTACACACCCAATGCATGATTTCCAAGAGCAATGTCAAACTGTGTTCCATACGATGCTGTGTTTGTCCTTATTTTCTTCAAAACAATGTATAATAAAACAATCATTAAATTCGGTTTTTTGTGATATCTGTAATAATGAAGGCCTTGGTAAGTGTTACCAGCCTCAGCCTTCGGCTCAGCTGATAGCACTTATATACCTGCCAACTCTCACGCCTGCGGGTTGAAAACTTCGATCTCATGCCGGCTCACGCCTGCAGGCCAGTTTCTCACACCTGATTGAAAAATGTGAGTTGTTGCCCTTCCAAAAATATGTTAACTCAGACCCATGTAAGGAACGAAAACCATGTGTAAATGAATAAATAACAATACCTTCCTCGTGATCTGTGATTTTGTGGATAAGCGTTTTCTCAGTAACTTCGCCTTCGGCAGACTTCGGACGTCTTCGGCAGACTTCGGACGTCTTCGAAAGACTTCGGACTTCTTCGGAAGTCTTCGGACTTCTTCGGGAATCTTCGGAAATGATTGTGTCGTCTGCAAAAATCCCAGAACTGCCAGGATAAAAATCTCACGCTTATATCTCAGAAAAAGTTGGCAGGTATACACTTACCTCGTCCTTGATTATTCTGGATGTCACAGAAACTTCATCCAATAATAATTGTTTGTAAGCTCATCAGGCTATTGCATTTAATAAATCTTGCATTTAATTTTCTCTTGGTATAGCGCTGGCCCTAAGCCTAATTTTGTTAGCGGAAATATTGTCCTATAATAAATCAGCCCTTTGCCGTAGTGCCAGCCTTGCATTCAGTTTTGTTTTATTTAATAACTGTATGCGCACCTCCCGGTGCAGGTTGAGGACAGGTGGAATTCCTCAGGAGAAGGCCAGGATCCTTGTATTTTTTCTATTATTACTAAGAAGAAACCTCTTTACAAGCTAACCAAAAACCTGCAATAACTCACTTTTTATACAGACAGTATTTTCTAAACTTACAATTTTAAATACACTGTCCTTGTTGTTGTTTAATATTATCATCATCATCATTGCCATTGTCATTTTATCATAATCATCATTATTATTGTGATTTTATATGTCAAGTTTGAATTTTTGGCTCTGCCTTATTATTGTTAAATGATGATGTTTTTTTGTGGCAAGAATTGCCTGTCTATTATTCATTCATTTGTACTTTTTCTCATTTTTTCATCTTTTTTTTTTATCAAAAAATTTAGGGCATTTATTGACTTGATCAGAGTAATGTAGGAAGAAGAACTTTTGTTTTCAGGATGATTTATTAAACCAGCACAGTTTTGATGATAGGCATGCATTTTCCCGGGGGAAACGATTTATTTCTCAAGAAAAATAATACAATAACCACTTACACCAACAGCAGTTTGTGCCAACTGTCAGTGCTTGCATGTGTAATTTAAGCAAAGTTAGTTGAAGTTTTTAGGCAATAAAAATGGACCAGCAAAAGGTTAGTTTGTTGAATTTTGGAAAAATTATTTTTTGACTGTGGCCTACAACCAAAAGTTTTGCATTTTTGTTTCAAAAGCACAGAATGAGCAGGGAATTTTGTTGGCCGTTTGACTGCGTCTTTGTGTGAGGATGCATTTTGAAAGTGCAAATTTTGTTTCATCACAAAAGAAAGCAGGACAATGTGTGTACTTCATGAAAGAATGTGGTGTGTTCCATGATGAATTTGATCCTCGCTCTAGAGATAAGTCAAGTGACAATTAGTTCATTTTATTTCTTGACTCAAAACTTTGGTCTTGAAACTCAAGACCTGATTCTCAAGGCGAGATTCTGTTCTCGAAAGTTTATTTTGAGAATTAAGAGTCAAGTCTTGAGGATTAAGATGGGAGTGACTGTCAATTTTCTTTTTAAAATGTTCACAAGGCCTCATCAGCTTTTACCAAACATGATCATCTAGCTTCCAGAAGGTGAACCAATGCAACCTATGTTTGACAAGAAGACATAAAGATATTTTTTTAACAATAAAATCAAACTAGCTCAGTCAACTCAGGTGATGCTCAATTTATTGATGAGGCAGTTAAATACTCTAGATTTATAGCGTAGTATACGAACGTCTTATATAATAGTTTCAAAACTCTCTTCTTTTAGGAGAAACACAAAAGATGAACTTGTGTCAGTCACTGACCAGTGCTATGGATCTTATTCTTGAATCTGATTCATCTGCAGGTAATTTGCATTCATCTGTTACACATCATATTATAGATAATTAACAAGTAGGTGACCTATAATAATCATGATCTGCTGGGTTTAGTGTAGTCCTGAATAGCACTGTTGTTGACAGTAACTGACATTTCGAAAATCCGTGCGGTAATCATCTTCAGAGTCAAAGTGAGTTGTATCATATCAGTTGATTGTATAAAACTCTGGTTATTGACCTGGATCTTATTCTTGAATCTGATTCATCTGCAGGTAATTTGCATTAATCTATGTTACAGGCTTTCTTAATAAAGTAACCAACAGTTTTTTTAAAAATTGCACTGTCGATCTTTTGAGGATTATTAATTTTAATGCAAACGTCTGAATCAACTTTTAAAAGCTATATTTCAAAGCAATTTTTTTTACTAATTAGTCTTGCTTGCGTAAGCAGCAAGACTTATAAATTGCAAAGCGTTTTTTGCCATATTTAGGACACAAAAAGGGGGTCATTGTGCAAGGCTTTCCTAGCGAAGACCGTGGAAACTGGGACTTAAGAATCTTTGCGTGATCAAAGCCATGCATGTTTTGCAAAGAAAGCTTAGGAAAGCTTAAATTTAGAACTTTTCCAAAATGTGTCGGTCCACGAATTCTATCACTTAAAAGCGTTGATTACTTTGGAACAAGTGAACACTACTGAGTAGTTGAAAAAAAAATAGGAATCTTAATTAGCAAAACTGCGATGGTCTGGTTTTGTAAACTTTCATGGTATGCAAATGGGTCTTGTGACAAGCATGCAGTTTATTTTCGGCGATGATTGAAATGACGTGCCATCTAAATTACTTTTTTGATCTCTGACAATTATGTGATTTTTCTGGAATTGGGGCCCTTGAATTTTCGTTTATTAGACACGTGTATAACCTGCGACCGCAGACGTATTTTTGGTTGTCGCCAAAACACACGTACTAAATCAATTCAGAAACAAATGTAAAGAATCGATGTTGATAAAGGAGGAAGTAAAAAACTTTTAGAGAGTAAATCCTGTTAGGTGTAGAATTAATTGCCTCCTCATTTCTTGATCTAATCTCCAAGCAAGCGAGACTGAATGCCGTTCTAGTTTGATTTGTTCTAGTCTTTTGGAAGCCAAAGCCTTAAAAAGACGTGTAGGGGTTTTCTCAGTTTTGATTGCTATCAAAAGTTACAGAACAAATTGGAAATAGTCCTTCCCTTTTGTCCTTCAGGAACGCCGTGTCGAGTCACGACTTTCATGTGAAAGAAAAACGTTCCCGATTATTCATCCACTGAATATGGAAATTCCTGCAAAAACACCGTAGGGCTGTCAATCAAAAGACTAACTTTTACTTCCAGTGTAAAAAAACACCATTTCTCCGCCATTATTGACTCTCTTTCAAAATTTCTTTCTTTATCATAAAGATCACACTACTACTATTACTTTGAGCCAAAAATCAAAATTTTAACAAGATTTTTCATCTAAAGGTATCTGGTGTTAACAAAAATGGTATTTTCCCCTTCTAGTGATATTCGGAGAGGATGTTGCCTTTGGTGGAGTATTTAGATGTACTGTTGGATTAAAAGACAAGTATGGTTAGTATAACTAATCAGTTAGTGCGCAGCTCTTTGAAAACCTCAGATTTCATTGGTTTCTCATAACATGCAGCTCCGTTAATTGTTTTAGGGATAGAGTCATTGTTTAATATATTTCTATGTCTAATGTTTTCACAGCCAATACTGTGAGGCCTTGTAAAGAGTTGCATGGCACCGCTAACTAATCAGCTAATGACATATACACTCAACTATATTAATTATTGCAGACCACAAGTTAAGCCTCTTTTTTGCTTTTTAGCGATAGTCTGTAAAAGTGGGATATGAGAAGAATGTGGTGTCCAGCACGTTGGCGCCACAGAGTTTGACTTTCATAAGACAGTGGCTTTAAAGGATTAAATACCTTTGTTGTTTGTATCGACTTTGGTTTGTGTTGCCTCATTGTTGTTATCTAAGCAAAGAACTGAATCAGTGTCTTTGTTTTTCATTTGTCTTCATACCGTTTCTAGGTAGCCTTCTGTAGTGTTATAAACTGTACTTGTTCTTTGTTGTTTTTCTCAGTCATCCATTTCCTTTATCACAACTATGATATTCCTCCCCAAAGCCACATTAAGTTCTAAAATTGTATTTTTAAATGGAATTTTTAAAAGCACTTTTTTTGAGATTGACTGGAAGAGTAACAAAAACGTGTTGAGAAATCTCTCCTAATAGTTTATTATTAAATTTATTATTTATTATTAAGGCAATTTTCTACACATGTACATATCACCTAAAATCAATTCTGATTATAGTTAAAAAACTTGTATGATGCAGAGTTAAATTCTGCAAAACTATGAAGTATTTGCAGTAATTTAGATTCCTCTTATACTGTGAACTTACAGCAAATTATGGCATTTTTATGTCAATATTTGTGACGTCATTTCACTGCTAAAATGACATATTTTTATTCTCTAGTAACAAGTTTATCCATAATAAGCATGAAATATTGATTAAGATAACCAAAAAATGTCTCTGGATATGTTTTTGACCTTTGTTTTTCAGATTCTTGCCCTGTCTATTACCAATGGACATCACAATCAATCTCCCTCAATGAAAGTTCTATATAACAAATACTCCATTCTTCATTAATTACCCTTATAATGTTGTTTTACGTTACTGTAGGTAAAGACAGAGTGTTTAATACACCAACAACTGAACAAGGAATTGTTGGTTTTGGTATTGGGATGGCAGCAGCCGGTGCTACGGCGATCAAGGTGATCAAGTAAGTTAAATTACATCAATATTTTTTCCTGAGTATTTTAACTACAGTCAAACCTCCGTATGTGACCACCTATTGTAGCATTAATCCAAACATTGAGTGTTTCTCAGTCAAAGCCCTACTGTTGGAACCTGTTGCAAACAACCACCTAATACTTTTGGGGGTTGATAGTCTTATCATTTTCTGTAGTCTTAAACCTCTTGTAAACGACCACTCCTTGGTGCAATATGGTCTGATCTCTTCATTCGCTGTGAGTACTCTAATATGCTACTCGCATACAAGAAGCTTTTAGCAATAACATGGAACTATATATATACACATATCATAACTTAGAACTTTCATGAAATTTAGCTTAAATTTATTATGTCCCATAAAGTAGATGAGTCTGGACCTCTTCTCAGAAGAAACCCCCCGTGGTTCAATTCTTAAAAGCAATCACCTCCTATAAGCGACCACCAACTCTCCCCATCTGGGAGTGGGTGGTCACAAAGTAACAGGATTCATACAGGTCTTGGAAAACCTGGAAAGTCATGGAATTTAAGGATTTCATTTTCCAGGCCTGAAAAGTCATGGAATTTTGTTTTCGGTCATCGAAAGTCATGGCAAATTAAAGTTTTGTTTGATAGATCAGTTTATGATAAGGCAAGGACAATGTAAGATACAGTAATATAGAGAGGAGTAATTAAACAGTGCTAACGGCATGCATTTTGGTGGACACCAGAGTTTGTGTCTGTTGAACTGTTTAAAGTCAAAAAATACCCTAAAACAAGGAAAGTTTTGAAAATTTTTGAAAGTGACAGCTAAACCTATAATTATGGAAAACTTGAAAAGGTCATGGAAAAAGCCACGGAATTTGAAGCGCTCAAACGAGTACGAACCCTGAGTGAGGTTTGACTGTGTAATTCAAATATGCAGTTTCATTTAACTTGATGCCAAAATAGAATATCACTACTATAAATGACTGATTAAGCGCCGCTACTTGAATGAGCCCCGTCCTCGAATAAGCACTGCACCTTTATGGAAAAAAGTTAATAAACATTGCTCTTGAGTAAGCGCCGCGGCAGGTATTTACAAATTAATGCCCAACCTTTGTTACGGCACTTGATATAAAGAGATATCAACACCATGTTGCTTGAGAAATAAGACCTTGACCAACTCGTGAGTTCTTAAGTTTCAATCTAGGGAAACTCTTGAAACTGGGTTCATGTGACAGTTTGAGGTGTACATATTTTATATTAAATTGTGCATACCTAGTACGCACCTCACTTAATTCTCTCCATATTCCGGGAATCCCCTCAGTGTTTTGTCTGTAGTTGAAATAAGTGCCGCTGTCAAATAAGTGCCGCTCTCGTATAAGCGCCGCACCTATAACAGGGAAAATGAAGTAAGCGCCAGGGTGCTTAATCGATCATTTACGGTGCTCTTTGTGTTTTTTTCTGTAGTGCCAATAAGGTGAACTGTTTCCTTTGGTCAAACATTTCCTTTATTCTAAAGACCTTTATAATTTTATTCTAATTTAGCAGGCTTTACAGGCGACTCCCAATATTACCTTCAAGGGAAATCAAAAAGGTTCGATTTATCGGAAGTTTGGTTCAAATAACCAAAAATAAGGAAATGGGGTGGGAAGGAATGCAAGTTCCATACACACTTCACTTCAAGGGCAGCAAGAGATAATTTTGATATTTGGAAACAAAAAGACAAGACTCCTGTCACTGTTTGTACTTAAAGGGCTTCTTTTTTCTTGTTTTACTGTAGCTTGTAAATGAAGCTGCAAAGTTTAGATACCGTTCAGGAAATCTTTTTAACTGTGGCAGCCTCACAGTGCGAGCTCCTTGTGGAGCCGTGGGACATGGTGCACATTATCATTCTCAGTCAGTGGAGAGCTTCTTTGCTCATGTACCAGGACTAAAGGTACAAGTTTTTTTGTTCTCCTTGGTTTAGCTCTGTGTAGTTCATTTTCACCCATTTTCACATCGGAAATGCCAACTGAAGCTCTACTGGATGGTCAACAAAAATGGAAAAATTTGGTGCAAATAATCTGGAACCCTTTCCCACCCCCTCCCCCAATCACATATAGTTTATTTGGCTTGTTTTAGTTACCTTGAATATGGCACAACATTGTTCAGGGTGGAGGTGGGGATTGGGGGAGATTAGGCTTTATTTATGCCACCAACATGTAAGTAAATTAGTAATAAATTTATTTCGAAAGCCAAATGTGTGCCTAGTTTAGCTTGAAGTTGCAGTTAACGTGGCATTTGTTCCAGAGGTCTGATCTAAATTCGTTTTTTTATGTGTGAGGATTGCTTTGTGTCAAGCATTTTTGCATGGAATGAGAGTCGGAAGGTGTGCCTTTTGACTTAATTTGTATAGGTTTTCGTACTTGCATGCATGCACGTGTTTGCATTTGTTATGCTTTAAATACATATTAACTATTTCTGTAGTCCATTTTGTGGTTTTGCATGCTAAATGATGTTTTTTTTTTTCATTTTTAGGTTGTCATTCCCAGAGGGCCTATTCAAGCCAAAGGACTTCTAATTTCATCTGTCAGAGACAAAAACCCAGTCATCTTCTTGGAACCCAAGATCCTGTACAGACAGGCAATGGAAGAGGTGGCAGTTGCAGAGTATGAGATATCACTCTCAGAGGCTGAAATACTTGAGGAGGGTGAGTCTAGGCTTTGATTTTGGTCGCAATTTTTGCTTCAAGCAGAGAATTGACCATTTTGAAACTACTCAGAATTGTGTAGGATCACTGATGAGCCATAAACTTTAAATTTAAAAATTGCTTCCGAACATGGTTGCCCGGGGGAGCAAGGAGTCGAGGGTACACAGGGAAGCAAGACGGTGAAGGGAGGCAATGATGGTCTAGGGGAGCAAGGATGGAGCAGGAGAGGTAGGATGGTGCAGTGGAGCAGGGATGGAGTTGGGGAGCAGGGATGGAGCTGGGGAGCAAGGATTTTGCAGGGGAGCGAGGATGGTGCTGTGGAGCAGGGATGGAGCTGTGGAGCAAGGATGGTGCAGGGAAGCAAGAATGATGCTGTTGTAAAAGCACTTGGCTGTCACCGATGTGGCCCGGATTCAACTCCCGGCATCAATGCCATAATGATATGTTGGTTGTCTTCTTTGTTGCAAGAGGTTTTTCTGCAGGTACTCCGGCTTTCCCGTTCTTCAAACACTAAATTTGTACATTCCAATTGGACTATCATTATTAGTAAATCCCCCCTCCCATCTAGAAATGCCAATAAATAGTTACTTTAGCTTCATGCTTTCCTTACAGGCTGAAACTTTCTATGGAATGTTCATGGAAATAATCTAGAACTTGATTGTCCCTTGTGGGACAGTAGTGGCAGAAGCCACACAAAGCCCAAAGCAATAGTTCAACCCGGTTTCCTAAGGATAAAGAACTGAGGAGCATTACTGCGTCTCTATGAACCCATTATCAGTTTACTTACAGTACTCCGTCTCCCCTCCATATAGGATACAAGGACCCCACCAGTCCAACAATTTAGGATCACATCTAAAGGACCCAAAAAGAATTTATACACCAATTTCTGTTTGTTTAGCGCATCTTTGAACAAATGGTTGAAAATTGAGAAAAGTGGGATTGGTGCCCGGATCCAAAATATGGGCTAATAGCATTCAGTCAAGCAGTTTACTTAATTTCTGTTTGTTTAGCAAACATCTTTTGATTTTAAAAACAGCTACCGGAACATTTTGGTTGAAAATTATAGGTTAAAGGGTCCCAGCGGCACATCCCCACCCAGAAATTCCTAAAGTGGGGGGATTGGTGCAATCAGTCTACACTGTGAGCAGTCTCTCCTTTGCTCGAAAATCTGTGAGCAAATGAGAGTTGGTGCAGTATGTGAATATGCTAGTGGCAAAGGCGCAAGCATTGAGTTGTGCGGGCGCCAGTACAAGCTAGACTACGAGTAGTCCCCCATTTTTCCTCAGGGATATTAGAGCGAACGAAACGCGAGCGCGTTTCTCTCTCCCCGCCGCGTGTCGCGTTTTCTCGCGTGGGGTGATTTTCACGCCCGCTCGCGTTTCACTCGCTCTACTATCCCTGAGGAAAAATGGGGGACTACTCGTAGTGTAGTACAAGCAAATGGAGCTCTTTTTGCTCGTACTGGCGCCTGCACAATTAGCTGTTTGCGGCTTCGCCACTCAAATACTCACACTGCGACCAGACTCGCTCTCATTCGTTCACAGATTTTCCAACTAAAGAGGGACTGCTCGCAGTCTACAGTCAGCGGTGTAGACAAAAGGCTGAAAGAGGGTGGTGGTGTGGTTTAATAAATTTTCAATTCAAAATCAGAGCTAGCTGAAGTAGCCAATGGGCCCTCAAATAAACGCCAGCTATGGAATGCGTTCCCCCAAGTAAACGCTGCTCCCAATCAGAGGAGTGCTGCGTTTATTCGAGGATTATAAAAAAAATCTCTGTACAACTTTGTAGTCTACACAGTTCAGAAAATTGTGATTCTATCTCACCAAAAGCTAGATAGGTATTTAATCGAATAAACACAGTAAAACAATACTTTGAAACATTAATGAAGTAAAAAATGAACACATTCTTCAAACTCATCATTAAACAGTAATATTTCCTAAAAAAAAAGGGAAATAAAATTTGAACCAACCAAGGATAAAGTTTGATCACAATATGTACACAGGGTACTAGTGGGAGAGGGAAAAAGTACACCTCTCTGGTCCGCTTCCTTGCCCCACCCTCTCTTTGACTCATCCACCAGTACTCAAGTGAATTCTAGTGCTCATGTGTTGACGGGAGACATAATTTGACCGCGGGGTATACAGCAGGGCTGTCACCAAGGGTCGTAGACTGGGGGCTTTCCCCCGGCTATGATAGGCATGTCCCTAGTCTACTTTCACAGGAATTAAAAGGAAAATCGTACCACATGTGTTACCAGAAGACATGGACTGCAGGGTATGCAGGGCTGTCACCAAAGGCCGGGGACCAGGGTTTTCTCCTGGCTACTTTCATAGGAATTCAAAGGAATTATAGTAGTACAGTCGTACCTCCGCTGACGGCCACCTCTCTACAATGGCCACTTTCTTCTGTCCCCAAGTGGCCGTTGTCGAGGTGTTCAATTGTACCAAAAGAACTCCATAACTGCTTAGTTCCCCGCCTAATAACTGCATAAACCCGGCAACTAGAAATCATGGTAACAGCAAAGTGCTTGAGATAATTTTGAGACGTACTACAGATCCTGAGTACAAGTCATTCTTTGAAAAATTTGATTTCAGGTTCTAATGTGACAGTTGTTGGATGGGGAACTCAGGTGCATGTTTTGCGTGATGTCTGTAAGATGGCAAAAGATGAGCTTGGTGTCAGTTGTGAGCTGATAGATCTTCAAACAATTCTTCCTTGGGATGAAGAAACTGTCATTAAGGTATCTTAAAATACGTAGCTTGAATTTGTTTGCCCAACAGCACACACTTCCTTTGGTTGCTTCAAGGTCATGTGACATGTGACAATAAAACTGTTTCCCACCCAAAAGTCTCTGAAAGAGCGAAACAACACATTCTTTGATGTGTGTGAGCAATTACAAATGTTAAAAACTGCTTACTGAGATGTACTGTCATAAGTTTCAACACGAAGTTTTTCTTTGTGGGCTGCTATAACAAATCTCTTAATAACCAGTCCCTTGGGAAACTTGTTAATTTTGTTTCCTTCAGCTACACCTCGGGAAACTTTGAGATTCCCATGGGAATTGTCTTTAAGTGCCCATTGTTGTTTGGAATTTTAAAAGTGTTTGTCATTGCGCCAGTAGTATAATCAATGAGATAACTAGAGTTGCATTATATTAGTCAATCTTAGTATCAGTGCTTTCATGAAAAAGGTGTCTAAAAGGATCAAATGGTTTTGTGTTTTAGTCTGTTCTAAAAACAGGAAGGCTTCTAATAGCACACGAGGCTCCTTTAACTGGTGGATTTGCTGCAGAAATTGGCAGTACTGTACAGGTAATCACTAGTGAACATGTCACGTAAATCTTATTGGACAGTTTAGTGTGTAGAATATTTTTACGAGTCACACCGTATTTTGGCGAGCCCGTAGGGTGAGTCAAAATACAAGAGACGAGAAAGATGATTAAAATAAACTCATTAACCCTTTAAGCCCCAGTATCTACATACAAATTCTCCAAACTGATCACGGTACATTTCGTTAAAGAATGAGTTAAGAGAATTTGATAAAAGATCAAGGCATTTTTACTCAGGTGATCATTTTATTAATTCTCATAACTTATCTGTTGACAATGTATGGATATTGGTAGGAGAAAATTGATCTTGGTCACTATTGGGACTTAAAGGGTTAAATACGTAAAACGAGGATGCGTGACAGACTAACGTGACTCCTTTGCAAGTCCAGTTTTGCGCACGCTTTATGCAACGTTGTTGCTGATTGGTCTAACTAGATTACTCAGCAAATCAAATTTTCTCGGATTTCTCGGGTTTTCTTCGGCGCTTCAGGGTGTTGTCTGTTAGACATTTGCAAGGAAAACAGAGATGGAATGACAAATTATTGTGAGGCTTATGCCTGGTAAAACCGACTGCAAGAAGGTAAACTGAGCCGAGAAAATTGCGACGGAAAGCTAAAAATATCTCCTTCAAATTCAAGGAGTTTCAAACAGCTACTATACTCGTAAACAACGGACTTGAAACCTCACGGAGAAAATATGTACTCAAATACACATCGGGTACCCACGTTGTGATTACACATACATTACCATGTTCCTCCAGTGATATCATAGGTGACGAATTACTCCTAATTTTGGCCCGAAATTTCAGCGTTCATTTGTAATTTCACATGTGAAATTACAAAATTGCCATGGCAACCTTCCGTACGTCTCAGTGTCAAGATGGCGACGAAGTTTTAAAATGCCGTGAATGAAGATGTCAGGGCACAAAAAGACGCTTTAGAAAACCTGAACACACAAGAGAATATCAGGAAGGATTCTAACAGGTATTTTATCGAAATAGTCTGAAAAATTCTGAACTTTATAAGCCAAATTTAAGGTCTAAACATTTGAGAGAGTGGAGTTCTCGATAGATACGATCCAGGATAACATGTCAAAAATCCAAGATTGCTAGCGTTATTCGTCACCCATGATATTAATAGGTAATCAAATGGTATACTCGTGAAATTAGGGAATAATTTCACTTGCGTTTTGACCAAATCCTTTTGGACAAAACGCGCGTGAAATTATTCCCTAATTTCACTCGTCACCATTTGATTACACATACTAAACAGAGGCAAGTGCTCCCCTGGTATCGATTGACTTTCTCGTGCTTCACGCTCGTTCCCGCGACGTCGTCGCTCAAAAAAGTGTGAACTTGTCCTAAGTCGAAAAAGTCTGGGACACGAGCCCATAATCCAGAGCGAGTAGCTATTACACTAGGCTTATGTCTCGACGTTTTCACGGACCGGTTTATTTTTAGATATATTTTAGTGCACTTCTTCCCTCGAAAATGGAAACTCTCCTCCTTCTATGAACGTATTTGAAATAAAACAACATCAAAATTGAAAACTAAACGTGATTAAAAGGTCCAAATTACCATTTTTAGGACTAGGAATTGTTTACTGGTTTGTGGGACTTATGAAATATTATAAATTCGCGCCAAAGTCGTCCTAAAGGTAAACTTGGTTGGTGAAACGCCGTACGACTCCATCGCGAGTACATGGAAGTTGCTCACTCCAGGTTATGGATAAATCCAACAAGAATCGTTATTATTCTAAAGTGAAGGATTCTTATTAGTTCAGTTATGTTAAGGCTAATTAAAAAAGATTTTCGAATCTCATAAAAAAAAGATAACGTTTTTCTTTCTTGGGGAGAGTGTTATTTTTTAAATAGAAGAAGGTAATTTATCGTTGAAAATTTACCCTCCTTTAACGAGATTTTCCCTTTCCCATCCTAACAACTGCTGTTTTCTCCATAACTTACACTTTCTAATTTTCAATCAGAAGAGTGCTGCGTTTATTCGAGGATTATAAAGAAAATCTCTCTACAACTTTGTAGTCTACACTATTCAGAAAATTATGATTCTATCTCACCAAATGTCACATAGGTATTTTAGCGAATAAATACAGTAAAACAATACTTTGAAGCATTAATGAAGTAAAAAATCAACACAGTCTTCAGACCCATCATTAAACAGTAATATTTCCTTAAAAAAAGGGAAACAAAATTTGAACCAACCAAGGATAAAGTTTGATCACAACATGTACACAGGGTACTAGTGGGAGAGGGAAAGAGCATACCTCTCTGTTCTTCCTCCTTGTCCCCCAGCCGTCACTTCCCCCCCCCCCCCTCTTTGACTCACCCATCAGAACCCAACTGAATTCTAGTGCTCATGTATTAACAGAAGACGTAATTTGACCGCAGGGTATTCAGCAGTGCTGTCACTAAGGGTCTTAGACTGGAGCTTTCCCCCGGCTACTATAGGCATGTCCCTAGTCTACTTTCACAGGAATTGAAAGGAAAATCGTACCGCATGTGTTACCAGAAGACATGGACTGCAGGGTATGCAGGGCTGTCACCAAAGGCTGGGGATCAGGGTTTTCTCCCGGCCACTTTCATAGGAATTCAAAGGAATTATAGTAGTACAGTCGTACCTCCGCTAACCGCCACCTCTCTACAATGGCCACTTTCTTCTGTCCCCATAAAGTGGCTGTTGTAGAGAAGAAGAGAGAGAACTGCTGTTTTCTCCATAACTTACACTTTCTAATTCTTGATTTGTCGCAGGAACATTGTTTCCTAAATCTTGAAGCTCCCATTCAACGTGTCTGTGGATGGGACACATCCTTCCCTCATATCTTTGAACCATTTTATCTGCCGGACAAGTGGAGATGTTTTGAAGCTGTGAAGAAAATTACCAACTATTAAAATGTATGATGACACTGGACACAACATAAAGTATTTAGTGAATAAGATATTACATTACGTTTTGATACGTCTGATGCTTTCCTCTTGCTAGGGAAGCCAAGAGTTTGATAAGCACATAATATAAATTTAAAGTAAGGTATATCAATAGACAGGTAGTCGTGAAATAAGGTCGAACAGTTAGGGATGATAAGCAATTATTGGATTCAGCTTTTAAATGATCTGGAGAATTATGCAGATCGAGATCTGCCTAATTCTTCAGATAAAAAAAAAAATTGTAAATTGCTTGTTTACGCACGAAGCACATAGCAGTTCATATGAACTCGTTTAAACGTGTCCGTGCGTTCCATGAGACCTTTTTACCGATACGGCGGCCATATTGAATTTATTCGATTTAAGGAATATTATGGGATGCCCAGGGGGCATGAGCACGTTTCGTTTGTATTTTTGAGCGCTTTTCGGGACATTTTTTCTTAAAGTTTTCTTAGAATAAGATTGTAATGAGAGAGAAGATCCTTGTGCCGTGTTTGGATGTAATAATGATCGCCTTTTTCTAGTTGGTATTAGAAATATGGTCTTTCATTGTATATTTCTCGGGAAAAAGGCGATCATTATTACATCCAAATACGGCACAGGGATCTTTTTTCCCATTACAATCTGTATTCTAAGAAAACGTTAAGAAAAAAATCCCGAAAAGCGCTGGAAAATACAAACGAAATGTGCTCATGCCCCTGGGAATCCCATAATACTCCTTAAATCGAATTAATTCAATATGGCCGCCGTATCGGTAAAAAGGTCTATTGGAATTTGGAAGTGTTGGTTTTTGAGCTTCATACTAAAGCGGAATCCAGTAATTGTTGTATTGTTCATTCGAACTAATTCAGACATTCAAACATGCTTATCCAAATCCATGTTGAGTTGCCGTCTTCATTTGCCTTTTTCTTGGCAAATTCAGGATATAAAAGGATATTTACTCAGCAGATATTCTTACTGTATTCTTCAAATAGCATTTGCCATCCGTTGAGTTGTATTTCTGCTGTCTTTGCTATTTTTTTCAGTCAAAAGTTCGGCGTTTTCTTCAATTCTACGCCAAACGTTTGCCTTGTTCCTGTACGGCGTTTTCCCAGTCCCTCTTGGTCAATATCTGAATAGTGAGGCCTAGGGATTAGGCAAGCCAAACGTGTGAAAATTTCAGCCATTTTTTCCATCCCCATCAAAACACCTGAATAACCCAACCGCTTCTCGGTTGTCATCCCTTTTTCTGGCGATAGCTTGTACTTTTGACGTTATTGTGCCGTATTTCGCAAGCTTTTTCCAAATTTGGTCAATGCCAGCTAACCAGGGTATTTCAGCCAATCGGAAATGGAGAAATATTTTGAATGAACAAAAATAAAAATACAGTATTATTCATTCCAAATACATCTCCATTTTTGACTGGCTGAAATTCCCCTGGTATTTCTTCATAACCAGCTACCGTTGACCAAATTTGCCGATATCCAGTAGCTCAGCTGTTTTGATAGATCTGGAGAAAAGGGCGGAAACGAGGGATGTTAACTGCTATTTGAAGAAAATCAGCTAGACCCCTTTATGGTTTCTTTTTATCCTGAATTTGCCGAGTTATAAAGACGGAAATTTACATCGATCGAGGCAAGCATGTTTTGAAGTTTATTAGAAAATTTTTTTTAAGAATAATCTTAAAAACAATTATTGTATTCGGCTTTTGTATGATATGAAGAATTGCGAAGATCGAGGAGGGTGTTATCCGCCTCGGCCGTTGACATCCTCCTCAATCTGCGTAATTCTTCGAATCACTCGAAAGCCGAATACAATAATTGATAAGTATTTACATCCTCCTGAATCTGCATAAGGCTTTCAGGCCGCTCGACCCAGTATATTTGTAGACACACCGACCGTCCTTAAACAGTGAAATCTTTACTGCAAATCCATTATAACGAATGGATAATTTAAAATTCGCACAAAAAAGTGAGCTTTGTGCCTTAACCCTATTCATATATTCTTATGTTTTTCAAAATTGCACAAGTCTGCTTTGTTCCCAGTGGGTTGCAGAAAGGTAGAAAGGTTGATTTCCACCGTCGCGTAATTTTTACGTAAGTGGTCGCGCTTTAAATTTACGTGCGTAGATATGATAGTATAGTGGATGCACGAAAGGCGACGCGTATTAGCACGACCTTTCATGCATTACGCGCATACGCACGTAAATTTTACGAGACAAAGGTGGATTTCCACTATTGCGTAATTTTTACGTGCGTACGCACGTAAATTTTCGCGCGTAAATAAAATAGAGACAATTTATGTAAGATCACGTGTAAACTTAAAGGGTTAACCTCGCTGAACTTTCACGTTTATGGGTGGCCTTTCATACATTGCCTCTATTTCATTTACGCGCTTAAATTTTCCTGCGTTTGCACGGAAAAATTACGCGACAGTGGAAATCAACCCCAAGGGACATTTGTTTAGAGTGAGTGGTGAAACGATCCTGAAACATCCAAGAAGTAGTAAATTTGTTTGCGTCAAGTCCAGTCTTCAGTTCACGTGTAAATTTATCAGTACCATTTGTGCATAAATTTTAAGATATCTCCAAATTCCTCCAGTAAAGTTTTTTAAAACTTCGCCTAGCCGAAGATAAGCACCCACAGTTTACGTAGCGTAAAGCGTTTCCGAGAAAAAGCGCATGAAGGCTTAAATTTGATGTTAAACAATTGTGACATCATTGTCATGTGATTGTCAATTAAATCTCCAACATGATATAGTTCAGTGTAATCAATGTGTTTAAATGGATGTACAGTAAAGATCAAGCTGTTTATGTATAAGAAATTTTTATCTCATATTGACGGCAGTATAGTCAATTGTATAATCAAAGTATTTAAGGGTTTTGTGGTGAAGTTTAGGCTGATTTTAGCTACAAAGTAGCATCAGTCTTCAACTTCTAAAAACAGAATTTTTCTCTTATTTATGACAGTATAGTCAAATGTATAGTCAAAGTATATTACAGGCCGATTTTTGCCAAAGTAGCGTCAGTCTTCAACTTCTAAAAAGATAATTTTTTTCTTACTGATGACAGTATAGTCAAATCTATAGTCAAAGTATTTAAAGGTTTTGTGGTAAAGTACAGCCCGATTTTAGCCACTAAGTATCGTCAGTGGTCAACCTCTGAAAAGAGAATATTTCTCTTATTGATGACAGTATAGTGAAACCTTTATTAAGCAAATACTTAACGAAACCTCGCTAGAAGTGACCGTGTTTACAGAAAAATAGGAAAAAAATGTTTGTAACTACACTGATGCTTGGTACTTGTTCGCTATTATAATGCAGAAGGCCTGCTTAACAAAGGGTTCGCTTTATTATGACAGCCTTTACTGGGGCTGAAATTCTCCTTTAGAGAATTAGTTTATTTTAAAACCTACACTGAGAATACATTAATAAACAACATATAACAAGGTTTAAACACTTAAGAGCTGCTTTGTTTTAATAGTCCTGATGTATCCCTTGGCCAATAGCTATACCTGCTACTGACAAATGGTTTCCCTTTCAAACACTTAGTTCAGAAGACTGCATCCCTTTTCAGAACTGCCTTAAATGCATCGTCTTTTAGATATGAATTGACATCTGTAAAATGCCACTGTGAGTGTTTTAGTTCTTTTACAGACCGAAATGACAGATTTCCCTACCTTTTCATATACTTTAACTAATGAAATCCATATCCTTTCATGTGCTTAAAGGAACAGTATCCCGTTACTGCGCATGCACCAAACTTTGATTTTTGGACAGGATGTCGCGAAATCAAAAGATGCGAGGAGAGTAAGAGAACCTTGAAAAATCCGTTTGCATCGCGCGTGACCGGGTTCAATACGACACTAAAACTTCTCAGGATTACAGATCAATGATATATTGTTCCTGTTAAGTTTCGATTTGGGCAAAACCTGGATTTTTTGGCGTTACTTTTATTGCCGTTGGCCGGAGGACCAAAAGATTGGAAGCACTTTGATGCCGATTGAAGGCTTATTTCTTCTGCTAGCTTCCACACAAGCTCAGATAATTGTGAAAGGAATACGCAGAAATGAAACGGCAACAATAAAGACTGTAAGAAAGAAACCATTGAGACATTGATGTAACTGAGGAGATCTTGCGGAGGGGAGCTTCGTGAAGCAGAATGTTTTGCAACGACGCGTTAGTAAACTTTTTTAAATGAATCTCCCTAACGGCCGACAAAATCAAACAAACAGGCGCTACATGTTTAGAAAAACTAGTGCCATGAAATCATAATATAATTTTTGACTAACCTTTCTGATGATTCATAGCGTTGAGATTGCATTTTTATTTATGTCTTTCAAACGTTTGAGGCTAGAACGCGAGCAAATCAGGCAGATATTACTAGACTTGGAACAACTGACCTCTGACACGAGTTTCAAATTAGAAAATATGTTTTTAAAGCGAGCGGAACGAGATTTTCGGGTCGCGAGACGGCCCAGCTAGCGATAAAATCGCGATAAGTCTTCGAACCGCGAGCCAAATTACTATATAAGACAAAAGACTTCTTTGAAAGTCTAAAATATTACTTGAGAATATAAACAACAAATCTCTGTCGGCGGTGCTGTCCGGAAGGAAATCTTGTCGAGTCAATATGACAGTTCTATTGTCTTTTGAAGAAAAAACAGATGACGCTCGCGCGTGCGCATAATCGGGACACTGTCCCTTTAAAGCCTCATAAAGGTACCACTTTCGACCGGATTCTCTCCGTATAGACCATTATAAGGAACACCCCCCTCCCCCCACACCGGGTTTTCAATTTGGCTTTAAAGAGTAGCATGCTGTTGTTAAGGTTTCGGATGACAAGAATTTAACAACCACTGAGCAGTCTGGTATTTCAATATAGTTAAGACACTCTCAAAAAGGCCCCCATTAAAATGGTCGTGCACTGCTGTCTGAAACTTTGGGCACGGCACCCTAATGGATGGCAAACCTTTGCCAAAACTGGTCACATAGTAGAGCAGCCAAGTACATAAAGATCTCTTGTCTCCCTCGAGATTCATTACTAACTCTTTCGTGACTTTGATGAATACTTTCACGGGCAAATAAGGACTTCTAGAAAATATAAACGAGCAATTTACTGACATCACTAAAAACTCAGGCCTTATTTATCATCTGAGTTTAACTCTGAAAAATTTACTCAAAGGGCTTTCTCCTTTTATACATCACAAAATTAAAAAAAAAGATATTTTCTTTTAAAAAGGCTTACCCACCCTAATGTCCGGGAGTCACTTTCAACTTCTATTCTTCACTTAGTATTTTCAAACAATATTCTCCGTATTTTCTTCCAGCTCTGACGCCAGCACTTGCTTTCAGATTGAAACTCCTAGTTTTTATCTTGTAAATGGATTTGCATTGGGCACCGGCGCCCAAAAATTTAGGGCTGCCGGAACCATGTGAACAGGTCGTAGTCCGGTGCCCATTTTAGAGGTGCCATACGCAAATCATTTGTCGTGTAAACCGGGCTTGAGGACCCGTTACGTTCTCACGAGTCCGGACAAATTTTTGAACCGACGAATTTTTTACCTGTGCAACCCATTTACACGGAACCATGCAAATTCTTTTACAGTTCTGTTTACACGAGTCCGTACAAATTTTGGCCGATATCAGTATTTTATTTATTTTATATTATATTTTTTATCAAAGGCGCTTACTAGGCACCAGGCTTTTACCGCGCAAACTGTCCAAAACTTGCGCGGTTCAGGTGTTTACACGAGTCCGCGTAAAAGCCGAACGGTATACCGGTCACAAATTTTGACCCACTTCTGATCAGGTCAAAAACCTGCACACCTTGCCGTTCAAAAACTTGCACGGTTCCGCGGGTACCCTGTAAACTTAAGGCGGCTCCGTGCCGTTTTTTTTCCGTTCAAAAATTGGCCGGAGCCATGTAAACAGGTCTTTATAAGCTACATAAATTAAAACCACATTAACGGCAATGCAAAGTTGGCATTTCGGAAGCGAGCCATTTGCTCAAGCAAATCCTGTGACGTCTGAAAGCAATGCTTTTCTCCTCGGCGTTAAACTTGATAGCATTTTTCAGCTACTGCACTTTTAGGGATCACTATTATGAGGTTTCTTCAGTTGATGCTCCAGTAATGTTGCTAAAAAAACCTCGGGAGGTTGAAATTTATTTTGTCATCAGTAAGTGTCGTCACATTGTGGGTGGCCTCTCTTAAAATGGTCTACAATTGGTATAGGATTTAATGGAGCCGAGACCAATTGTGGAATTGCACACATTTTAAGCATCCTACTGATGAACAGTTACGACATAATTAGCCTGTTCCAGGCTCTCAGATGGTGGGGAAGACGCGAAAGTGAAAGGCACACAAAAAGTTGGCGGGGCGGGAAAAAAAAAAGGTGGGATAGAGAGAGAGAGCCTGTAATCATTTCTTTTACGACCTTCTTCCGCCCACTTGTGGCACGTTTGAGATAATTAGATTTCGGCTGTCAAACTTTTGAAATGTCAATGAGTTGGAATCTTTCTCAAATATCTCGCGAGATTATTTCGCGCGGCGGTAATCTCTTATGCGAGCGTGAGCAATCTGGAGTGTAAAAAGCGGGTCGGTAGGCAACAGAATCTTTTATGCGTGAATGTGATGGTTTCTTGCTAGTTCACAAGGCAGGTCTTCTGTTCCTTCCTCAGCGCTCCCACGTGTAAGGAAATCTCGTAAACATTCGTTCAACACAGAAGTCATCGTAGATTCCTCTATTTCACGCGCGTGGACGCCGCACGCCATCTTTCTGAGTGACAGGAACGACCCGCTTTGAGAGTGTTGATATAATCTGTCAAATCTGACCAATCAGAGGGTATACCAGGAGCTGGTATACCGGGACGGGACGTTTAAAAAATGATTACAGGCTCCGCCGCCCGCGTTCTCCCCAGTTTCCTCCCGTTTTATTTTGGTGTTCGCACTTTCTCAATTCGGCGGACCCGACAATCTCGGAGCCTGGAACAGGCTACGACATAATAGATATTGCGAGCAACAACAATTTGCTGTCTGTTCCCTTGGAATTGAATCGCATCGGTAGTTTTACATGTAACATGTCCTTAATGCAGAGAAACGAATTCTATAACACTCATTTTGTATTAGGTGAGTTAGAAAAAATTTCAACCAGCGGGTTTATAGCTAAGAATAGACATTCACTTGTTATTAAAGTAAATATACGGCGCGAATGTACAGTCAAAACAAACTGCTACTCTAACAATTTACACCTGTAATCTACGCCACAAAACCTGAAAGGCAAAATTATTTATCCCAAATCGATCAATTTTGTTTCAGGACTACCTGCCGATTGACATTAATTTATAACATTTTCATGTTATGAAACTCTTGGCATCCTTAGCAAGTGCAAACCATCAGACGTATCAAGACGTAACCACGGTTTACGATCATCTCGCCGCCAAGGAGTCTGTATCGTCTGTTTAAAATTTAACAGCCTTTCTTTTGAAAGTAGGCTTACATTGTCACTTGAACCTTAACTCCTTCAATTCAATGTAAATTCAAAGTGAAGGAATTTTCTTTTAGAGAATTGTCCTTTCGATAGGTATCAAAATATATGTTGTAGTTAATTTTTTATCTCAGGTAATTTTTGTTTTTCTTTAATTTTGGGTAAGGTAATGTACGCTAATGAAGTTGAAACAAAAGCAAATTAAAAACTACCTGTGATAAAAAAAATTAACAGCAACATATATATATTTGTTGGTGGCGAGGTGACTGGGCACCGTAAGCAGGGGCGTTAAGCATCAAAATAAGGAGTTAGACTGCACCAAACTTCAACGTCAGATGTAACGACGGATGATCAGATTTATACAACTAGTCCCTGGAGTTATTTTGCACATCACTTTGCTTTAGGAACACGAAGATAATGTTTCCATACAAACATGTCTTCATATACTACAGTTTCCTGGAAGGTTTCTTTCTGCCTGGGCGAAGTGTAACATCTTCTTCATTCAATCCGCAACAACACCAGAACAGTTACTGTTTAGAACAACTAGAAAATGTCAAGTTCTTTTCGTTTTGCATTCATTCATGTCGAGTTACTCTCATTATAAATTTTAAAAGCTGGTAATTTTCTTCAGAGCTTCAAAACATCTCCACTTGTCCGGCAGATAAAATGGTTCAAAGATATGAGGGAAGGGTGTGTCCCATCCACATACACGTTGAATGGGAGCTTCAAGATTTAGGAAACAATGTTCCTGCGACAGATAAAGAATTAAAACGTGTTAGTCATGGAGAAAACAGCCGTCGTAAGGATGGAAAAGGGAACATCGCCGCTAAGCGAGTGTCAAGTCTCAACAGTAATTAAGCCGTGAAAATAAAAGAACATCTCACACAAAAATCAGTTGGCCGACTATGGGTAAACTGTCTACCAACGGATAAAGGAATACTCAACTACTCACACATTTAGATCAAAACTCCATTGAAAAATTAGCACTCTCACCAGAAAAAAAAAGTCTAGTAAGAGATACGAAAACCTTTTTTAGCAGTCCCAAAACAGAGCTACTTAGAATATTTCATTTTGGAATGATCCAAGTTGTCTGTTGCAGTTATCTCAGGCGTTTTTAACTAAGTAGCCCTCATTTAGCTATGCTCGGGAAGATTTCTTTCTCTTGCACAAGTTTGTACATCAGAGTACTGTTTTCAAGAACATTTAAATTGATGACATCACTAGTGGTACATACATAGTGGTTTTCAAGCGTTTCGGGTGTAAATGAATTCAAGTAAATTAAAACTGTTGAAATCTCTAAAACATTTATCATGTTAAATCATGCGGTTAAAAGAAAACTACATGATATCAATAGTGATTACCTGTACAGTACTGCTTATTTCTGCAGCAAATCCACCAGTTAAAGGAGCCTCGTGTGCTATTAGAAGCTTTCCTGTTTTTAGAACAGACTAAAACAGAAAAACATTTGGTCAATGGAACACATCTTATTTATGAAAGCAATGATACCAACATTGACTTGTGTAATACCCAAGGCACTTTAACTAGCACGAAAAAGTTTCTGACATGCAGGATTAATAATTAAATGATTAATCACCATTTATTTATTAAATACACCATTAGGTAATCAATTACTTGACTTATTAAATCGTTGCAGTCAGCTAAGATCTAACAAAAGCTTTAGGAGGCTAAGGTGCCTTACTTCTAAGGTTGTGTGGATCACACAACGTCTAGTCTGACATAAAGTAGTGCCATACTAGTTTTGATACTTGTTTTTACAGATATCACTTTGTCAGATGAGTTTGAAAAATGGCTAAATCAGTCCACATGAATTTACAAGGAATTTGAAATTCACATCTCAAAGTATTAAATTTTATTTGATTCCCTAAAATCGTTCACTGGCCTGTTGGGCAAGTGAAGAACAGAATTCACTTGCCTGTTGGCAAAATCCACTATGCAGATACCTCTCTTGTTTTTGAAAGGATGTCTCTTTTATCTCCTATGAGTTTTCATTGGGATAGTATCTTCAAGTAATAGTCTATTAATTTCAGTAAGCAGTCAACATTTGCAAGTAACAGCATAATAGAATTTGCAATTCCACCCACTCAGAAAGTTTTGGTGGGAAACAATTTTAATATTAGCTTCCACAGGACCTCGAAGCAACTGAATGGAAGTGTGCGCTGTTGGGTAAAAAATTCCAGCGATGTAATAATACCTTAATGACAGTCTCTTCATCCCAAGGGAGAATTGTTTGAAGATCTATCAGCTCACAACTGATACCAAGCTCATCTTTTGCCATCTTACAGACATCACGCAAAACATGTACCTGAGTTCCCCATCCAACGACTGTCACATCAGAACCTGAAATCAGATTTGTCAAAAAAAAGACTAATTTGTTATAAAAAACAGATAAAAATTAGGGAGCTTTAGCATCTACGATGGTGATGGCAGGGAAAGCATCACTAAAAATGTGAATTGGTGCAGCTTCAAACTTCTCTCTTATTCCATCTTGTTCAATTTGTCAATCATGCTGGCAATTAAAATTGTTCGGGAAGACTGTATCTAAATACAGAAAGAGTAATATTAAGTATTTATTATTACTCAAATGAAAAAGTTCCATTTTGTGTTGTTCCAGTGCGAGCAGAGGCTTTTCTGGTATTCAACAGGCGTTCTCAACCGACACTTAGCTGACACATTACCGACATGCTGCCAACAGTCGGCCGACAGTTGGCCGACAAACAGCCAACGGTCAGCCAACTGTTGGCAGAAAATTTTCGCAAAAGGTGGTAAATGACAGTCGGCCACCTGTCGACCAACAGTCGACCGACAGTTGGCTGACAGTTTTTTGGGTGAGCTGTTCTTCACTTTTTCCCATTTTCTCGTGTTCACATCCTCATAAAACATGAAATTAGGAAGTATCACATCGAAGTTGGCAATACAACGACAAAGAATTGTACAAGTTCATAATTTTCAGAATGGTTTGAAAAAATAATTGATAGAATCGTTATTGATGTGCATTTTCATGTGTTTAGGTTTTCTACAGCCTCTTCTAATGCCTTAAGGCCAATTCTTTCTTAGTACTTAGAGCATTGCAACCAACTGAATCAAATCCTAGACTCACCTTCCTCAAGTATTTCAGCCTCTGAGAGTGGTATCTCGTAGTCTGCAACGGGGACCTCTTCCACTGCTTGTCTGTAAAGGATCTTGGGTTCAAGGAAGATGACTGGGTTTTTGTCTCTTACGGAAGAAATAAACAGTCCTTTGGCTTGAATAGGTCCTCTGGGAATAACTACCTAAATGAAAAAAGTAAAAACAGGAAAATTACATGCCAACTATACCATAGCCTGAAATTCATCCGATTGCTTCGAGTCGTTTTCTCCTCTCAACTGAGGGAGTAATAACGACTCGAAGTAATCGGATGAAATTCAGGCTAACTATACCACTTACTGGTAAATTAGTATAGGCAATAGCATGATTTGTAATGATACCATACCACGAGTGATATTTCAAAATTGTTATGGTATTTTCACGAACCATTAGGTGAGTGAAATTTGAGACAACTTTGAAATATCATGAGTAATATTTATGACAAATATCATGCACAAATCATGCTATTATTTGTTCATACTTCTACATGTGTACATTTTTTTGTAACGTCATCCATTTATTTCATCACGTGTATTTAATGGGCTTTATACACATGATCCAAAATCAAATTCTTAACGACATAGATTTCCAAAACATATAAAGAAAGAATCAAAGTTTTTGAGTCTTTAACCGTTTGCTTCAATGAAAGTTGTTCAAAATTACATGTAGATTTAAACATCTACGGCGGCTAGAAAGAAAGTTGACAGCCAGGGAAATGGTCAATGGTCGCCAACCTTTCATCATTGAAGAGGAAAATGATCACCACAGCTGTGTTTACAGCATCTAATCTTTGCAAGCAGTTGACAAACTCTGCTGAATTGTGCCATTGCACTCTCTGCACTGATGATGGAAAAAATGTCTCACTGTTCATTCTCATCACCTTCTTCATAATCTTCAAGGGACCTCTCATTGGCACACACTAATAATTGCTCACTGCAGTTGGTTTGCAGCTTTCAGCTTCTTCACCAAGGTTTTGTGAGTGCTGTGGTTTGTAAGCTTTTTGCCTTGTATGTCTGCCTGACTCGCCATATTCTTCATGAAGGAATTAATGCTGTTGAAGCCCATTCTTTGTCACTTATACCACACTTGGGTCTTAGGTCATTCATTCACAGCAAGGTAATGAGCCACTGTTTCGCATTTCGTCGGGTCTTCATTCCAGAAATGTTTAGAAAAGTTTAACAAAGCACCTCTGTCTACCAGTAGTAAACATCTTGGGTTGAACAACTCTTTGTTTCATGCGAAGTCCACCTTGGCAAGTTTTTGTGGGGTTTCCTCATAAGTCACGTATTCAATACCGTTGTCATTGGTGCTGACGGCAAAATCTTCAACGTACATGTTGTGGTACTCCAGACAGCCCCTCAAACCAAAGTGCTGGGGGAGCAAGAACCACATGGTCTGTATCAGTGACTGAGGAGAATGGCCTGAAAGTACTCCTTTAGACCACATCAGTTCATCGCTTTTGCAGCATTAGGCCTTTTACTGAAACCTTTTGTTTAGTTTCATCTAGTTGTTTTGCTTCATAACCAAGCAAATTTGTTTCAGAATTCTCACTTCCAGCCCAGCTGGAAGGTTGATTTACTTTTCTTAGTGTTTTGGTTTTCTGAATTTCCCAAGTTGAGTTCTTGAATTTCTTCAACTTGAAAATCTGGAAATCTTTCTGCCAATGTTTTTTAACTTGGCTGACGTCCTTATTTCATGATTTTGGTTACCATGGAAACCCTAATATTATTTTCACTTGTACGTATTTAAAATTATGCTGAAATACCACTGCTCTATGCCAATCAAATTGCAGAAATTTCTCATGTAGTAGTATAATATACAATAATGCCACTGGCAAGGCTGTGTTCAAGGAGGATCATCATTCATCACTGTAGTTCCCTAACTTTCAAGTAAATACATGATCACTTAAATGCGGAAACAGAGATTCACATTGTACAGTCAAAGCCAGCCAAGCATTCCCATTATTAACAGACTAATAAATTCATTCTTTGAAAATTGATTCTGTTGGTTGATTAAACATGATGTGTCTATGCTTGTATTATCATATAGATCTACAGCCTTCAAGTTGCCTTATCTGAATATAACCTGCTTTCTCACCTGCTTTACAGAATAAAGATGATGATGATGATCTACAATGTAGAAAATTTTTCTGTAAAAGTAAAGTGACTGACTTCATGATACACTACCTGACATGATGCATGTGACTGAGGTCTGCTAAAGAAATTAACCCATTAATGGCAAAACTACTTGTACTTAAATCTAAAACATCACCCAAAACAAGTCACAATGACTTTTGGCCACAGATAACCAAATCCATGCCAAAGGACTGGGGGTGCTTTAGTAATGATGTTAATATATACTTGTTTGCTAACCAAAGATAACAAGTAGTTACTGTACCTTTAGTCCTGGTACATGAGCAAAGTAGCTCTCCACTGACTGAGAATGATAATGTGCACCATGCCCCACAGCTCCACAAGGAGCTCGCACTGTGAGGCTGCCACAGTTAAAAAGATTTCCTGAACGGTATCTAAATTTTGCAGCTTCATTCACAAGCTACAACAAGATGAGCATCAAGTTATGAAAGTACATATTAAAGAGAGGATATTAGGCCACATGGAGATATGAAATTTATCTTCTCATGTCAAAAAAATATTTGTGAACAAGTGTTCAAAGTATTTTCAACACAAGAAGAAAAAATTTATTTATAGTGGCCATGTCATGTTCTATTTATTGCATAAACACCACAATGAAAGCTCCCCTGGCATTTTCATTGGTTTTTACAGACAACTCTCTCTAAAGGGACACAGTCAGGTGAAAGACATGCACATCACATACCAATAATTCTTAGCTGGTTTGCATATCACTGGACATGCGCGTGAAACAGAAAGTGAGAACTGCATGCTGGAATATCTATAGTAAATAAACCATGTGGAGCTGAAATTGCAAGTCAAAATCGTGAGAATCTAAGTCATATCAGGGCACTCATTGTTTTACAGGTCATTGAGAATTCACTGATGGACTTGTCCAAACATTGACAAATACTTATGAACTCGAAGAATCAGTAGAGGAGAGAAAAAACACAAAGTCTTAATCATTGTCGAAGGATCAAGGTCGAGACACTGACAGCTTGATTTTTCCAAATATATGTAACCTTTCTCCATCAATTTTCCAAATGTATATAACGATGTTATTGATTCATTTCTCTTGTTATTTGGTAAACAAAGGTGATTTCTCCCACCCAGTGCCCACACGTTTCCCACCTCCTCTTTGCATGTTCCTTTGGATACTGTGTTTTAACCAAATATTATGATGAAATAATGTTTTAGGATGAGTAAAAGTTTGATCACATGGAGGTTTTCAGAAAAAAATCGAGGATCGAATGAATTTTATACTACGCAAGATTAAAGCGGATTTCTAGATCAAGATGTATCCAAAGTGCACATTTGATTTCAGCTTGAGGTAAATGCTTTTCAAACTGGGGAAGTAATGTCCAGGTCAGCATGAAACGAAAGCTGACTGTGTTCCTTTAAGATGGACACCTTTGGGATTGGCACTAAGCGATGTCCATCTTATAAAGAGTCAAATAAAAAAAGTAAAGAAAGGCAGGGACCAACTCTAGGTGTCTGTTTTACTGAGGAGTCCATCTTATAGGAGTCCATCTTAAGAGAAAGTTGACTGTATTATAATAGAGTTACATACTGAGGGAAAGTTGACATAAATTAACTTACTTGATCAAAGGCAGGGAAGATGTAATCTGCAAACTGAATCTCTGCTATTGCTGTAGCGCCGGCTGCTGCCATCCCAATACCAAAACCAACAATGCCTTGTTCACTGAGTGGTGTATTAAACACTCTGTCTTTACCTACAGTAGATAGAACATTCAAGGGTGATTAAAGAAGTATGATGTAATAGTCTTATAGAGTTTTTGTTTTATGAGATCCTGTCTTTAAATAGGACCCTTCTATTAGTGATTGGGAGATTAATTGTTGTGTACTTTAGGTACGTACCCCTTGGCCGACTATCATTCGACACTATCAACCAACTCTCAATTAACTTGGCCAACTTAAGATCGGCTGACACTTGATCGACATGCTGTTAAAACAATCTTAATTATTGCGGCAATAGTCACATCCTGTTAAGATTTTGATACTACATTAGTAGGCCTTGCACTTATTCAAGGAGTTAAACCAAGCTATTTCGGACATCCCAATGATAAAAACAGCAGAGCTCTACAGCTTGGCAAAGCTTTCAGAGGTTTAACAGGAGTAAACTCACCATTATTAGGCCCTCACTATGGCTTGCTTATGGACCCTTTACACAGCACAGTTTAAAGCCTTACTTATTTCACTGATTCTTCTCAGTTTTGTGTTCCAAGCAAAATTGTTATGTAAATATGTTACTCCTCAAATGTTCAATCTAGGCCATGTTTTCGTGTCATTGGAATATTCTACATATTCTGACGCAAAATAAAATTATCGTGGAGTCATACTGACGCAAAAAGAAAAGTTACCTCATATATAAGTACATGTACTTCCAAAGCAGCAGGTGATAATACAAGTAAATTTAAAAAAAGGGGGTGCTTACTGGCCTTAAGTGAGTGCACAAAATGACTGTCATTTCAGAATTGTGTGCTTACAAGTTGTTTTTGTGTCAGGCATTCCACACAATTCCAGGAGAGACTGGAGCATATCTTTCGACTTCGTTGCTTTGCCGATCAATTACACTTCATTTGTTGATGTTGTTGGTTTGTTTTCATTTCATTGTGAGACAACAATAAAAGCTAAGTTCACTTTTTACACAAAAGACAATGGAAGTTGAACCTGAAAAGCATGAAGATAGGCTGGATAAGGATGACAGTGAAGCTTGAGAAGTCAGTTCGATAAGTCAACCTCCAGAACTTCAGGAACCCATTGGTGATAGTTTGGATGATGTCAGTTGTTCAAAGTTTCAATATCAAACATGTAGTTTGACTGAGACCACTTTTGAAATGACCCAATTTAAAATGCCATGTGGGCCACTGCTCCTCTATTAAATACAAATGTTTTCCAAGGAAATTCTTCTCACATTCCATTATTTCCAGACCATGGACCACAATAAAGATATTGAGTCTACATGTATCTATATTGTGTGGTTCCAAAAATTATCCATACCTCCCCCATGGAAACGATTTTTCCTTAGACGCCCACAACATCCTGGAAATTCCAGTCAAGTTTCATACATTTACTTAAATTTTTGGGCCTTTGAGAACCCCCCACCCCCCAGGAATTTCCAATGCCTTCTGTGGGGGGAGTATGGATATTACCTGGAACCACACATTGGGCGATTCCAGAAAATATCCATACCATACCACGGACGGCTTTAAGGATTTCCGAAGGGGAGGGGGGATTCACGATTATGGAATTCTGAAGGCATGGGAGGGTATTTACGATTTGAAATCCGAAGGTATGGGGGAATTCCACAGGTGGGATTTCTGGAGTAGAAAGTGTAGAGTAAGTTCCTGGAAAACGCTATTGTTGTGGACTTTTGTAGTTCGTAAATAAACCACGAACGTATGACCGCGGAAGCAGAAGACAAGCATCGATAGATCAGACAAGTGTTTACGCTCATAACTTATAGAAGTGAACAGTAAAACGTTGGTTTCACATTTACCTTGATGAATTTCTTGTCACGTGAATAAAAACTGAAAATGTATCTTTTAATACCGCTTGCAAATTTCTTGTTACTCCCATCCGATAAACAGTAGGGAGCTTAAGCAGCAACGTTTTTGAGCGACGCACGTCAACCGGAAGTGAGGTATTTTCCCTCTTAACATGCCTTGATGATGTAAAATTTGTATTCCTTAGCTTCTTTACTGTTATAGAGGTGATTTGACTGAAAATTTGCGCGAAACCACCGTCAAAAAATGAAAAAAGGCCACTTCCGGTTGACGTGCGTCGCTCAAAAACGTTGTTGCTTAAGCTCCCTAGTAAAAAACTCGCACGAGTCCCTCACTTCCAAGAAACGCCTGTCAGATTAGAACGCTTTTCGTGCACACTACATGACGTATAAAAGGACGCAACACGACTCGACGGTATATTTGACCGCCAAAAGATTTTAACAGCCTGTTTGAGCTATTTTCCTTTGTAAACGTCAAAACAGCACAAGAAAACAAAGAGGAGTAAAATTACCTTAAGTGGTGTTTATTTTTATAGCCAAATTCGGACTTAAAAAGGAGTTTGCACGGCCTGGCAACTAGCGTAGGTTTTTCTTGTCACTGAAGAGTAAAGCTTGTCACCTGGCGCCGCTAGATCACAGCCTTGAGGAGGCATAAATTCATGTTCGTTTGTTCTTATAGGCGTTGCTAAGTCGAAAATGTACTTCCAAAAAAAACCGGAAATTCTGAAGGGGAGGGGGGGTTCACGACTATGGAATTCTGAGTGCATGGGGGGGTAGCGCATTTTGGAATTTCCGAAGGCAAGGGGGGGTTAAAACATGGAAGCCGTCCGTGGTTGGGTATGGATATTTTCTGGAATTGCCCATTATCACCTGATGTATACTAACCATACTTGTCTTTTAGTCCAACAGTACATCTAAATACTCCACCAAAGGCAACATCCTCTCCAAATATCACTAGAAGGGGAAAATACCATTTTTGTTAACACAAAACAGTGAACAGAATCTAATATCTTTCAATAAACAAATGACATCGGCCATATCATGCCAGACATTTTAAAGTCGCTTAGATTGATGCATTTCATGTAAAAGAGACAACTTTAATATTAAAGTTGTTTGTTAAGTGCAACTGAATAATATGCTTAACAGAAGACGTAAACACTGCCAGATGTTTAATGTGTCTGTCTTATTTACCATTTTTAGGACAGCAGCCTGACATCAAACTTCATCAACAATACATCAGCCGGTTGCTAATTGACCAATATCGGTTCTTACCACATTTATTAACACAAAGAAAAATGAAATCTATAGAGTATTTTCACTCACGTGGCCAGCATATATGCAAATTTATTGGAACAAAAGAAAGCGTCTGCATAAGAAAAGAGTTCAACTCCCAGAGGACTGATTTGGGAAACATGGCCACCGTTTCATTGTTTTGGGACACCAATATGGCCGCCGTGACGTCATGTGAAAACACTCTATATGTTAATAAGTGAAATAGAAATTGAGAATTACCTGCAGATGAGTCAGACTCCAGAATAAGATCCATAGCACTGGTCAGTGACTGAAACAAGTTCATCTTTTCAGTTTCTCCTAAAAAAGAGAGGTTTGAAATTATTATTCATTATTAAGCCTCAATATCCACATACGAATTCTCTGGACTGATATCCATGCACTTCCTTTAAGAATTAGTTGAGAGAATTTGGTAAACGATCACGGAATTTTATCAATTCCCATAACAAATTTAAAAAATGCTGTATTTATACGTATTGATGCTGTCACGAGAAAGTTAGGGTTAGAGATCACGTTTGAGACTTAAATGCATGTTGGGCTTAACTACAGAATACAGGGCAAATTTTCTAGGTATATTCGTTGGGGTGGCTCGGTGGCTCGGTAGTCCCGACTAACGAGCCACCGAGCCGTCGAGCCACTAAAATATATACCTATAATCTGCCATAATACATACTAAAGTATATGCCTTCTATGTCTGTCTTATACTTATATGTCTTATATCTTTCTCGTTCTTTAAACACTAGCGAGCCACCGAGCCACTTCTGTTTAAGACCTGAAAATATGGCCCTGTATTCTGTAGTTGCTTTGTATCTGGAAACTATGAGTGTTAACTAACCATGGAGAGGTGAAGGTGAATCCGGTACAAATGAGAACGTAGAGGCAGATCTGCAACATCTCTGTAGTGTATTACTTGATTTGGCGGTTCCTAACTGATGAATTGTCCTTGGAAAAGGCAATAAATTTGACATCAGAAACTTTCTAAAGCCTCGAACGGCCGCCATCTTGAAAGCGGGTCTCGCTGTCGAGAGGGATTGGCACTAATAAACCACGGTTACCCATGGTCCAACGGGGTTGGTCCACGGGGCTGGTCCAACGACGTTTGATGCGGAAGTTATAAATCAGTGCCAGTTGTCGTGCCAGTTCACAATTCAAAGATTGTGTACTCTGCGGTCAATTTAATAAAACTTGTACAAGCGTTAGTTATTCACTTTTCAGCCGAAAACAATAGCTACACTTGTAAAGTACACTTCTAGCCCATAGAATAGGCACATTTGTTCCTTTTTTACACGACGTGTTACAAGGCAGATTGGGTTACCCTCCCTCCCTGCCTTGTAAACCGGTCAGTATAAAACACGGACTGCGGACTACGGACCACGGACTGCGGACTGGGTATAAAATACGGACTAGGTATAAAATGCGGACTCCGGACTGAGTATAAAACACGGACTGGGTATAAAACGCGAACTACGGACTATGTAAATAAAAACAGCTTTATATCTAGAAAGGTAAAACTGAGAGAAATGGAAAGCGGACTAGCAAAAACAGTAGTCCCAGCTTTAACATTCCCTTGGCTGTTCACGTAGTCTATTCTTCCCTCGGAGAAGGAAGGTCATGCCGGTACTCAAGGCAACTGAAATTTAACTCTGAATTTTATAAAAAGAAGGAGTTAGAAGAGATATCAATTTGCAGTTTTAAACCAATAAGAAGCGCGGAATTAAAAAAATAGTATTGGTGTTAGTCAGATCAGTAAAATTCTTATCGAATGCCACAATTCCGTTTGAGGACTGAATGAAGAACTCAGACGAGAAGGTCAATGTAGGGCATTCCGCGATGCACAAAAGCGGTATTTAGGGGGAGGGCAAGGGGAAGGGATTACTCACATACGTGAATAATAACCGAAATGAGTCATCCAACGTTATATTCCAAGCGATGATTATGATGACATGATTTACACCCTGCTCCTTATCCCCGGACGGGGGTACTACTGGGAATTCTTGGTGGGGGGTGGTGCCTGGTTCTCCGACTCCTGATCTTATTGCATTCCAAAAACTGTTATTTTCCACACCCATTTTCGGACCTGGCCTAATTTAGCCTGTTCCAGGCTCTCCGATAGTTGGGGAGATTTCCCAGTTTTTTCCCGTTTTATTTTCGTGTTCGCGCTTTCTCAATTCAGCGGACCCAGCTATCTCGGAGCCTGGAACAGGTTAGGAATAATTAGGCATTACCAAGTTAGAGCGGAAACAAAAAAATTCTCCAAATGCATTTCGAATTCGCACCTTTCTATTTCGTTCTTATTCATTTGGAACTGAAACGATAAATACGTCCATCCATGTATGCTCCCGTAGTCCCCTCGAAAAACTATACCCAATTCCAGACCAAAATGGGCAAAGTGTTTTCAGACCAAAAAGGCCCAAAACCCCTACCCTTCCCTTATATAAGGGAGTACCCCCCCTGATCCTGACCCCTTTCATGATTGTTGGAGACCGAGACAAGGTCTAAAAATGGGTGAAGAAAATAGCATTTTGATCAGGCACGGGATTTGGAAAACCGGGCGGCACACCTCCACCAAGAATTTATAGGAGTATTTACAACTTTAACTCACGTGTCTTGCTATTTAGCGATCTTTTGATTTTATTTTTCCTTACCTAGAGCCAATTAGCACCGTTTTTACCAAAGTAGTCCGCAGTCCGTCTTTTATACTGACCGCTTGTAAACTCTCTGCTAGGTACAACGGGTAATTCGCCTACCCGAGACGAGACAACTTTGCTCCGTCATTTATGACCAGTAATCTAGAAAATTTGAACGGACGTATCCAATTTTTCGAGCTAAATCTTTTAAAGGTAAATGAATAAAATTAGATATTATCTGTATGTGATTAAAACAGTTGTACGTTTTTTCATGGAGATCTTCAAAATTTCATTCACATTTTGGACGTTACAAAGAATGTGTGAAGAAAAATGAGAGGACCTCTCTCCTTCCTAGTCTCCTTTTTCCCCTGCCGAGAAAGAACTCTTCTAGCAGCGAAAGTTTCGCAGGACAAAACACAAATTATTCCTTTTCGGTGAGGTTAGGCCTGTTTCAAACGTCGTGCTATTGCCAGCTGTTGCGAAAACAAAAGCGGTTTAGTGAACTTTAAAAATGTATTCTAATGTATTTATAATTTAGGAATTGAGTTCGAAACGGCAGTAGTGCGACGTTTGAGACCAAAAGAGACTAAGGCCTGTTTCAAACGTCGTGCTGCTGCCGTGCCGAACTCAATTGATCGAATTAAATTCGACTTTTGCAAAGGCAGTAGTGCGACGTTTGAGACCGTGCTACTGCCGGCAGCACGGCAAAGACTTGCCGTGCTCAAACGTCGTCGCGCTACTGCCGTGCAAAAGTCGAATTTAATTCGATCAATTGAGTTCGGCACGGCAGCAGCACGACGTTTGAAACAGGCCTTAGTCTCTTTCAAAGAACAGCCGCATGGGAGTGGATCCCGAGGAGTGGATACAAAGACTGCCATATGCATATTTTATTGTGAGCTGCCACTTCTTAGATCAGTAGCAAAATTACAAAATTCTGCTGTACACTGAGACTTTTGGGATCATGGGCAAGGCGAAGTAACAGTTTGAACTCAACAAAAATAAAGCTTCAAAAACGTTCACAGCAAATTGCATTGCTAGCGGTTAGACTTGTATTTTAACATTTCTGTTCCTTGATTAAAACAAGGAATAGTATGTTTGTACAGTGATTCTCACGGAAGCATCAGAACCCTCCTAAACTGTTGGAGCATTTTTAACAGGGCTCGCACCATTTACTAAAACAAATTTTTCAGGACTAGGAAATGTACATTATAAATCAATTCTTCCTCAGTTGTGACAAATTTACTTCCAAAACCTTTTTATTTGATACTCGAGTTAATAGATTTCCAGGACTTTCCAAGATGTCCAATTTTTTCCAGGGCTTTTCCTTATACCAAGGTCGCATTCAATCCCTGAATGAATTGGCTTACCTGTATCCGCACCCTCCCCCTCCCGAAGGAAAAACGTTTTTTCTTTGTCGGGGGGAGGGTCCGGCTACATGTACTTTCACCCATTCATCACTATCACTTCAACCCTTGGCTCAACTCTTCTCTTACACCCAATCGTTTTCCCATTTGAAGCACACACCACAGGAGTTTCAATTCAAATATAGAAAAAAATTTGTTACGAACTTGACTTGTACATATATCCAATGGCGTCTTTAACCTTTTCACTCCTCATAATGGTCAAGTAAAAATTTAAAAAAAAGTTCCAAATGTCATTCCGTAAAATTCTTAAATCTTAATAGTACCATTCAAAACATCTGCCAAAAGGGTTTCATTTGACTGGTAACATCAAAGGGTTTTCCCACAGCTTAAAAAGCTAGCATGAGAAATCATCTTGCCATACAAACTTCGCCTTGGAGTGAAAGGGCTAAGCAACTATTCCCGGTCACTTCTGCAGTAGGCTCGATTTTCGCTCCTCTCGAATCCTTTTTTCGGGGAGGACGGCAACTTCACTTCCCAAACAACGGCTGAAATCGAGCCTACGTCTTCAGCTAATACAGTTTATATACTGCAGGCAGCATTGAAATAAGCGGAGTAGGTACCTCTCATTAAATAGAACACTACAGTGTTTAGGAAGACAATGTTTTACAAATAATACCACCTATAGTCTCAAGGAGGTTATCATCAAGTACCAATGTTTATTTAAGGTAGGTCTTTCATAGCAAGTTACAAACACCATTGAATCCGTCTTCTTAAAATGTTCCGGCACTTAACTGTAGGGATTCAAACATTTGAATTCAAATTTCTATTAAAAATCTATTTTTTATTTGCAACTGACGATTGAAATCGTACATCAGAGCTACGTGCTACTCCTATCACCACTAACATGAGGGAAATCTTCCGCTCCTTTGTTGTGAATTTTTTTCAGGTACGCATATGCTTAATGGCATAAAGGTAGCTACGCTCCTCGTCGGTTTCTTTCTGTTTTCAAGTACTACCCGTGAAGTACCGAGGGCGTAGATTCGCGCGTGCAAGGCTCGCAGGCCTGATGCGCACAGGGGGTAAGCCTGCTAATACAATCTCCTTACTCTAGGGACGTTGGGCTGTACTCGCAGGCTAACAGGGCGTGGGAAGTTTAAGCCTTTGAAAGTGTCTCTCACTTCGCTCCAGACTTCTCATCTGACGAGACCAAAGCAAAAGTCAATCTAATAACTACAAAACATGTTAAGCGGACTGTCTCATCGAACTCTAACGTAACCACATTAACGAGTTGATTTCATCTTTCACTGGCAATATTCTCTAATTTACAGTAACCAATACTTTACAACTTGAAAATCCATAAGAAAACAGCGTATTGCAAGCGTTCATTAACAAAGCCAAATATTTTAACCCGTGAAAGCAAACCATCAATGGTTACCCAAATTACATTGAATTCTAGCAATAAATATGAAAATTTGTTTTCCTAGCTAGTGCGACACTGAATAGGCGTTTCTGCTTCATCTTCGGCATCACTACCTTCAGCCATAGTAAACCTTGTTCGATATCCCATGTTCATTAACATCACCTCCAACGGGTCAGCATTCATTCGCCGTTGATTGGCTTTCGCAGCAGCCTCTACCTCGTCAATAAGCCAATCCTGTGTGTCCTCACCCTGGGGGCGTGGACTCCAAAGTCTGATCACCGGATCAATACCACTAGTGGCCAAAAGGCACATGCTAGGATGGGGCTGTAAGCAATTCACAATAGAATCATCACCCTTTAGTACTCTGACTAGATTCGTTGTCTCTTTGTCCCACATAAAGAAGGAGCCATCGTCGCTGCCTGCTACAATATACTGTCCGTTGCTCCCGAAGAAGTTTGCTTCTTTGATGTCAGTAGTTGTGTTACAGTGTCCACAGAATCGCTGCTCATAATCAAGAGCTTGTGAACGTAACTCTTTCTCCTGATCGGATACAATGCTGAGTCGCCTCCTGCGTCGAGATGGAGTAGTGTCTGACTGTGGGCTTGTCTCTTCGTCGTCATCATCTAAAGGACACAACCCAAATCTTGATCTTAACTCTAAGTTGCACCTAAAACGCTTCGTATTTCAAACAACACAAATGTATTAAACATTTCCTTCATCTTAATATCTTAAGTTTTAACGAAGAAATCACCTCTTGAGACCGGCCCAAGCATCCTTTATCTAAGGGGATCTGGGGAATGACCACCCCCGAAGGGCCCGGTCCCCCTCCCTCCTTATCTATCTGATGACCGGTCTGGATCCGGCACTGATTAGGGAGCTTAAACAACGACGACGACGACGACGTCAACGAGAACGGGAAAAATGCAATAGGTTAAGTCAGCGAAACAACAACTTTGCACGTGCATCATGCTTTTTTGTACATTTCTTTACCGTCACTCCACGACTACGACGTGGAAATGCCTATTTTGACGGTTTGTGGAGGACGTGAACACAAGGCGACGACTTTCGTTTTCTTTTCCTGCACTTCGATACAGTCTTTTAGAATTCAACTCCAGAAAAAACAGCCAACATTTGGCGAGTTGAACGCGAAGGAATAAGCGCGTCGTAGCAGTCGCCGTCGCCGTCGTTGTTGCTTAAGCTCCCTCAGAGTATTCTCTGGTAGAGATCCTTGATGGGCCTAACCTCTAGTATCTACCTTTCATATGATTAATATGTAATAATATTTGATAATATTTATTATACAGTTAATATATATTATTGATTGTATCACTAAAGCAGTATTTTTACAGTGGAACCTCTATATAACGAAGCCCTCGGTATAACGAACGATTATCTTTACCCCAGTAATAGTAAAATTTCTGGGAAACAACCTCGACAAAACGAGCCCTTCGTTATAGCAAGGTTCCACCGACCATGTTCCCATACATTGTGTAGACCGCCACCCATCCCGACACAATGCCAGCAGATACTGGGCTCGCTCATTCTTTGATAACTTAAGAGTTAGCGGCCAGATAATAGGGAGCTTAAGCAAAGACGTTTTTGAGCGACGCACGTCAACCGGAAGTGAGGCCTTCTCCCTTTTTATATGCCTGGACACTACCAAATTTGTATTGCTGAGTTTCTTGTCCTATAAAGACGTCCCAATTTCGGATGAAACCAAGATGGTACAATGGAACCTGGGACTGGAGAAATTTTTTCGTTATATCGAGGGTTCGTTTCATCGAAAACCTGGATTAACGATGATCTGGGGGAACCTGGGACTGGCAAAATGTTCCCGTTATATCGCAGGTTCGTGGTCGAAAACCTCGATTTAACGCCCATTACTTCCGGTTCTGAACCAAAATTTCCTTATCTCATTACAGATAATAATTAATTTTCAACGCCCATTACTTCCGGTTCTGAACTTATTGTCTCATTACAGAGCTGCACATAGCTCCGGCTAGACTACGAGCATTTCCTCATTTTCCCTCAAGGATAGTTGAGCGAGCGAAACGCGAGCGCGCGTTTCTCTCTCCCCGCCGCGTCTCGCCTTTCTCGCGTGGGGTGATTTTCACGCGCGCTCGCGTTTCGCTCACTCCACTATCCCTGAGGGAAAATGAGGGCCTACTCGCAGTCAGCTACTCATGATTCAGGATTAGGGACTCAGGCATATTTGAACAGCTTATAATTTTAGAACCAGTGTTGGGTTTCTCATCAATCATTACAGCAAGGGCCAGTGATAGTAAAATTACTTGAGGCTAGTAAATTGTAAATCTACAGCATGAGTGTAAAAGTTGATTTGCAAAACAGTCCGTATTTTTGCTTATTCAAGTACGCGCGATCAGTCAAACAAAAGGTCTTGAACGAAACTGAAAACAGAGAGCGAGACTGGGGAGAGACGCTAAAGGCGTTTTTTTCTCTCGCCTCATACGCCTGCTTGCGCGCCTCGCGCGCGAAAGACCCTTACGCCACGCTTTACCGATTTCTTTACTGGTTTTAAGAAAAAAACACTGTTTTGCAGTGTACCACTGACGCGTTTTTGGCTACGCACGTTAACGCACGTAAATTTCAATCATGTAAATAAAATAGAGGCAAGATAAAAAGTGCTGAGCTTAAACGAGAAGTGAGGTTCAACTTTTACGCTTACGAGCGACCTTTCATGCATTGCCTCCATGTTATTTGCGAACGTAAATTTTACGCACGTACGCAAGTAAAAATTACGCGACACTGGAAATCAACCCTAAAAGTACTATTTGTAGGACTTCATATAATAGATTGGTTGGGAAACTCAAGGAGAGTTCTCATATGCACTAATATAGCATAGACGTCTTATCAACTTAGCAAAACAAAACTGGTTAAAACAACTGTGCACAAATATTTTATCCTTGTTGGTCTGTTTTGCATTCATCTTTCGTCAAATGTTGACATTTATTCGTTATATGGAGGTACATCTTACGTTTGCGCTTCTGGACTGTGTTCGTTATAATGAGGATTTCGTTAAATTGGGGTTCTTTTCCATACATTCTCCTGTAATTTTGGCCAGACAGAAGAAAATCGTTCGTTATACCGAGGACTTCGTTATAGAGAGGTTCGTTATATCGAGGTTCCAATGTACAATGACACACTGAAAAAAAAATTACCACCTGGCAAAGAGATTTCGGAGGATAGCTGACTGCCTGAATGACTTTGTGAATTGCTTATTGATCAGCAAACTTCAGTCAGCAGGGCTGTCACTAAGATTTTAAGGTGCCGGGTAGATACAATGAGTATTTAGTAGTATTTTCCTTTTTTTCCTATGAACATATCCGAGGAAAGAAGCCCGGGAAAAAAGTGAAATCCCCGTTTGACAACCCTAACATGAAAAGCAACAAAATCAAGCAACCCACCTTCTGTCTCAGCAAAAGCGGCTGCTCTTATGTCCTTTTCTAAAGTCTTTGCCGCAGTTCCTTCAGCTTGTTCAGGAAATTTTACCTTGAAATTGTTCAAACAGCTTAAAGCCTCTTGAAACCATCTTAATTCATACAAGCAGCGCGCCTGACGGAAATGAGCTTTGGTGTGATTAGGGTCCAATTTAAGGGCTTTGTGACAGTCTCGTAATGCTGCATAGATATCTCCATCCCTGAAAACAAACAAATTTTAAGTTAAATTTAGACTGCGTGCAGTCTCTTTTTCTTTAGATTTGGTGGAGGAGGGCACTCACGCCAGCGTTGAGCCGCGAGACGCGAGGAACGAGGGTGCCTCTCTTGTCTCGTACCTTCAGTCACGCACACGATCATTTTCGAGCAACGCGCGTTTCGCTCGACGGACTATGAAAAAAGAAAGATAGCCTGGGACCAAGCTCCGCATTGGAGGGAAAAGGAGTAACAAATCGGCGAGGGGAAAGCGAGTCGAGCCGACATTTTTTCCTGTTTGACCCCGTTTTTTGCCTTTTTTCTCCACTGCAGAGCCTGGTCCCAGGCTAAAAGAAAGAATGCTCGAAGTCTGATTTAAATTTTTTTAAATGGCTTTTTCACTACAGCCCATCACTACAATTGAGAGCATATGTTACAGGTAAATATTAAATTCAGTGTTGATTCTCTATTTCCTTTGTCTCCTAACCCTTGTTATTCATGAATAATCAGGGCTAGGAGACAAAGGAAACTGAGGGAAATTTTTGCGGCTTCTAATTTTTGCGATTTTTGCGGTTTTTCCAGCGATCCGCAGAAATAAGTTCCCGCAAATAAAAATTACCGTAAACATTTTTCCCGCAAAAATTTACTCCAGAGTAAATATTCTCTAACTTAAATTCGCTAGACAAAAATACGGTACTAAGAAATCGTGTCTGTTCAATCACAACTTGTCTCTTTCATTCAGAAACAACGAAATAATGGTTTATTGCTTGAAAATATGTATTTCTATTACACGTACTCAATAAAAACGAAAATATTATCAATGCTATGTACTGGGTACTTCCTAAAAATCGCAAAAATTAATTCCCTGCAAGAAAAACCAATCTGTCCTAATCGCAAAAATTAGTTCCCGCAAAAACACAAAAACATCGCCAATCTGCAAAAATAAACTCCCGCAAAAATTTCGTGCCGCACGGTAGGTGAAAAAATTTAACCTGAATTCAATTTTGACCTGTATCACATACACATTGTTATTTAAATTGTTCAATTTTCTTAGCCTCTTAGAAGACTTACTTTTCTACACGAACTTATACTCTTTTGTTTCATAGTTACCCGAAAAAAGAAAAAATTGCATATACCTGTCGAGGTAGTCAACTCGATTCATTTTTATTTGTCTATCTCAACCTTACATGCAATTGAGGTTGCTACCCAACCTAACACATTTGAAACTGCTTATCACCAAAGAACGTTGCCTAACAACCCCTTACATTGTACTTACTACAACACTAAACATGATAATTTGTCACACTAGTGGGTTTTCAAACATCCCTGATAAAACTAAATAGGATTTATTTTTATACTTCTTAAAATGTTTAAATGTTTACATAGTTAGTATTTGTGTATTTTTCTTAAGGGCACACTTAATTTGGAGCCTCGCTCTGTTGGGTGTCCCGCACCTTCGTGTCTCGTTTTTGTGACTTGTTCAAATGTATTTTTTTTCTTGTCTTATTCTAGCATTGTAATCATGGTGAAAGCGATTAAATAAATAAACTAAAAAGGGCAGTTTTCTTGAACTACATATTAAACGTACTGTCAATTCCATTCAAGAAAGGCACTAGTGGGACCAGTTCTAAGTGTTTTAGGGATGTCTCCATCTTTTGGAGAGGTCAGTAGAGAAGTGACTGAAGAATGAGAGAGACTAACTCTCCATCTTAAAGGGGTGTTTTAATGAAGTTAAAAAAATTTAGTTCACACAGTTAACAACTAGGAGCCCGGGCGTGGTCAGCGGTCAGTGGTTTGGCTCAAGCGCGCTCGGCCTAGCTATCACCTTCATGTGCTCAGTACAGCGTTTTCCTGGCGGTCACTCTCTTCGTTTAGCTTTTGGATCATTCTTTTCCCTGAATTTTCCTGATTAGGAATATAAAATTTCCGGACAATCCCCTCGCCTTAAGAGTTTTTCCCCACCTATTTTAATTCCTGACCTGTGGAAATCGTGGGAGAAAAGAAAAACAAACCACTGTTCTCCATTTCTAGCGAGCGAAGCAAGCTGTGAGGGGTGGAGGAAAAGGTTTCTTACCCCGCCTCCCCTCTCGCGTCTCCTTTCGTGTGCCGCTCACGCATGATTCCCGGGACTCCCTCAAATGGAGATCTTGCTCTCGCGTCACACGCGTGACTTCACGCCAGCAAATGGAGAGCTTTCTCGCAGGCTTACAAACCACAATCTATACATGCCGCACACTTACCATGCTCTTTTGATATAGGCTGCCGCTCTGTTGGCATAAAGGACAGCAGAATTTGCAGCATATGAAATTGCCTCATTATAAAGGTTCACAGCCGTCCAGAACTGTTGTTGGCAAAAGGCATCATTTCCTTTTGCTTTAAGTTCAAGTGCTCTAGGTGGTAGCTCCTGAGAAGAATTATAATGACTGCTGACATGAGTGGAGTTAGAGGTCCTTTTTTCCGCTACAGTTCTCTTTCCATTTAATGTTGGGATATGGTAACCGTTTGCTGCTCCATTAGCTGATGCTGAAAATCCATTCTTGCTTGAAGAGACACTAAAATTATCCACAACAGTTTTTACCACACCATTTGAAGCTAATGACGAAGAAATTCCGTTGACAACTTGATACTTCAGAACCTTGCGATGCTGTTTAATATCAAACAAGTATATCTGTTCTCCACCTAAATTTGCTATTAATTCACGTCCACAAGGAGAGAAATTCACATATGTTGCAACATAAGCTCTAAATCGTCGACGCAAATCTTTGCTTAGCTGCGGAGGCAAATGGCCCGGAGCAAAATACTGCACACATCCGGGAGGAAGTTTAGCATCATCTGGACTGCTGTTGCATGGTTTCTTCTTATCAGATAAACTATGTGATTCCAACATTCTATGATCATAAAGCCGCACAAAGGGATCATTGCAACCAACAGCAAGAAGTTGTGGTTGTAGAGGATTGATTGCAAGGCATTTAGCCTCAGCCATGGCTCCAACATAAATGTTGAGGTTAATGAGCACATTTTTGCAGTTCTTACTGCTTGTGTTGCAAGTGTGTGGTTGCCGCAAATCAAATTGTCTGTTGACAAAAAAAAAGAACAAAAAAGGTGATCTAAGTAATTTCTGATGGTAAAAATATAGCTTTTCCAGTACTGCGGTGATTTGGTTACCTCTGAGTCCCGAGTCCCTGACGCATAAAAAACCCAAGGACGCAAAATTTTAATGCATGCGTCCCGTAGGACCCAAAGAACGATCGATCGAAACGTGTATTTGTACAAATATCCCGTCCACGTAAATTCTGTGGCAGTTATTATGGCTGTTCTTTAACGATGTATATTTCTTTTAGCCTTTGCCGTGCGTTTAATAGAAGGACTATATTTTAGCTTCAGTATACTGTAATACAGAGTTTTGGAGTCTGTCTTCAGATCAACTGTCTCGTTACATAAAGGCCCAAGCATTTTCAATTTTCGGACTCTCTTTTTAACTGGGACTCATTGGTTCTGAAGTAGGACTCATGATGTTTCACAAGATGAGCCCTAGGACTCACCATAACTATTTGTAACAAATCACTTTAGAAGTCTACTTTAATTTGCAGAACCAAAGTTAGTGAAATAGCTGCGTCTAAACTCTATAGAGAAACTGATAGAACTAAACTGGGAATTAACCACCTACAATGAATATTACACAGAAGTTTCCCTATTGGTTTTTCGGGATTTTAAAGTGAAAACTGAAGATTCAGGATTGAAAGTATACACAGATGTCATGCGGGATGTTGTAAATAACCATCTTGATTATGGGACTGAACTAAAATTTGGGTTGCAGGATTGTCACTTAAGATTCCAAGCTGCCGGGTAAAGACAACAAGTACAATGTAGGCGGGAAATCAATCAAACAGCTACGGGTTTCTTTGGGTTCTATTTATCTTCTATTTTCCTTTGAAAGTAGCCGGGGACCACGTTCAAGTAGTAGCTGGGGGAAATCCCCGGCCCCCGCCTCTTAATGACAGCCCTGGGGTTGAGATGATGGGACTGGGGAACCCTCAAAACACAGCAGTAACTTCAGAGAACTGGCTGACTGACAGTAATGAGGTACAGTGGAACCTATTAACACGATCACCATTGGACAATAAAATCTAACTTGTAGAAACAAGGCGGTCGTATATATGAGGTTTTCAAAGAAGGAAATTAGCAAGTGCTTTTAAGTAGAAGTCAAAAGAAATTGACTGACTCGATGTTTTTGGCAAAAACCACTAACAGCCTCATTTTTTTGTTAGATTGTTCATGGCAAGCTATTCTTTGATAAGAAACACTTTTCTTTTCTCAAATAGAATTTAAAATCCTAGTAGCTTGACACAATGTTAACACTATGCTCACGTGGAGAATGGATCAAACCTCGAGCAAACATCACACATCAAAGCGTGTTTTCATGTAAGCCATAAAAGATAAAAGCCTGTTGCTAAACGCCTCTAATGTGGTTGTAATAATGAGGTGATTGTATAAACTGGGTGTTCATAAGTTGGGTTGCCCCTCCATGTGCAAGGGAATGTAACTAGCTCACAGTAATTAAGAATTAGGGGCAGTTAATACATTTACAGATGAATGTCAAACACAGCATTGTAGGGCAGTGTTCAGTACACAGATTTAACCGATTTTTTTCAGAATATTTTCATGTGATCTCAAACCTCATGAATGTTTGTAGTAAGTGAAATTCTTGTGCAATATTTTCCTTCCATATTGACAGAGTTTTCATCCTTTTCACAAGAAGGCCACAAATTTCAAACAAGGCCTTGGAATCTGGACAAGTCTCAGGTTAAACCATTTGCCAGCCAAGAGAGTTCATTTATTAAAACTATAAAAATGCATGCCATACTTTTTAACTTGTATCTGGGAAGACCAAGGTTTAGAGTCCTAAGCGTGAAAAGTAAAAAAAATCATAACTTTGTTAAAAAATTCTGCCAAGCTGAATACATAATATGCATACCTGATGGTTCCATCTTCAGAGGCACTCCAGAGCATGTATGGAGTATCAGGAGCAGTAGCAAGTCTCTTTACCCGGCCAATATGACATTTATAAGCTTGTGATGTCTCTTTTGTTTCTACTGTGTGAATTTGAACTTTAGCATCAGCGGCAGCTGTTGCAATAATTCTGTCTCCCGTCTGTGGCAAAAACTGGAAAAATAGAAAAAAAAAACCTCAAAGAAGAGAAATATGAACATCTGCTACAATCAGGAAAAGAAACAGTTACCAGTATTGGAACGGCTTAATCCCTTTCTGCGCCCTTTTCGGTAAGGCTGGTTTATTTATGAGGTAACTGCACACAGCCAAACCTCCATCTGTAGGCGCCTCTTGTACATGTAGACAACCTTTTCCACATCAAAGCCCCATTATCACTGAAACCCCTCATAAATGACTACTGGCATCTAATGAGCAAACTGTGCAATTTTATAGGGTGATAGTTTCATAATTTTCAATAATTTTTGTTCTTGGAACCTCAGTTTTATCATTGGACACATGGTTGGCTCGTTTGTGCCAACAGAATTTATCTGAATTTTCAGGAACATTTCTCATTCAGAAATAACAAACTTGCTTTCAAGCATTATTTTTTTCAAGTTTTATAACTGCAGAGCTTCTTCATAAATCATGTCTGTGATGCAATATTTCAATGTCAAGCAGACACAAATCAGGTCAGATGTTTAACTCTTTAAGCCCTAAGAGTGATCGGCATCAAATTTCTCCTTGTAATATAAATGCTTCAGGGTGCAAAGAAAATCATTTTTACAGCTTGCTATTCGGGCAAGCTGAAGCTAATATTTACTAGCCCAAACATCATTTCAACTAGCCCCAAAAACGTTTTGATGAGCAGATTGATTTCAAAGTTCTTCAGTAATTTGAATTCCTCAAAAAACATCACTTGCCCATCTGCCGAATCAATAACAGAATTCACTACCCCAATAGCAAAATCCACTGGCCCCGGGCTATCAGACACTACTTTCTTTGCACACTGATGCTTTGTAAAACAGTGTGGTCATGAGAATTATGGACTTGATCACCCAAGATGAATTTGCTTGATATTTTATCAACTTCTCACCACTCCTTCTGTAGGAAAATGAATAGGGGCAATGAATGAGAATTCAAATTTTGATCTTGGAGTTTAAAGGGTAATCCCCAAAGAAGGTTCTATACGTGTCCACTTAACAAAAGTTTTGCTGTTAACTTATAGAAAGAGTTACCTTAACTGAGAATATGTTTCCAGAGTGTCCAGTTTTGATGACACACTTTGTCCGGTGGTGCACGGGATCCCACACTATGGCATTTAGATCATCTGACCCTGATACAAGGAGACTAAAAAAGATATGGCAGTGTTTCTTTAAAGTTACATTTAAAAAAATACTTAACATCTTGATGGCTTCATGCCATCATTATAAATTAACATGATTTGTGGTAATAATGAAGATTTTGAGGAAGATTAATTACATAGCAAGATAGCAGAAGAAATGTTGCCCAATGCAACATCAGAAAATGCCAGTTCTGTTTTTCACTTCTGAGCGATGATTTTTTAAGCATTGTTATTAGTGTTATTGTTAATAAACTCATTCACTACCAAGTTATACAGGAATTAGTTATTGAAAACCTAAGGAATTAAAAATTGTCTAAATAACCAAGTACAGTTCATTTTCTTTTCAGGTTGTAGAGCACTTTTAAAACAGGACCAAGAACTACCACAAGAGCTGCTAAGGTGGTAGAATCCTGGGAAGGGGGAGGGGTGGAGGATAATAAACTGCCACTATAAAAAACTGCATCACTGGATAATGCAATTCTAGTTCTGATTGGCTTAGCCATCATGGTACAAGAGCGATTTTACCATGCTCTCCAAATACGGTAACTGTACGTGTCAGCTCAAAATTAAAAACAAGCTGAAAATCGGTTGTTTTTACAACAAAATAAAGTCAGGAAGAATTCTTGATATTTTGTGGGCATTTTTAATAAAACAATTGATTATATTCCATTCACACTTGTTGGACATGAAATGATTATAGCCAACTCGGCACTATGCAACTCTTTGGCTATCCACCATCTCATATCCACTGCACACTCATTGAATAATGGTTAATTATTAGATGGGCTATATACAAGTACTCTATAGTGATGTGTTGGTATGAAGGGTGAACGGTAGGGTTCTTAAGCAGTTGGGTAGGGTTCTCAGAGGCCAGTATATTTTATTATTATTATTATTATTATTATTATTATTACTATTATCATCATCATCATCATCATCATTAGATTAGAGTATCACCATATACCACACATAACACTTTATCAGAAATTGATCAGTGGTATGAAAAATTGGAGTTTCTGGATGATAGTTAGTCTAGGTTAGAGTAGGGATTTTTGTTGCCCTGTCTAGAATAGGGATAGGGTACATCTACCGTGGAAACTTCATAGCCAGAAATACAGCCACGACATCAATTTAGCCATTAAATTTTATTCTGCAATTTTCAATGGCCATGGAAAACCTTTCATGGGGTATTGACTAGATTCCAATCCCAGTTCATTGGCATTTTCATAAGAAATGTGGTTCATAGTGATTGCAGTCTGGTATGGGCCAAGTTTTCAAGGTTCCAGCAGCATACCACACCCCAAAATTACAGGAGGAGGGGTAGAGTCCCACACATGCTTCTAAAAATATAACATCCCAGATAATTCACCTCAACTTTCAAAATGTTTAACAAATTTCTGAAGAGTAAAAGTATTTATGAGAGATTAAAAAGTCCTTTCAGACAATTAATTACTTAAACCAATTAGTTTTTTTGATCGAAGAAAATAGCTAAACTTTACGCTTAAAGAAATGCCATAATTTATATTTACAATCTAATACTTTAACAACATCCAACAAATAACATAAAACTATATCTTACTTTCCAGCCTCATTCCACTCTAGACAATTAACACATCCTGAGTGACCCTGAAAGAAAGGTGGCTGTGCAGTCAGGATAATCACACAATCAATAACGGACTATTCACAAGCTGATGGAATGATTTTCATTCTGGAACAAGTTCATATCATCTCCATATATTTCTCTGTACTTGTTCACGTGATACCGAAGTGACGTTTAGTTCCCATTCAAGTCACTCCAGCCAGAATGAGTTCATTCCGGTTTTCAATCTGAATGAAATTCTCGTTCTGGTATGTTTCATTCTGGTATCATGTGAACAGAAAATGAACTTTGTTCCACATTGAAAATCACCAATCATGTAGTCTGGGGTTAGCAGTAAATATGCATCTGAGGGGTGTTTACATGAGAAAAATCGCTCTGGCGTGAGTTTCACACAGGGATGACTTTTTGATTTTGTATCGCGTTTACACGATGACTGGGTCAATTCATATCTTGTTATTTAAAGGTACGTTTCGTGTTGATAAAATACACATGTGGTTCAAAATCGCAAACATTACGTATGCACTACCCGTTCCAGTCTATCGGCAGACCGATTTCACACCGAAACAGGTGGTCGTTTCGTGTTTACATGATACCGTTGTGAGATTTCGTACTGGAGTGAGATTCTCACCCGGTATGAGAACCGGGGTGAGCTCGCCCGGGGTGGCTCTCGCCGGGGTGACTCACGCCGGCATAACATTTTGTGGTGGTATCATGTAAACAAATATAGAGCCATGAGAGGGAACTGGAGTGAACTCGCTTCGGGACGAAAGTTGCCCCGGTGTCATGTAAACACCCCCTGACCTGGTGCGAAAACCACGTGAGTGAGAATGCCTTAGGCTAAGCCACACAATTTTATCATGAGAATGCAGCACAAACTTGACTCTGGAACGAAACTCATTCTGGAATGAAAGTCATTCTGGTATCAATTAAACAGCGCCTAATATATAGATAGCAGTATGAAAAATGTTCTAAAAAGAGTGAGCCTATAAAAATCCACAGGATAATCCTCTTTTGGCCTTTGGCATGTTACACTAATCAAAGGTTTTAAAAACACTGATGTAATGCTGATGCCCGAATTTACTGAAAATAATTATATTTTCATGATATATATATTTTAACCAGCTAGCATCTACGTGAGCATACTGTAGAGAGACTAATAAAGTGTGTCTACTACACTCTCAGGTAAACATCGAATGCAAAACCTTTTAAATAACTATAAGGTGTCGTTTTCAGCTGCAAGAATGCCAATTAATACACAACACTTCAGTTTATTTTGATCATATATCTAAGAATAATTATTACAATAAATATGTGAACCTTTTCCATGTTCCCATACATTTCCTCTCAGTTCAATCATTACAATAGTCACACAGTTTGCATGGGCTCTTTGTGATTAAAAACAATGTAGGTTTAGGACTCCATACAGTATTTCTCATTTGTTTCCTCAAGTGATGACAATTTTCACAATACCCAGCTGCATTTTCAGTAATACCCTCACAGATCCGAGCTATAACACAACTATCAACCTTTTCCTTCACAGCTTCTTCAACTGAATTTCAAGCAGAGCTGTAGCACACTATCTCTACTTCTAGGCTCTTCCAGATCATTGGCCCAGTAAGCATGGACTTGCAGTAGTAAGCATGGACTTGTTGATCAATGTTAGTGAGAAGTTGGTGGTAAGTTCCAAGCTAAACAACTGGTCTGGAATGTTGAAGAATGATGGGCACTTATCTGTCTCCTCATTGACTGCTGCACTAGATCGCTGGACTAGTATCCAGTTCCTGACTACTGTAGGTGTGTTTCTCTACTCAAGGAGAGTGTGACTTCTTCATGACATTTTTAGCTAAGTTCACAACTGCCTCTACCTTCACTGCACTATTTACTTGGAGTAATCACAGATTAAGGAATGTGTTCAACATGGGTAATAGGTGGAGAGTAAAGGAGCTGAAGCATATTGTGAACATTGAGACATGGGGAATTTTAGCTGATAAGCCAAGCAATTGGTAGTTTGTGTTTTTCTGTGATAAAGTATGGATAAATAGTGGAGAGAGGATCATTGCAGATTACTTAAAGTATGTTTAAGTATGTTTCTTCTTTAGATATGTGGAACTTTGGCCTGCTCTTCATGATGAAGGAAAAACGTCAACAAGATGCACATGACACAGCCATGAAAACAGAAAGTAGCCTTTCAAACTCCTCACAAAACAGCGCTACAAAAATAGGCAAAATGCGAAACCCACAAAATGAGATGTTACATATCACCTTAGCCTTCACATCACCTATCAGGTTCCACTTTTGGCAATATAAGTGTGTGTGTTAAATCTCATTCTTCAACGAGGGCCAGACCTAGGCAAATTATATTCATATTAATTTTCAGGCTGCCTGCCCAGGAACCCCTTCTGTTTGGGAAATTTTTTTTTGACTTGCACACGGCTGAGCAGGTGTTGCGATTAATAGACCAAAACATCATTAACATAGTGACCCATTAAAGACACCCCTCGAAACAAACTGCATGCTTATCATGTGACTATTACACTTGTCCTCATTCACTTCAATTCACAGTAATTTCTTGTCTTTTGTTTTCAAACTTTTCATCTCCGCCAATAAGTGTTCAGTTCTGATTGGTTTTGATAGAATTTCTTTGCCTTAGGGACTGTTCATAATTTATGGGTTGGGGGGTATTGGGGATGTGGAGGGGAGGCCATTAATTTTCATCCAAAACATTTAGGGGGCCCAAAATTCAATTGGTAATCTTTAATAATCAGTCCGGTTTAGAGAAGTATTTTAAAGAATAAACTTTGGGTCCACTTAAAGAAGATATATCGATAAATTCCAAGTGAAATCTGAGCGCTTCTCAACATTTAACAGAGTAAAATTACGAGACTGAAATAGGAGATCGAGAGATCGCCCAAATATGTTTGTGATAATGCTCAAATCTTAAATAAAGAGTTAAATTTGGTATTTCATTAAAGTTAATAAACAGAACATTACATGTCCTCTATATATTTGTTATATAACATCACAAAGTCTGGCAAATACATTTACTTTAATGGGTTCGAAAACACCTTCTAGTCAAACCAGAAGACTCTGACACCTGTGGTACATCATCTGGGGGAGCTCAAAAATTTTTAAGGAAAAAAATTAAGATCCCCATAGCCCCCCCCACCCCCACACCCATACATTATGAACAGTGCCTTACTGTCTTACCTATGTTAACAGCTCAAAAATGAAAGGAAAACATTATTACAATGTAAAGTCCAGAAAATATAGTGCTACACAGCGAAGGAGTAAACATCGATGCAATGAAAGGAAAATGCCCGTGACACACTACTAGAACTGATTTGCTGTAAAGGCTGAGAATGCACAGTGGACACAAGCCCCTGCAAAAAATATCTTGGGGCACTATTTTTGTAACCATACAAATGTTTGGAATGTCAAAACGTCCAGGCTAGATCAACAACTGGACACCCAAAAAAGAGAATCAGGCAACCCAATTAAAACACAATTAGCAAATAGGTTGAACAAATTGCTGCAAGTGAAAATTTTCACTGTTGACAGATTGCCTTAAATTTGATGGAGATGAACTGAGAGCCACAGTTTGAAAATTTTTTTACCAGTCTCCAGGATTCCATTTCTTGCAAAAGAGGTAGTTAAAACCGGTGTAGTTAAACAAGGTAACCCTGACTTTCACCCACAGTCAGCCAGGAACTTCATGAAGAAAGAGGGTCACTTTTAACCTCTTCTAGTCAAACACCCTCCAGACATCACACCTTTTGATAAACTGCCTCATATCACCACTCATTTCTAACCAGCATAGTATTATTTTTTTAGCTAGCAAAAAGAGTGCTTACAACCCCACCCTGAGATTGTTAGGACCCTGTTAAGGACTGTTATACCTTTTGTTAACTGACACCTTGCTGCACTTCATTTGCTCCTTCAATGAATTTACTGTCTTGAATTCTTCCAAAGTTTTAGTACATGTTTTTGATAACTCAGACACTTTGCAAATACTGAGGCGACAAAAGTTTGTAAATCAAGATCTGGGGTATTAAAGGAGTTCTATGCAGAGCTGTCTGTCTTGGGTTCCACAAATTAAAGTCTCTAGCCAGTAAATCTTTAAGACCATCAGAGTTACAGGTCACTACCAGTGCCAGCAACAAATCTGTAATGAACTTTTCTTGTGATTCACTAGGGTCTTGTGTGCAGGAGAAGAGCTTGCAACTTCCAGCATTTTTGGGGGGGCTGATTAAAATGCTCATCAGAGGCTGCTGACACTTGCGTTAAACTTTTTTTCAGTGTAGGAACTTCACAAGTCATTCTGTCAAAAATTTAACTTCCTCGACTACCAATCAAATACAGTAACAATATCATCACCTCGAGTTTTCCACCCATTGCCAATCCATGTACAACCCTAATTCTTGCTTCCTCTTTTTCGAACACTTACTGTCACCCGAGTTTGTCACATCTACATGTATGAAGCCTAACTGTGCTGAAAGTCTGAGCTGTGAAATCCTATCAAATGCTCAAGCACTTGCATTCCCTTGTTTCCTACATTTATCAGCATTGTAAATATAGTTCTGTTAGCGTTAGCTTCATTCCTGACAACATGTTTAGTTCAGTAACTGTTGAAATCACACAACTGAGACTTTTGTAAGCCTTGTTTAATATAGCTCGCATGAACTATGATATCCACTCCCTCTCTATGGAAACACTAGCCTATTTTAGTTGACACCAAAATGAGGCTAGTTGCAAACAACGCACATAAAACAATGCCTATTGTTAAGCACCAGTCAATTTAAACCCCCTCGGGCCAGGGACTACTAACACAAGAATTTACATTGCTTTTGGGGGCTTTCAATACCTCCAATACAAGAAACTGCCGCCTGGTTAGCTCACTTGGGAGAGCACTGGGCTGCCGAGCAGGAGCCCGGACCAACACTCAGGGTCTTTAAATAACTGAGAAGAAAGTGCCCCTTTGTAATGACATCTGCAAATGGTTAGACTTTCTAGTCTTCTCGGATAAGGACGAAAAACCATAGGTCCCGTCTCACAGCACTTTCCCTGATTTGTTCTTGTGGGACGTAAAAGAACCCATATCACTATTCGAAAAGAGTAAGGGTCATAGACCCTGGTGGAGTGGTCAACCTTTACAGGTTGTGGGATTGGGTAGGGATGGCACCTCGCATGGGACCTGAGTCCCGTTCGTGCACATTAATTCCCTCTGGGCAGGCCTATGTCCGAAAAAGCTGGTAAAAAAAGTTTTTGCTATAACATTGACATGCCCTATCATTCATGGGGGGGGGGGGGGGGGGGGGCATTAAACAGTCATGACCAAAATTAAAACCTGTTTAATATATAGTTTTAAAATATAAAGCAAAAAGTACAGCTTGAACATGAATATTAATGGTATTTTAGAAAGTTAGCACACCTGCAACCAGTTATAAATAGCTGCAATATTATTAGGGAAAATAGAGAATATTTTTCCAAAATTCATTAACATCAATAAAAATTATCACCTCTATGTATTCCCCTATTATGGCTGAAACTAATACATGCACTTATAAAATGTCCATTTTACCCTCTCTTCGTTGGGTCAAGTTAACAAAAAAAAAATTTCGCGTGCATACTCTGTCGTTCAAAACTCGTGAACAATATATCCCCTAAAGCCATTTATTTGGGAGTCACGTCTAATAATGCTCCATCAATAAAACAATACTGAATTTTTTAAAATATAATTGCCGACTAGAGGCATACTTGCAATCACAATTATTGCTCTTATTGATATTTTGGATTTAACTGGGTTTTTGTCATAGTACTAATTAAGACCTAAGCCATCCTTGTTTAAGGTTGAGCTTATTTTCAAACCGCAGTTCGCCATAAAAACCATGGCGAGCCCAACGTCGGCTGGGTCATGAGTGAATCCAAATTTTTGCCTGGAAACGCCTCTTGCACACAAATGGCACGACGCAGAAATCATTCGATTAAGTTTAACAGCGTTGTTACTCCCTATTATAACTTTAAAAGTTGATTGAATCCGGTAATATATTTAAGACAGAAGCAAAATAAACATAAGCTTAAGCTTATAACAGACGCAACCATTATTGTGAACGAAAGTGTGAGAGTGTTTTAAAGTTCTCGATACAACCTGGAAACATAGGAAGGAATCATTTACCTCAAGTTCCGTTTCCAGCCCTAGTCTTTCAACGAAAGGAGAATGGACCTGATATCGGCGCTGAAACCCTCGCGTGATGTTCGTCTATGAAGAGAACGAAAGCTTAATTTCAACAAATTCATGGAGAAATGTAAATTGCGGCCCAGAAGAGGGCTTTGTTCACATTTGCAAACTGTACCTTCAGTTCTCGATTCCTGATCATCAAGGCAATATTGTGAGACTCCATGTCCGACTCACTTCAGTTTCTTTTATGAAATGAAACTTCGCCTCTCTTCCGTTTTCAAAACATCTCGAGTTTCGTGTCAATGCGTGCAGAGTACTTGACAAGCTCGTAAACACTGATCACATCACAGCTAATACGCAGAGAAAAACCTCTTGTAAACCAAATATGAGTCGTGAAGTCAGGAATTATGATTTGAGGAAGTTGAAGATAGACTTAAGGCTTATGAGGGAGCATTTTACGTCTTCCGCAGCGAAAAATTCGATAATAATATCCGAAGGTGTTATTCGTGCTCTCGACGAGATCAATCCTGGTGCTTAGCTACCAAGCCTTCCTGTAGTCCACGGAGTGCCTCAAAGATTTCGGGGAAAAATTCGCGTTCGACAGTTTAAGTGTTTCCTTAATTTACTGAGGTTCGTTAAAACTCTGAAATCGAATAATAATTAGGCACTCTCAATAATTTCGTGTATTACAATATTAGGTATGCTTATTTTAAAAAAAGAAGAGGAAAATCAATCCAAGACAAATCTAAACCACGCCCATTTTGATTTCAGCATCCTTTAATGTGAAGTGTTAAGGCAGAATCCATCAGGAAATTGAGTAATTTCAGTGGACAAAAACCTTGTATTAAATAGTTTAAGCAATATCGCATTCTTTTTCCCTTTTTTCAAGGGCTATGGATATAATTAGTTACCTGAAATAACACCAAAGACTATTTCTCAAGTGCATTTGTGAGCCCGAGAAAATAAATGTCAGAATTTCACAAATATTGAAAAAACAAAGGTAAAGTTCTGAAAATTTTGTGAAATTTGACGTTTAATTTCTCGGGCTCTCATAAAAAATATTATTTGGTGTTATTACAGATAGCCAATTACATCTGTAGCCCTTGAAAAATGTAAAAAAGAAAGCGATATTGTTTAAATTATTCCGATACAAGTTTTTTGTCCCCTGAAAATTAAAATTACTCAATTTCCTCATGGATTCCGTCTTAAATTGCTAAAGAAATATGTATGGTTTAATATTACCAACTCCATAGTTTTTAAATGAAGGATGGTCATCACAGTTATATAAGCAACTTTTGTAGTTGCGAAAAGAAAGCCTGAAAAAAATTCAGCCTTGTACGGGATTCGAACCCTTGACCAGGTCAAGGAATCCCGTACAAGCCTGAATTTTTTTCAGGCTTTCTTTCCGCAACTGCAAAAGTTGCGTATATAACGCGATCAATAAAGGGGGGAATTTTATATATCCCATGATGCTTCGCTTCATACTATATTATCAAGCTTCCGAACGCACGTGATGCTATCAGTTCAACAAGGACGTGACAGTTGAACAGCAGTGGAAAGCGACTTGTTCTGCCGGTAAAACTTTCTGTACCTTTGCTGTGTCGATCTATTTACGATTTTCGTTTTACTATTCCAAATATATCTCTTGTTAAGTCAAAGAGAGTGTTTTGCCCGCCGATTATGAGTTAACTAGACTTACGATAGCAACGCAGTCCACACAAACGTTCTTAGAAGCTAGCGAGGAAGGTCTTTGCTTCAGTACGTCCTGTTTTAACGTGCGTTGACAAAGCTCTCCATGAATTAACAGGCGATTTCCACGACTTGCCTTGAAACAAATACATATTCTAGGTGTGAGATTTCTCTTCGTTGCTTGTTTGTGATCGGGGTGTTGATATTGTCAGTTCAATAATTCATCGATGCAGTACATCAACCGTACAGTGACTGCACACGCTTTTACTTCAACAAGCTCGGCTTATGTAGTCGAAAATACCGAGACCGTTAAAGAGCAAAGTGACGTCTATCGGAGATAAAATTCAAAGGAGGGAAATAGCTCCAACAAACAATTAAAATAACAAAGACATCTCCATATTTTTCATAACCAGTCATAACGCAACACGAGCTAAGCATCATTGTCAAACATAAACAGAAAAAAGCTTTATTAAGAAATGGCACAATACATTTACAAAAACACCCACTTCTTCACTACAATGGATCCTAAAAGAATTATCAAAATTCTTCGTCTTGCATCTTAATGGAGAAAGGGCAGAAAATGCGATATTTCAAAACGATCAAACCAGGGGCGGATCCAGGATTTTTCTTAGGAGGGGGTGCACCACTAACTGACCGATGACGTAAAAAATTTTAAAAGCAAATACGAAGAATAAGAGGGCTTTTGACTAGGAAATAACATAATGTGAACTGCTGAGAATACATATCAAACGATAGAGCAGATTTTGAATGTCTGTCAAGCGACTGCACAGTGTTAATTAGAAAGCGGCCGCAGGTCATCCCAGGGGGGGGGGGGGGGGCACCCCCTGCACACTCCCCCTGGATCCGCCCCTGCAAACCCATAAAAATCGCGAGGTCGAAAGAGGTCGGAGCGTGGAACTAGTATCAAGCACCCCTTGTCCGCCGATTTAAATAATTTATTAGGGCAAAACCTTGCTAGAATAAAGACAGTCCTCGATAACTGAAAGTCATCTAAATAAATATTCACTTGCGAGTTAAAACAGCATGGCTTAACGGGGTCGTAAACGAGAGCAATAATGCGTGAAATGACCATGGGACCATTTTACATTATTAATAAGATACCAAAGATTAACAGGGCTCATTAAAACTTACCTTGGATGAGCTGCATCTTGAAATTCAGGTCGTTGAAAATCTCCCTCGAAATCCTCGAACGCTCTTGCCACCGCGGAGAGAAGAGACAAATTTGCCGCGAAGCATCATGGGATATATGAAATTCCCCCCTTTGGGATCAATTATTTATTTATCTGTTCAATTTCCTTTTTTAGTTGCTTCCCCAGTACAAGTCAAGCATAGCTTTTATCACTTCAATAAAAGTTTAAAAGATCTGTTCCAGCCCTAAAGTGCCAATTCAGCCCTACAGTCCAAAGTCTAAAGCCCCATTTACACTACAGAAAAAAAAGGGTCCGGAACCATAAAGAAGTTGTTACGGACCAGATATTTTTGCCGTGTAAACCCTCTGTACCATGTTTTTATGAAATGGATCCGGACTTGCTTTTTTTCTGGTTTTGGGGCCATAGGCGGCTATGGCCCCAAAACCGGAAAAAAGCGAGTCCGGACCCCTTTTGCTGTTCGAAAGCGCTGTGTAAACGCATCTTCGTTCCGTACAGGGGGAAAAGGTGTCTCCACGGAGATCTGTGGTACAGTCCGCCTACCAGTATGTCGTCACGTCTGGCGTCAGTGACTTTCAAATTGGCGAGCAAAGTGTTCATCGAAGAGACGGATAAAAATTTCGATTTTATCACGGAAATACCGTTCCGATTTCTTGGATTAGGAGATTTTAAGGTTTCTATTGTCATAGAAAACTAGATTCAAGTACTTTTTTGGAGTGAAATGTCCAGTGACGTAATGAATTTTAAAGATTCCTTTCCATCGTCGAGAAAATTTTACGGGCAATCATACCGACCGGTCACACTTTGGAGGGCCAGTGCACAGCAAGTTGAAGAGTTTAGACACAGCAATAGGAGGTTCATCAAAGGATGTATTATACTTTACATTGTGCGTATTTTCAGCTCTTCAGAGCTAGTGAAACCCCGTATCACTCCTCTCAAAGTTCGCTTAGCTGTAGCGTTGAAAGGGGAAGCTAATAAATGACAGGTATTTGTGTGAGCATTGAAGCCGTTGTTGCTTTACCGCATTTTAATACTGTATTGGGCATACACCTGTAATTCTGTAATTAAATCCCGAAAACGAATAAAAGGTTTCGTTTAATTATTTTTTGGGGACAAGCCCAGTGGAGATTTTAAGGCAATAATATTGATGATTAAGACGATGTACAAAAGGCAAGTTTCACTTTCGCCAGTGGGTCACTGGTGGGTGTTGGGTGTAAATTAGTACAGTTTGTGGAGGTGTACTGTGTGTGTTTGTCATGATGTCAACTAACATTGAAAAAATTCAGCTGTTTCAGAGGAGGGACATGTTTTGACAGCTCATGGTTTTTATCTGGTCGTAAGCTTGGCCAGTAGGCAGATCAAGAGCTTTTGAAATCCCTTTTCCAAAATAAAACTCCGGACTTAAGCTTAAAATATATATTGATCCAAGTGCATGACCAGCAGGGTCTGCAGTAAGAATAACACAGTAAAAAAAGGCCAAAAGGAAAAATAGTGTTTAAAAAAGTAGACCAAACAGGGTTAAAATACGGTACAAAGAAAAAGAAAGCAGCGTCGCTGGGAGTCGAACCCGGTTTATCTGCACGTGCAAGAAACTCCGAGCCTTGACCACTGCATCGCAGTGACACACATGATTTGAAAAATTAATTTTGTCATATCAAAACAATTTTTCTCTGCCATAGACGCTGTTTGAAGCTGGTAGAGCTGTATTTATCATGAATTCAAATATACATTTGAGGAAAACTGGCTTAAGAGCGTATTTCAAAGCTATTTTGCAATAGCTGAAAATCGCCGAGCTTTAGCGTCTGGGAAACTTGGATCGCGAGCCTGGTGGAGGAAAGTTGATCGACTGTCCATGCGTAAAGACAAGTGCAGCTACGATCCAGATAAAGATTTCATCATTGGTTTAAATGATTATTTCGGCGACATTTGCTTTGATAGGGAATATTCTAAACCAGTTCCTGCCGAGATTGATGTGAACACCCCTGCTCCACAACTATCTACATTTCAAGTGTTTCTTGCCTTATCGCGAATAAAGCGTACTGCCACCGGACCTGATGGGATTCCTTTCTGGATATGGAAAGATTATGCTGAGAAATTTACCCCAGTGATTGAGAATTTATGGAACTTATCTCTTGCTCGGCAGATCTGGCCAAGTCGTTGGAAGGAGGCTAACATCAATCCACTCCCAAAAGTCGAGACACCAGTCGAATATGCGGACTTTAGAGGAATCAATGTTACTCCAGTTATTGCCAGAACGTTTGAAAGAATAGTGTATAACATTTTTAACAAGAGGTGCCTGGAGGAATATCTGAATAATTCTCAATTTGCTTACCGCTCAGGTGGAAGTTGTGCAAACGCTCTGTTGAAAATGCAACATACATTTCTTGCGGCACTGGATAAACGGGACACCGTGGCGGTGAGAATGTTTACGATGGATTTCTCTAAAGCCTTTGATAACGTTAAACACAATCTTCTAGTTGAAAAGCTGAAACATAGTCCACTTGATTCATTCATTGTTAACTGGTATGCCAACTTTCTCGAAGGTAGAAAACAAAGGGTGATTTTTAATAATTTGACATGCCAGTGGAAAATTGTTAACAAGGGAACAACACAGGGAAGTGTCAGTGGCCCATATCTTTTCAACATATTTTTGAATGACCTAGAGATAGATGGGTACAAA